TGACAATTTCTGTGTAAACAGTTTGTAATACTTTAAATACTGTAGGTATTTCTGCTGCAAAGCTTGATAATTTCAAATGTTTTATATATCTGGTAATCATTACTTAATCGTTTTCTTTTGTACTAAACAGAAGCATAATTTAAAACTCACATTTCTTTGGGACATGATTCATATTCTATTAACTGCTACTACTAACGTAATCGATTTCAGTTTTTAAGCCCATTGAAGGATTCATTCATTATTTCTGTTCATTTGCTTGTTTTTGTGTCTTTTTGTTTTTTGTTGGTAATTACATTTGCTTAATGATTATGTTCAATACACAACTTGATTCACATTATCTACATAATGTCCTGCTAAGAAGGATACAAATTTATTCACGCTCTCATTTGATAGTCATAGTTTTAGTGTAGTCCGCAGAGTAGTTATTTCTCTAAATATCAATCATTTTTATTTTAAACCTCAAATCACACTAAAACGGTGTGACTTAGAACCAATACTTATTTATCAAAATAGGCCTTTCATTCAATGAAAAAACCTAAAATATGGAAATATGAGGTTACGTAACGTTTAGAAGAACTGTGGAATAATATTTGTTTTAAATGGACTACTTATTTAATTATTACTCTATGTACCAGCATTTTATTTGTTGAGTATTATTTACGTAGTACTTGAATCTATTCAAATTCCTCAACATGGTTGTTGTAATGCTAGTAGATTTATGTATTTGCTTTGTAGCCAGAAGCGTTAACGGATTGTTCCGATTGTTCCTAACGCCTAAAATGTTCATAAGGTTCACTAATGTCTAAAACGCCCATCAGTTGTTAATTATTAGGTACTTCTCATTAGTCATTCGACCTGTATCGTGTTTATCCAAAGAAATGTCACATACTCGTAAAGATATTTCATATAATGACGTTAATTTGTACATTAAACATGACATTTTGTAAATTTACATAATTTTCTATAAAACATATGCTACTAAAAACGTATTACCTATTAATATTAATGATTAAGAGATATTATATATAGTAGAAATTACGTTAAATTGTTTTTTATATACATAAAGAAATGCTTTAAAAATAGATTACCCTTGAATGATGCAAAAAATCGTATGGGTGACTAAAAACAATTAAATAATGCTAATTCACGTAATTATTAATATATACCTAGTGCGAATTACATTTCAAATATTTATTCATAGTCTTTCCAAAGGTTACATTACTTTTTACAATTCTTAGAATTTTTTAAAGTGTGCGTTATTCAATTAAATTGGTTTCAAAATTGTAATTTTAGTCTTGTTTACACTTTTTTACAACAATTTTTTATTGTTTCCTTCCAAGACACTAATTTGAAACGAAATTAATTAAATAACACTCTTTTTTGAAATTACAAGCATGATGAAAGCATAATCTTTAACTTACTGCACTTTGGGACGACCCGGCAAAAAAATACTAGAAAAAAAAGTAGGACTATTATTGTACGCCTCCACGGCGTGGGGTCACGCGGCAAAAAGCCACTTAAAGTCATTACAGGCTGTGGAAAACATAGCCCTCCGCACGGCCACCGACGCGCCCTGGTACGTAAGAAACACTGACATATTACGAGACTTACAATACACAAACGCTACACGCCGTTGACTACGTACCCGACGTGACCGACAAACACAAAAGACCTAGACACCAACTTTTTGACCCTGGGTGACCACCCCAATGACCCCCCCCCTGCCCGCTAACCTTTTCTGTTTCAGAGACAGCCAGGATCAAGAAACGAAGACAACGACACACACACACACACATACACACCCCCCATACCCACTTTACCCCTCCCCTCCCGCGCTAGCCTAAGGGCCACCTTAGCAAAGCGCATCCCAGGCTGCATAGCCGCACTACCCTACCCAACCATACCACACATAAACATGACACTACCCCCGGGGTTTACACAGACGAGCCGGCGAAGCAAGAAGAGCGCCAGAAGAAAGGGCCCTAGCCGGCGGGGCCCAGCCAGGACAAAAGGAGGTCCCACAAAGCGCCTACACCGGCCGCATTTGCGGTCGGGGTAGACGACGGATGGGGCCCACCTACGAAGGCTGTCCAGGCCTACACGAGATGAGGCAGGATAAAAAGGGATAATCCCCCTCGATCCCAAATCATTGAGGCCAATTTCTAGCCATAGAATAATGGCGACTATTATTGACAACATTGATCATCATATCTCCTAATTGGGACCCCCCGCATTTTCTTCGCCTGTTCCTTCTGTTGTACTTAAATATGCTTTGCTGGTAGTCTACATTTCGATGTAGATTGTTATGTAGACATTTAGAGATAGGCAACTGCCTGTACGCTCGTGTTACGTGTTCTGCCTATGTAAGCGCAAAGCATTTCCTGTTGCATATGTAGTCAAGAACGACTCTGGGCATTTAAGCGCCTACATACAATAATGCAAAATGGACCCTTAAGTATACGATAGAAACTAGTATCACATATGTCAGTCTTTTGATAAAATATATGTTGGGGCCAGTGCAATTTCAGAACTTTATAATGGTAAATGAAACTGTTTTTCCATTTAATGACAAGGTGATTTTTAAGTATTTTGACGCGTATTCTATACTATAAGCTCCCGAAAGATTTGTAGATCGTTACTGGATAGAGGATATCTTGTATGAAGTGTTAGAGCCGCAGATATTTAACCAGAAAAATTCATTGTAAACTATTTCCAAGAAACTGAAGTTTTTACCCGATCTTTCGAGAAGGTACGGAACAAACTCTATTATTATTTACACAATGAAATTGAAGAAATAATTAGGTATTCTGGTCAGTTGTATAGAAGTAAATTAGGAAGTTAATAATAAAAATGGACAATTTCCGGGTTGAATGTTGTCATTATATTAGCTTTCTTGGCATTTCGAGAGACATATCGGTATCTTTTTCAGAAGAAACTACGATTTTTTTTTTTGAAGAGCGTGATATGTCTCTCGAAACGTCAAGCCTATACCTATAACGTGGCAATCGGCCTTCTCTCTACTATGGCAACATGCAAACCACAATGTAGAGCCTTTAGGAACCCTTATAAGAAAAATAGTAACCCTTGCTTGTTTTATCTGTGTCGATGAAAGAAATTAACCATAAAAACTTATCACAACGTCACTGTTACACCCTGTATGAGTGAAATAATGCATCTTTCAAAGAAACATATTGTATTTTTGTTGTTTTAACATTTGACAAAGACTAACACGTAAAAATAGCTTACAAGGATGATCTTATTATTTCCACATTTCCACAATAGAAATTATTTCCCCTAGTTGTCGAGACTTATAATGTGTTTCCGCGGTACTGTGAAACTGCAGGTCGCTCTCTGTCAGTAAGTAGCAGTAACCCATAATAAATATAGCAGTCTACTATATCTCGCGTATATTATGTTAATAGTTTATGTTTAGCGTAAAGTAAAACAAAAAAATGTATTTATTTTGAAAACTGTTGGATTTTTTGACTGAACTACTACCATCTTAAGGACAAAACAGGATCATTTTGAAATATCACCATTATTCGATTATATTTTATTTCGAAAATTTTCAAAACCACTCTTAACAAAAGACCCAACATTTGTTGAACTATAAGCATTTTTATTCATTTCTAGATAAGATTACCAAATATCAGATATCTTATACCATTTCCATAAACTCTGTATAAAGGTACAAAGCAATTAGTACTATAAAAAATACAAGGTGTCCCACTGTGACGAGATATTAGACATATTTCAGAGACTACTTCGATTTTAATTTTGAAAATTTGGGCAATAGTGTTTTCGGCCATGCCCTTCTCAACTAAAATAATGGCGTCCACCTAACGCTTCCGGTTATATCGGAAGTTGACGTCATCTTCGTTATTTTAAATGAAAGACACTGTATATTATTGCAATTTTGGATTCTACGTCAATTTTTAGGTGAACTTTCATAAAGGTTTCCTATTCTTAAAGTTAACCGTTTTTGAAATATTTAATATTTTTCAAAAAAAATTTAAAAAGCACTGCCTAATTCATAAAGACGTCTATTTTACAATAATAAAGTTAGAGCGATAAAATTTATAGGGGACATAACTAAAACTCTAAGCTTCCCTACCATATTTCAAAATGACTTAATTTCATACAGGGTGGTAGTATTTTAATGCCGAATTTAGTCAACTTTAAACCAGTTTTTTTTAATGGAACACCCTGTATATTTTTGCACAACTGTTTTTTGTTATTAAAATGCTGACATTCTAAATTTATTATTTATTCATGGAGAGTGTCACAAGATAAAAAATACAACTTGCAGCGTATCTAATGAGAGATACACTCATTAACTGCCAATCAGTAGGGATAAAATAAAAATAATTTTAATTCGGTGTTAAATTTCTACCACCCTGTATGGAATTAAGTCATTTTGAAATTATGGCATGGAAGCTTAGAGTTTTAGTTATGTCTCCTATAAATTTTATCACTCTAACTTTATTATTGTAAAATACACATCTTTTTAAATTAGACCGCGCCTTTTTCATTTAAATATGTCAAAAACGGTTAACTTTAAAGATAGGAAACCTTTATGAAAGTTCACCTAACGTAGAATCCAAAATTACAATAATATATAGGCTGTTCCAATTGAAATAACGAAGATGACGTCAACTTCCGGTATAACCGGAAGCGTTAGGTGGACGACATTATTTTAGTTGAAGAGGCATGCCCGAAAACACTACTGCTCAAATTTTCAAAATTAACATCGAAGTAGTCTCTGAAATATGTCTAATATCTCGTCATCGTGAGACAGCCTATATATGTCAGAGAAGGTTATTAGAGAGACTATTAGATTAAATTATTAGAAAGATTATTAGAGCAGATTATTAAAGTAGAAAGATCATACTAGAGGCAGAGAAAGGCCTAATCGTAACCTTTCCCTCGGACAATAGGTCCCTGACTGACATAAGTAGCCTAAGTTTTTATGTGCGATGGTAACACAAGGTGTATTTCAGGTGTCAGCAATGGGTACCGCTATGCCGAGCTCTTCGTCCGCTCGAGGCCTCTGCAAGAACCCACCAGTAGTGCTTCAGATGTTACAGTGCAAGTTAGAAGTGACCCGTGAAGAGCAATTCGTGAAAAGTAAGTTGCATTGCTGTGTCTCATCATTTGCTTCACGACAAAGACATTTCACATGTTCTTATGTAACATAACTTCTTCCTACATTCCCTAGTACGGTTTAAATCAAGTTCAAGTTCAATTTCGCTGAACGAATTCCAGAGAAATGAAAGAAATATATTCATTCTAGAAAATGATTATGCATAAGGTGTAATGACACTTTGATACTATCTCTGTAAATACGTCAATGTAGAACTGTATATAACACAAAGTACCAATAGTGGCGATATTATAACGGGATTATATATGGAGTTAATATGGTAATGGTCACATGCGATTAATATTTATGTGTTTAAGGCTTGGATATTATAAACTGTGAATACAATAATTAAAATACCGTTTCAAGGATAGTCTGGCCACTGAGGCATTTCCTGTGATTTTGATCAAAATGCGGGTTCGTCACGAAGCCATCGTTCTTACAGGGCGACTTTTACTAAAAAAATTGTGGTCTCTTACGAGACTAGAGACAGCTATATTCTGTAGCAAGTTTTCTGCATTGTTATTGTATTTTAGGCGAAGGTGTATGATAATTGCATATGTATTTAGAATTCACTTTTCATGAACATAATTTTGTGTAAGTGAGAGAGTAAGGACAAATAAATTAATGGGCACGTTATTTTTCAGTTTATGAAGATTTACTTATTCATTTACTTATTCTTTTAATAAAAACGTTAGATATACGTACAATGCATTGATTTTTTTCTAATTACTTCATTTGTTTTGGACAGATGAATTGAAGCCCAAAAAAATGTAGTGATAAAGATAATTTTGTCGTTGGAATATTGCATCACCCTGTATATATTGATAATAAAATAAGTCTTCTAACAGTATCTAACTGTTTTTTAGAAAATTGAAGTTTGAGTTTAATCCATAACATAGCAAATCGAATAAATAAAAATTCTTTTTTAACATCCTTGTGTAACATTTTTGAACAGAATCATTATGAAGCAAGTACATTTGTTTATTTTTATTTGTTTAGTCAAGGAATAAATACGCATTTTTCTTAAAAATTTGAACACTGGAAAATTATTTAATAATAATTAGGTAATAACTTAATTACATTCTTCTATATAAGCAATTACTTTTATAATCCTCATTTTTGGTTGATATAGGTATATATACATATTTTTAATAAATTAAGACATTGAAATCAAATTTTGTGTGCACAATATTATTAATAAGATTTATTAGAAAAAGTATTGAAGCACAGTAGCGACGGTATGAATACTCTATTTAACATTACCTAATTCGAATGAATTCAACATTTTTTTTTTCTAAAAAATCTAATAAAATGAAGTCAACAGAAACCAAGAACGGCTGTGACAACATTTTTGATGAACAAAACAATAGATATAAATCACGACACTTGAATTTTAAAAAATTAAAAAATTATAAATAAGTATTTGATACAGTGCGGTAGTAAATTTTGCTTCGAGAAATTTTTTAAGTGTTTTGTGATTTATTTCTATTCTTTTGTTCGTCAAATTCAGTAAAAAAATTATTAGTTCGTTGATATTTATTTTTAGAGGTCGCTTGAAAACATTTTAAGTACACTACTTTTAAAGTTAAAATAATTATTATGAGTGACCTTTAGAAATTAAAATATCGATTTGAAATTTTCAGAATCGAGATCTTTTTCAACCTAGAAAATGTTAAAACAACGAAAAAAAAATTTTTTTTAATCAAATTTTTGACGATTTTGGAAATTTTTAAAAATCTTAAGCGACCTCTAAAAAAATTTTTTTTGAGCTGATTTTATGAGGGGGCTCTTAAAACATGATAATAACATAATAACTAACATATTTTCACAAGATACACGAAAGAAAATATTCGTTTTTTTTTGGGCCACCCTAATATCCAGTAATCAGATAATAATAAATAATTTCCCGAAATTTTTTTTTTAGATATTTGTAATTTAATTTATTTTACATAGTTTTAGTTTTTAAACTAAAAATGATGTTTAAATATAATTAATTAATTAATTATTATTATTCATCAACTACCCTTACCACTAATTACTACTACTACTACTACTATTACTACTACTACTACTACTACCCCTTATATGAAATTAATACATTTCAATCTAACTAAATTATATATTAAACTTTTAGAAAAATTTACATTTGGAAACGACAATATCAAAAGCTCTACTTTTTTCAATTAATTAATTCTAAATTTTATCACTTTTATAATTTTCTAATTTCTGACCAAACCTGTAAAAGCTATGCAAAAGAGTCAAAATATTTTTTTTTCTGTGGCAATTTTAATTTTTCAGATGGCACTTGATTTCTATATTATGCATAAGAAAGTTCCTTTGTATATATTCATTTATTCTGAAAATACTTATAGACGTACATAATATATTTGCTGAATGCTTCAGCACCCTGTATTTCAAAACTGAAGGCTTTGAGGATAGATGTTCATGTAAGAACATAATAAATATTCTCAAATTTAAGTTAGGGAAGCGCTCTTTTATTTTTGGCAAATTGTTGGGTTACATCCTCTAAATTCAAACATAATTTTCCAGTAATGAGGATATTTAAAAAAAGAAACTCTTTTTCTTTTATGCCATTTGACTATAACTTCACATTTACATTTTTTATGCAAAAAAACGTTTTTTATCCTTCTAATAATTTCTGTTTTCAAAACGCAAGACAAAATGCCCATTTTATAAAATTAATTTTCTTTAAAAAGTACGTTCCAGATTACGGCTAAGAAGAAGAAGGAATTTTTTTAAAGCAACCCCTAAACTGTTTACTTTCAGGAAACAAATTCCATAAAATATTTAAAAACCAACATTTAATATAATTATATCATATATTAATGAAGTATCTAAAGAAAACATATTTACAATCAAAGAAATTTTTTAAATTAGTGATGGAACCATTTCATAAGTTAAATCAGCGTTAATATTTTCCGGAACATTCCAGCATCATTTAAATCACTTTTCATATCAAAAGGTATACAACAACTAGAGTTTGTTTACCTTACTTCCTAGTCCTGATGACTCAACGTTCAACCCGTTAACCTACATTGAAAATGAAACGTTTTATCACACAAGAATTTATAATCGAGCCCGTGTCTGTTTGAACCTTCCTTAAACGAGTTTTGGGGATTCCACAAGAACAGGTTTCGTGTGCACAAGATGACATTTTGATTGCTTTGCAATAAATAACACCACCTGTAGTATAGAAAGGCGCCAAAGAATTTTGTACAGTTACTACTATCAATTTCGAATTATGTCAAATACCTACCTACATATAGGAGGATATTGTAATTGTAACATACACTGTAATAATTAAATTTTAATTTAATTTAATATTTTTATTATACATATTTATATACAGTGCGTTTATGATGAAAGGAACAAATTCGTTGAAAATTCAGGGAATTATTTTATGGAAATATCATTAAAAATTAATAAAAAACGAATTTTTGGTAATCAGTACTCTGATTTTGTCTCAAAATTAAACTTCTTCGTTGCCATACTTTTAAAAAAATTTTAATTTTAATTTTTTTATAAATATTTTATTTTTTTCTCAAAAATAGTAGGACGTAATGGTTTCTGGCAAGTGTATTTCTTTACTGGAAAGTCAAATGCTCTATCTAAATTGTTTATCATTAGCTATAAACTTAATGAAGTTTTTGAATATAGGTTTTACAGAGAACGTTTTAAATAATTTCTGTTAACACCCAGTATTTTTTATCAACACATTTTGGTGCTCAGATATATTCGATTATTTGTTCTTTTCGGTAAGAAGAAATGTCAGTATGTTTTTTACATCCGTTTGTTACGGGAGTACACCAAAATATTAACAGAAAAAAAAACTGTTGTACTGGTAGGTAATCCAATGCTTTGCATTAGTAGAGGAGGACTATAATTCAAAAATGCTATGCCATACTCTAAAGAAAAAATCGCGCTTAATTTGACAAAAAAATAATTGAAATTACTAAACGCCTGCCTCAGTTCTTTTCTAAGAGCAGTTACTTTTAATCATACTATAATAACTATGCTAATTTGACACAAATAAAAGTTCTTTCTAATCTAAGTATAATTAATACAATTTCGGTATATTCTACATAATTACGTCTAGGTATATTAAACAAAGTTCCCAGAGAGTGTCATTGACCTTAGCGGTACTACGTTTTTCCCAACAAATGGATGTGAACCTTAGCCTAGAGACTAATTCACATCGTATTTACTTGTAACACGATATGTTGTCATTTATTGTACCTACAAAAGTCGCCATTTACCAAATGTGTTAGCAGACCGCAGAGTTAATGGAAAAATCGTGTCCATATTTCCTGTCTGACAAGCTACTGTTATTTTTCAAAATTATTTAATTTTTCATTAATCTCGCTCTTATTTGCACCACTAACGATTGTGTTTTGTTTTTCAGGTGAAAATGAAGTGGTCAGGCCCAATCGGTCTGTTGGTAACAACCCTCTGCATGGTGTATTCCATGCCACCACAGACGACGACAAGGTACACTTCCCTCGAAGAATACAATAGGTTTTCTTTAAATCCAATACGCAACTCTGACAAAAAAAATTCTTTTAACTTATCTGCATCGAACATTTCTTCTTACTTTTCAGAATCCCCTTTAAAGGTAAACGTTATGAATCTTACAGAACAAATTCGTTTCGCAGAACAACCCAATGTCAATATTTTTAGCAGTAGTGCTGGAACAAGTCGGAAGTTGAAACATCCCACAAAGAATCAAACCTTATATACAAATTTTGTTACAAATACATTTGGAAATGCTGCTACTAGGAATAAAACTATAAAAATTAACTCAGTCAATAAGGTAACAACAAAAGTAAATAAACACGCTGGTACTGTAACTACTAAAACTGTTTCAAAGACTTCGAATCTAAGACCATCAATAGTAAAAGTACCTGATAGCAAAAATAGCTCTAAAGTAGTATTAAATGTTAAAAAAGAGGTTCATGTAGTCACAACCAAAGCTCCTTTTAGGATAAAAATAAATAAAATAACCACACCGACAACAAAATCTCCCAAAACTGTTTATAGAAGAACCACTTCTGTTCCCCTTCTCATTAAATTGGCAACTAGAAAACCTGTTACAATAAAATTGAGTCGACCAAATGTTAAAAATAGTACATCAAGTACTAAACCAAAAGAAAAACCGACTATTCACAAAATAATAACGAAATGGTCTGACAGTACCGATTTAAGTGAGGTGAAACAGGACTGGTATGAAAATGGAGTACCCTACCCTAACCCAAATCCAGAAATTAGTTCATTTTCACCACCAGTGTCGCTTAGTGATGTAAGTTCAATAACTCCAGCAGTGAGCGACTTCCTTGACAATTTTAACTACCCCAATCCCAATCCAGAAATAACTTCATTTTCACCACCAATATCACTCAGTGATATAAGTTCAATTTCTCCGACAGTTGGTGAATATCCAGAAAATAATTACCCCAACCTCAATCCAGAAATTAGTTCATATTCCCCTCCTATTTCCCTCAACGAACTGACTTCAGTATCTTCTTTAAACAACGATTACGCAGAAAATGCGAATTACCCTAGCCCAATTCTAGACGTGAATTCATACTCGTCATCGTATTCGATCAACGATGTTCCCTCTATTGCCTCAGACGTTCCAGACATAGTAGATGCCTCTTTCTCAGCTCCTTCCGCAGACGCTGCTGGTAATCCAGTTAGTGTTTTCAATCTGGACATGGTTTCTGATGGAACAAAGCAAGGAAGTACTGGTGGTGGTTCACCTTGTCCAACCGTCCATATTTCTAGTTCCGTTCTAGCCTCCAGACAAATGGAATGTTCTGATTTGAATCTAGTCATCAATTCCCACTTTCACCAAAATCAGAACGGCGGGGGAACAAGAAACCCTTCAATAAGCACCTACGATGGCGCTCAGGACGCTGCCGCAGCTCCCGTACTGGGAGATGTACCTCTTGCAGGGGAAGGAGAGGCCCTAGGGGATCCTGGAGTGGCTAATTCTGGAGCAGGTCTCGCTGATCCAGCTGTAGGGGCAGCTGAGGCGGCGGATACAGCTGTTGCTCCACAAGCACCTGCAGCGGCCTTACCGGGTGGAGGGACTGGTGGAAGTGGTGGTAGCGGTGGTGATGGCAGCAACGGCAGCGGTGGGATAAAGTTGCCCGATTTGAAAAACATGTTCGAAGCTATTGGTTACTTATGGAACGCGTTAAGACATTTGTTAAGTTTCCTGAAAAATCCATATTTGTACATCATTCCCATGGTGCTGTTCTTTGCTTTAGGATTCTTTACAATATTAGCGCTGTTCCCGTGGTGGATCCCTTTGCTGATGCTGTATTTAAGTGTGAAGACTCACAAAACACCCAAAGAAACAGTAACCTTCTACAACCACTTTCATAAACCTATACATCACCCTGATGGTTGGTTTTGGAATCATCAGACGAAAACCTGGCAAAATGTGCAGGATTTTGTCCATAAGAGAAACGACCATGGCGGTAAACGTGTTGATAACATTGAATCTATAATAAATAGGTTCAAGGGTAGGTATGAAGATAACAAACCAATCGTGCAAACATGGAAGAGAAGGAAAAGACCAAAATAATTTACTGAGTAAATTACGGCTTACTTAGACGGATTAGTCACTTTTTAGGTACAATATTTGGTTTGTTTTTAAGTGGGAACTTGCTTAAATACCAATAACGCTGCAGCATTGTAGATTCGCATTTTGTGGCTTCGGATATATATTTTATAATAAATGTAGTTCTATATTCGGCTTGATTATATTACAATTCTTCAGTGCTACTTCAAAAGTTGTATATATTTAATGATTCTACTGTGTTATACTTGTACATAATATGCAATATTTAACGAAATATATTGGGTTACTTCGGTTCTGTATAATTTCGAGGATATTACAACTTTCGTGTCATTTATTTAGTGTGTAATTAATTTATTTGTTATCTTAAGACAAAAATAAGTTCTGAAAAGTCAGAAGAAACGTTCTCATTACCTGAATAGGTTTTAGATCTTTTAGATTTTAGATTTTTCTATATTCTTCTATTTATTTATTATCTGCTATATTCTATCTTAGTGCATTATTTAAATATGTTGTAAAAACTAACGGAGAAAAAATAAATTTTAAATACTAACAACTGCGTTTTCTTTCCCTTTGTTTGTCATGTTTTTGTACGTACACGTATCTATCTCTCACTTTCTTGATTTTCGTTTTAGATCAACGCCATCAGCTGAAAATGCAACAAAAAGTATGCCACATCAACGAGGTAACATTACAGCGTTGGATATCTTACTTGATACCCGGACTCCTCCAAAGATAAAACAACAGGTACAAAACAAAATGAAAATAAAAAATGAAATGGAGAATTCCCACGCTGGTGTCGCTATACCTGTCGATGAAGATTCCCTGGAAATGGAGGAAACGACAAAAAAATTGAACTTTTATAAAATTGAGAGGCCAACCACCAATAGCGGATTGTCTACTTGGATTTTGTTGAGTGGACAAGCTTCAGGTGCTACTACCAAATCGCCGCCAACTAAAAAACCTGTCATTAAATCGACCCCAGAAGAAAAACAAAATGTGACTATTGTAAACGATAAGCCAACTAGAATCATAAAACCAATTTTTAAACAACGCCCTACCACCACATTGAAACCAAGCACAACAACTACAGCGCCTACCACAACTGCAGCTAAGACCACAACCAAACTAACAAAAGTTAAAGCCTCAGCTTTGAACAGTTCACATAAAAAGTCAAGCACAACCACTGAACATACAACGAAGAAACCGAATACCGTAACCAGCTTAACCACTGTAAAAACAATTTCTTCAACGCATTTAGCTGTTGTAAAAAATGCAACAGCAGAAAACACCACACTGTCAGCTACAGATTCAAGCGCTTTGCCTTTAGAAAGTAAAAATGGAGAGGTGGATCTTCCTAACACAGACAACAAAAAGAAGAAAAACACAAACAAACGAAAGAAGAACAAGACCAGACGGCGCAAACCAGGGGACAAAGGCACTAACAGCACCAGTATAGCAAAACCAACCAAGATTTTAAAAAATAAACCATATGGCACCCAACTTTACAACTATCTAGCAAGAGAAATCATGCCCACAGTAGGCGTAGGTTTGGTAGGTCTCATGGTGACGGCAGGATTAGCCAGCTACTTCCTCTATCCATTCGGTGTGGCTAGAAGATCCTACGAAATAGACAGAAAGGACAAAGAGGGTTCCTATTACTACAGTGATGACTACTCTGGAGGAATGCCTGAGGAAGAGGCCATAGGAAAAGTCATAGCAGGAATGCCAGGAAATTCACTATTTGAAAACAGCTACAAGTCTCCAGCTTCCAGAAATGCTTATTTAAACAGTAAAAATAGACTAAGTGATAGAAGAGCACAGATCCAACGCAATGCCTATAGCGGTATGGTACAAGGTACCGTGGAAAACGTTCCAATAACATCTACGAAACACGAGAATGAGAAACCAAGCTATCCAAGCAATAGCTACGAGCCAGTATCGTACTCCACTGATCTTGATTCCAGATATCCACCCACTGTCGACCAGAAGTTCGTTGTTGGTAATATTCCCAAGGAAGTTGTCACGGAAGTGACACCAGCAGCTGTCCCGGAACATGGTCCTAGAAACCTCAATTTTGAAACTAATTACGCGGAAGAACCTATTTTCGTGGTTGGTAATCCACCACAAGAATTCACGAGGAATATAAAACTGGACACCGTTCCAGCACAAAGGCCTAGAAGTTTAAAGGTTAGGAGAAAACGAAGTGATATTCCTAACGACATAGATAACGAAATAGTTTCCAACCTGGATAAAGAGGAAGCAACTACTATCAGCGTTGTAGATGCAACAACAACAGAAACACCTAGTTCCCCTTCATCAACGAATACCCCTGAAAAGATTGAAACCACCACATCTGGCATTCAGACAATCACAGGCCTTCCCGATAAATTAAATTCTTTTATTGATTTAATGAAGGAATTGATACATTTTAAAGCTAGGTTAGGTTTACAGATGATCCAAAATGCTACTAAAAGTATTTCAACATATATCTCCAGAATACAGACACGTTTAGATCAAGATTACAGGGATTACTCGAAAAACAAACATTGAATTACGTGAATAGTTTTTAACCATTGTAATTAAGACTGTTAATTTATACGAACCGGCAGAATAGCTTTCACATACAAATGGCCTGGAATATGGTTGTGATCAATTTTTAGCAAAGTTAAAATTCTTGATAAAGAAAGCTGTCCTGTCAGTGATACTTATTGGTTAATCTTTTATTTTTAAGCTTATTTATTTATCAAAAACTACGGTGATACATTAAAAAGTTAAATCGAATTTCCAAATGGTTCGTATACTCCAATTAAATGGACCTTTAAATTTGGTCAACTTGCCTGAATTTGTGATATAAGTTAGTTTGAGGTATATAATAACAATAAGTGACAGTATTTTTTCAACCCCCGGCCAGGGGCGAAAATAGACAAAATAAAGGGGTCTTCAAGATTACTCAAAAGGAGTAAGAGCTAGAAAAAAAAATATTATAAAAGTTGTAGAGCATAAAATTCTGCATAAAAATAGTCTTGAGATTTTCTTGTACTATTAAAATTAACAGAGTTAGGGGTTAGGGAGATTAGAAGTTAAGGGATGATTTCAGAAATTTAAAAAATTATAATCAGAAAAATTAATTTAATAAATTTTTTTTTCAATCTACTCTAAAAATTGTAAACTTTCTTTTCAAAGAAATAAATATATTTTTTTATTTTTAATTAAAAAGTTCACAATTTCAATTTTTTAATCGTTAATTTTTATGATTTGAACTAAAACAATTTTTTCCTATGCCATTCGAAATTTATGATAATGAAAAGTTGCTTTCGAAATGTCTTACAACAAAGATAAAAAGTATTTTCTCTCAAATTGTTATAACTTTTTTATTAAAAATTAAAAAATATATCTGTAAAGATAATTCACATTTTCTAGAGTAGATTGAAAAAAATATATATAAAATTCATTCATTTTTCTGCTTGTAATGATTTTTTAAATGTCTGAAATGATCCATTCACTTCTAGTCTCCCTAACTCTGTTAATTTTAATAGTACAAGAAAAACTCAATAGACCATTTTTATGTAGAATTTTATGCTCTACAACTTTTATAAGAACTTTTTTTTCTAGCTCTTGAAAAACCCCTTTATTTTATCTTTTTACACCTCAGGCCGGGGGTTGAAAAAAACCAACTTATATTAAAAATTCAAGCAAGTTGACCAAAATTGCGATTTAAAGGTCCATTTAATTTAATAGTTATATTAAATTGAATCGTTTGTTCAGAACAGGTTCAGTAAGTAATGATTAACAAATAAATAAAAACAGAATTTAGGAATTGTAACAAGTCTTCGGCGAAATTTGTAGACTCGGTTTTGAATTATTTTGTAATACCTTCTTGTATTACTTTATTTTATATACAAAATTGATAAAATATTGTTTACTAATTATTATAAAACTAAGACGCATAATATTTACCGAAAATGTCAACATTTTGATTTTATTTTTTATGTCATCGTTGCCAAAACAGAATTAAATTTAATTAAAAAACAATTATATACATATTTTTTAAAATGTTTTTAAAAAATAAAACTTTAATTGAAAATGTGAAATGTTTCGTCAAACATTCTAATACAAAAGTACGAATATATGGACTGAAATGAAACTGCAAAATTGTACTCATTTTATTTATGATTAAAATCACCTACACAGGTGTTGGAGAACATTTGTACCAATCCATTAGTATTCAATAATATAATTATTCTAATTATTTATGTACTCTCGAATACGCAATTCTAAAAAGTTAACAGTTGTAGTAAATCAATATTTTTGTTTTTTATTAAACGAACAACTTTAAAATTTGTAAATTGTAAGAGAGTATGTAGATGATAGTGCAGGGTAAGGCTTAGGGTATCTATTTAAAATATCTACATTATAATAAATATTTATCACTTATCCTAGTTATACAAAAAGGCTGTAAAATAAATAAACGAAATAAATTACACTATAAGTAACGTGGGAGAGTTATTTGTACACCAGAACTAGGACTGCTTGCAGCAAGCAGAAGACTTCTCTTTTTCCTCCTCTTCCCGTTCATTGCAATCGGCACCAACATAGCCATAGTCGCAGGAATCATACCTGCTCCAACCCCTGCTAAAACCGCACTACTATCGGGAGGCGTGTTCCTTGGTATAGTAGCGATAGTTGAACTGGTAAGTTCCCTTGTAGGCTTCTTCTTTTTCAAGGGTTTACTGTGTCTCTTAGGCTTATCCTTCATTTTTTGTAGCTTTATGTACTTCCTTTGAGCCTGCTCCACGGTTTCAAAACTAGAATCCACTTGAAGCAGTCCTCCATGGGACGTGGTCATATTAACTTTAGAGTTTTTTAAAGGTGGAAGTACTGTGAGACTTACGGATTGGTGGGTACCAATGGACCGAGGGTTAATTTCCAGCGATCTTTGTTTACTTTTGGGGAGTTTGTAGCCTTTTGTTGTTGATAATAGTACCCATTCACCGTCACCTATATCGGGATTGGTTTCGGGATTTAGATCCGTACCTATCCTCCTATTTTCGTAATAATTTGATGGGAAGTTTGGAGGCTTACCGTCAGTTATAATCCCAACATCTTCGTCATGGTTACAATTGTGATCGTGATTGTAATAGCTGTTCGCTTTCACAGGGTGCCTCTGGTAAGGTGTATGAGCGTGTAAGTGAACAGTTTGTCCATATACTGCTGATGGTTTGGAATACTGTGATTTGTCGTCGTCTAAGTAGTACAATTGATATTCGTTTTTATTGTCTTGGGGTCGGTTGCCATAGTGATAGCTGTTTTCCAGAGTGGGTTTATTCCAAGAAGACAGTCTGTCATTGGAATAGTCGATGTTATGAGGTGGTTTGTTTTCATGCGAAGGGAAATCGTCCCATGGGCGTTCGGTGGTCGTGGATTTGCTCTGCCACTTGGAAATCTTCGATAGAGACCAAGGTATCGGTTCCAAAGTGACCCACCCCTTTTTATCGTCATAAGGATGATTGTGTTCCCTCACGTTTAAAAGACTCCAATGTTTTTTACCTTCCTTGTCTTCACCTGATGGACTACGGTCCGGGCGTTTATTTTTTATCACCTTTTCAGCATAACTGCTTAAAAAATCCCTTAAAGCAGTATGGGAAAACTCGGCACTGTTGTTTTCCTGCTCGTCACTTAACGGGTTGTTTAAATTGGTTGTGGAGGTAGCGGTGGTAAATAAACGTTCTTCAAATCGTGAAGTCGGTTGGGTAGTGTCTTCTTTAGTTTTCCATAAATTTTCCCCTTCGACTATCCTTATAGGATTAGGGCCGAGTAGGTCTAGGTCGTATACTCGCGTTGTAGTAGGCGTCGCATTTGCACTATTGAAAATATAACTTAGCAGAGACACTAACAAATACTTTACACTCATTTTAACGCGACAGGCTCTCAACCCTGACTGGGAATATTCTCGGTCAGCGCTAAACGTTATAAGTTTCCGCCACAATAAATTTGAATGTAGTACACACTCCCTCCTTTAATTATTTTGGAAAAATGTCGTCGGTCTGTCTTCGTTCAGTGGGTAGAAAGTGTGAAAGATTAGCGCAAAAAGCGTAGAGCGTTGGAAGTGAGGCAATTTCTCTCTCTGCATCAAATCGTGCGTTTTATATTGTGGCATTGAAATTTATGAATCGCAGAGAAGGCTGTTAAATCTGGTTGCTAGGAAGTAGTGGGTAATTACCTGCAGGCTTGCGGACACGTTTACGTTGAAAATCCGTTATACCGCCAGTAAATTTGCCTGACAACTCCCGTTGGGCTTATTAATTTTGTCAATATTTTCACCTAGATTTTGAAATGTCGCGTTATCACCATCGAAGATCTTCGTTGCTTCCCAGATCCACTCGATTATCTTGAATTTGATTAATTTAAGTTGTTTATTTTACTTGTGAATAACAGTGAAGTAGATAAGGTGAAATTACTAGAGCATATAACAAAAGACCAATGTTCAAATCAACTAATTATAATTGACTTCAAAGGAAAATTCCCAGGAAAAGTTTCCATCTTAATTATTTTAATAACTTCTTATTAATTTTTCACAGGAAGCAGACATTTTGGTTGCAAAGGGTAAATGTAGCGAATTTGTATCAAAATGTCATATTTCACTATAGCTTTAAAAATTATAAATTAGATTTACTTTTATCGATAGCAGAACTTTACAATGCATATTATTAGACAAAATTTGAAAAACAACCATTAAAAACACTGTTTGAAGAAAATTAAATGACTTAAAAGTTAATTCCCCCTCTTATAGAATTATACCTACTAAACTAATGCAAAAAATTAAAGGGTCAAAAGAATTTCCGAAATTTTTCCGTGATTTCTGACTGTATTTAGGTGAAAAATGGAATGGAAAAATGGAATGGGAATTAGAAAAAAGCATTTTGAAGCTCTAAAATTCTAGTTTTTAGATCTTTCGGTCGAAATTTTTTAGGAGCTACGGTTACTATGCAATTCTAATAACGCAACAAAAAAATTTTGCAAATTTTTTCCACGGACTTGGAAAAAATTTTCCTAGCTAAACCATTACATGAACCAGATAGCTTGTCTATTCAGCTTCAATTTCCTTTTTTTTTAATTTCAATACGACCATTTTTCATCGAAATATTGGACTTTTAATGGAAAAGAATTCTTTTGTCTTCAATCATCGATATCTCGCCGACAAATGGTCGTAGAGAGAATTGAAGGGCAGTTTCGAAAACTGGAATAAATTTCCTATAACATGCTGCATAACTTTTCGGATAAAACATTTTTTTGTCTTTTACACGAAGACCATTTTTCGCCAAGATATCGATGATTGAAGACAAAAAGATCCTTTTCCATTAAAAGTCCGATATTTCGATGAAAAATGATCGTATCGAAATTTAAAGAAAATGAAATTGATGCCGAATAAACAAGCTATCTGGTCCATGCAATGGGGAAAAAAGAAAATGTGTAAAATTTTTTTGTCGCTCGCGTTATTTCTTAAAATTGCATGATAACCGTAGCTGCTAAAAAAATTTCGACCGAAAGATCTAAAAACCAGAATCTTAGAGCTTCAAAATGCTTTTTTTAATTCCCGATACGACAATTTTTCACCTAAATACAGTCTATCAGAAATCACGTAAAACTTTCGGAAATTTATTTGACTTTAATTTTTTGCATTAGTGTATGGCAAATGAGATAAATTTATAATTAATGTCTTCAATTTCTAATTGCGAAACTTTCTTAAATCATCCGGTAAAGACACCTAATTATTAATTATCATTTACCTTATAATACAACCTTAATATCATTTATCTCTTTGACTTATATTTCAATAATTTTCAACGTACAATATCCATTGCTTATCAGTGAATTCCAAAATATCGTCATCTCATGGTTTGAATAACCATTTTGGTTAAAAAAAAAAACTGAAAAACAAAACTGTTTTCCCTGCCTAATATGTCATCTACATTTTTTAATAGCATCCCTGTATCTTATAGTTCAATTGGTAACTTTACCGCTTCCTTTTACCGACAATAAATTGTAACAACTATTGTAACACTTAGACATTGTTTTGTGTAAACAATGTAGGTCATCTTTACGCTTTGATGGTCATAGTCAAAGTCATGGACTTTGGGATACTTATACGGGAGTGGGTGATAAATAGTCTCGGTTTATTTACCAACAAAAATTAATCGTAAAAAATATTTGCAGTAGGCTGATGTAACTGATGAAGTTAAGCATGAAAATTTAATTTAACAGCAATGTATAAGTTTATAATTCTGTGTAAAATTAACTTTGTGTTTAAAATGAAGAGTTACTTTCATTTATGTTATTGGGACGGTTAAACATCACCCAAGAAATATATTTTTCAGGTAGTTTCAGGAATAAATTCATTATTTTCGGAACGATATTTTACGACATTTCCGCAGGTCGATTTTACATTTTAATAAGATTAATTTTCATGTGCCCCTACTACTTCCACGCCCAATTATTTACATGTAATGACATTGAATTTTTTTAAATAGAACTCTCAGGCAAACTATTGCAGATTATGTCTTCCTGTATTTAGCAAAACACAATCATAATACTTTATTTATTCAATTTTTTTGGAGTTCAAAATTAACTATTTCCTAGTGGAAGCCAGCCCATTTTAGTTACTACAAATGAGGCTATCCACATGTTTCCAACTATTTATATTTTTAAGGTCCACAAGTTGAATAAATACATTTCAGATAGATAGATAGAACAAACATCTGGCTGAAATTTTTATTTAAAACATTAATTTAATAGTGTCATCATGAGAAAGAGATTTTTCTTATTTATCTAAAATATACTAGTTTTGTAACGTTTTTTAATTATCATCTTATTAATTTAAATAAAATAAGTTGCTATATAAGAAGTATGCATTTATAGACGTTATTAAATGGGATAGATTGGTTTTAGAGACTATAAAATAAAATTCTTTTAATTTATTTATAATTTATTTTAAGTCAGTATATGCGCGTAATTATAGACGTCCCCTCGTATGACTTAATCCAAAGAAACACAAAAGTGAACCACTGTAATAGCAAAACCATTCTCTGTATCCCACTTCCAAAATGTTGTACAGTGGACTAAATAATTTCTTTAGACAAATGTGTACCTACCACAGTGAAGTTTACAATTTAAGTAAAAAGCTAAGTTTCTCACAAAATGTGTATACACGCAGAACGTGGCAAGTTAATGAGGGCAATTATTTTTTTTTTAATTTACTTACCAGTTTATTTATAGACGAATCTAGAGACCTGAATGTTTATTTACGAAAATAATGTTAACAATGTAAAACGATATACGGAGTCTTTCTCATCTAAAAGTCTTATGTGTTTTATTACATTTGCGTATAATTACAGTAATCACGAATTGGTGGATACAATATTGATATACGGTGAATGTAGACAAAATGCTGCGGTTTCAAGTTGTATTCTATTTACTGGAAGATCTGTAATAGTTACGCAAAGAGTGCAATGTATTGGTTAGTTACGACCCACCCCATCAAATTTTTTCTATGATGTGTCATGATACAGGGTGTCCATCCCTCGCGAGTCAAACAGTTTTCAATGTGTTCTCAATACTCTGTAAAGTTAGGTCAGTAATTAAATAAATTCTGACCTTACTAAAGGGTATACAAGGTGTTTCACCTAAAAGGGATTCTTTTGTAACTCTGTAACTGTAAAATTTATAAAAAATGGTTTTAATAAAGTCCGAAAAAGTAGCTATGTAACAGCGTCAAGAAGGTCTTGCAATTGTATTAGTACACAGTACAGCACATTCTTATCGCATCCAATTACACCAAGAGTTGCATAGCTATTTTTTCGGACATTAGAAAAAAAACTGATTTTTCTGGGAAACTGTTAAAGGTAAGTGTACACAACCTATGTCAGTCGAACGGGTATTCAATTTTGCATTCACACATGAGAATTAATATGGGTCATTCCATTTGAAAAAAAAATGTTTCAACTAGTAAGATTATTAAAGGTAGGTCTCAGTATTTCCGAGTCTGAATACCGTACACGTTTTCCTCACATATGACAAGATAGAGTAATTTATGCCAAAACTAACTGTGAAAACTGTAGGTTTCTAACTCTCACAGTTTACACGCTATCTAGCCTCATTTAGAGAGCTGAAATTGTGCAGAGTTACAAAAGAATCCCTCTTAAATGGAACACCGTGTAGTGATCCCCAAAAAAATTAACTTCAAAGTTTATAAATAGTATCTAGAAAATGACATGTAATGTACAGATTTAGTCTTTATTAAAAAAAAAGAAAATATAAACATTTACTACAGTGTAATTAAAGATTCAGTTAATATCTCTCTTATTTGTAATATGTACATGCACATTTAAATTTTTATGGCATTTGGGACCTATTTCAAAAATATGTGACTTTATGGAAGACATAGCACAGCAACGGTTACAGATAAAAATATTTTTTTTACAAAAATGTGAAATATTTTATATAGAAAGTAATAGTAATTGATTGATAATTGTTTGTAATTCGGAGTAGATACATTCTTTGGATTTCTAAATACTTATAAAATAAAAACCTAAAATTGCCCGGTATCCACTGCATGAAAACCTAATACCTGTAAATGCAACCTAATTGTGAACAGGCATCGAAACCGACGGCTTCGACGTGACTTGCCCCTTTCTCCACAGCGAAGTCACCGTCTTGGTTTGCGTATAGAAATTCAGTCCCTGTTTCCCGTAAAAGTGTAAGCTACCATGGAAACTACCCCTAGATCCAGTAAAACTGAACATGGGGAGAGGAACAGGGATAGGCACGTTAATCCCCACTTGACCCGCGTCCACTTCGTTCACAAACTGGCGAGCGTGACTTCCGTTGGTGGTGAAGATGGCGGTTCCATTCCCGTACGGATTTATGTTTATTATCTGGATGGCGTCTTCCAGGGAGTTTGCTGAAATGATGCTCAGCACTGGACCGAAGATTTCTTCGTTGTAACACTCAAAGCTGGTCTGGACGTCAGTGAGAAGCGTAGGTCCGACGAAGTTTCCATTAGGATATTTGTCAACTTTAATGTTTCTTCCATCCAATGGACACTTGGCTCCCTAAAATAGTAAGGAATATTTTTCACCGACCAGAAAAGATAAAAAAACTTAACTTTTCAAACGCTTATCAACGAAATTTACACTCACCTGCTTGATACCAGATTCTATGAGTTGCAAGATCCTCTGCTTGGCCTGTGGCGAAATCACGGGACCTACATCAGTCCCAGGCTCGCAACCCGCATTAACCTTCAGTTTCTTCGCTCTCTCGACGATTTCGGGAATCCACTGCTGTGATTCGCCCACCAAAATGGCCACGCTCAACGCCATGCACCTCTGACCGGCAGCGCCAAATGCTGCGCCTATAAGTTGATCGATGGTAGAACTCTTGTTGGCGTCTGGCAAGACGATAGCGTGGTTCTTGGCGCCCATGTTGCACTGCATCCGCTTGCCACTGGCAGCACCTCGTTTGTAGATGTATTTACCCGCGTGATCGGACCCCACGAAGCTGATGGCTTTGATGTCCTCGCTGTCGCAGATGAAGTTGACCGCGTCGTGCGCTCCGTGAATGACCTAAGTTGATACAAAAGTCTAATGATTCTCTGGAAGTCCTAACTTTCACCATCACTTCGATGTATTAGCTTAAATAGAACGTTGCTAGCGATTTTTTCATGATTGGAGATATCCTTGAAAAGATGCCAGCTCGTTAATATATTTCTTCTCTTTTGGGAACAAGATTCTTCTGTTTGACAGTGAAGCATGTGCATCAAATTAGATTCTTGAAGGTTACAAACACTAAGAGAAGTTGAAGACATCTATTTCGAAGGTGATGGTGAAAAATAGGTCTTTCGATAATCAATAAATTCTTCATATGTGAGTTATCGGTACTTTCAGCTAGAACCTCGTATTGTTCAATAATTTATTGGGCATGTTTAAAAAAATAGAAGAACTAGACCAACGGGAACATATTTTATATTGTTACTTACATTAACAACTCCCGGCGGACACCCAACTTCATTCAGCAGTTCCATCAGCAACATGGTCGCTCCGGGATCCCTCTCGGAGGGTTTCAGTATCATCGTGTTACCCGCGATAAGAGACAATGGGAACATCCACAAGGGTATCATGGCGGGGAAATTGAAAGGGCATATTCCTCCTGTAACTCCAAGGGGTAACTTATACGAGACTATGTCCATATCCTTTGATATATTCTGAAGAGATTCGCCTTGAAGCAGAGTACCAGCTGCACAACTATGTTCCACCACCTCTAACAAAGATACAATTGCTGTTACTTGAGGAATTTTAACAAAAGGTACTCAAACATAAGTATAAAACTAATAAATAGAATTCCATTTTATGAATGGTCTCTCTCTCTCTCTCTCGCTCTCTTATACTTACGAAGACCCCTCAATACATCCCCTTCGGCGTCAGCCAAAGTCTTTCCTTGCTCCAGAGTAATATTTTCCGCGATTTTCTTCATGTCTCTCCTTATAACCGCCTGTAATTTTAACATTATTTGCTGCCTAGTTAATACTGATGTCGTGCTCCACGTTCGAAACGCATTTTTAGAGGATTCCAAAGCAGATTCCATCTCTGAATTCGTTGTAAGGGGAACTTTCGTTACTAGGTTGTTGGTGGCGGGATCATACAAGTCCACCCATTCTGTTGCCTTCGAATCGACAAACTGGCCGTCGATGAAAAGTTTGGTTGTCGGAGCTACATTCGAGTAGCTTCTTTTGAAGACATTGAGAAGAGGAAAGGCCTATACAAATGGTTTATTGGTGGTGAATCATTTCATATACATTATTAGACTACAAACCCATCGGAAATTTTCAAGGGGTCATTTGACCCACCAGGAATTACTTATAAATCAATACTACCACATATAACAATAACTTTAGAAACTATTTGTCAATTCTTGTTGGTACAATTGAGTACACAGGTAAGCTAAACCTGTGGTTTTCGGCAAAATATTCGGCAAGGCCAAACATGTCATTATTTTATAAAATAGAATTAAAATTAGTGAATTTGATGTTGGTTCAAGTCACCCCCCCATACGCTACTTACAAATAGAGGGTTGCGCCCTGTATTCCTAACCCCTGTATCAGCAGATACGTACAGCGTCACTAAAAAAGTTATCTACGTATCAATCCGAAACTTGCCGTATAAATGCCGTACTGTAGTAAATCACCCGGGCTTCCGGTATTGCTATTTCTGTACGGCATTAGGTCGAGGTTCATTAAAGTTATTGTTATATGTGGTAGTATTGATTTTATAAGTAATTCATGCTTGGTCAAATGACCCCTTGAAAATGTCCGATGGGTTTATAGTCTATATGTTTTTGTGAAATCTTTATAATATTTAGTATTAGTCGCACTAATTTGTCTGTGTTGAAAATGGATTATTGACAAACATAAAATATGAAATGGAACTGAAGAGCAAGACGAAAATAGAACTTAAATTACAATTAGATCAATTGAAGTCAAATCAATATTTGCATTGTGTGTTAATGAATTCGTGTCTTTCACAATGCTAAATACTCGTATGTTTTAATGAGAGCCTAGCAGCAAAAGGTTATTTTTTTAAATCAGTCGTTTGGAGTTATATAAGTGAAAGTTCAAATAATAAGTTGTTAATAAAGATAAGTCAGTTATTTTTAGAATGTCACCTAGCATTTAATTCACGGTTAGTCAAATTATTTATTTTGTTGTTTAGAATCAAACATATAGTTTTCTTTTACTGCAACTCAGTGCTTTAGATTTTCTCTTACTTTATAGATTAGGTACCTACTGTTGATGAATTTAGTTAATAATAAGTATTAAAGAAATCTACATATATATTTCGTTTTAATCATTTTGAGATGAGAGTAAAAATGTTAAATCATTAATTACACTGAAACCTTGTTCCTATTCACATAATGTGATCATAAATACTTAAATCAAATGATAAATATTTCATTTAAAAGCTACAATAAAGTAGGTACTTACCGCAGATCGAATCATTGTATTCATGTAGCCTTACCACCACGTATACTGTAAACTAAACCTACCAAAATAATTCGACAACAGTCTTCATACACAACAAATAATGTTTTATTAATAAATCCCCCACTATTTAAGAAGGCACTTTTATCGAAGTTTATATGGTATAAGAGAAAATATCGTAGTGATAACAAGTTTGTTGACTACGACCACGATTCAACTGGCTATTTTTATGTACATTTCGTCAAAAGCTAACAGCAAATAACCCACATATTTAAGATAACTGACAACATCAGCTGATTGTCTATTGATTATGATTACGGAGAGGCAACTTGTTTTGTTGGTTAGCGGAACATCAGGCGCTTAAATTCCATATTTTTTAAACGACGAAAGTAAATAGTCATGTTCTTGCCTGACCTTGTGTATCATAGTTTTGCATAGGGTGACCAATTTAAAACCGTATTTCGCTCCAAAATTTCAGGGAAGTAAAAGCTATGTAATTCTAAGCTCGGATGTGATATATGAAGAAATTTTGAAGTTCCCTGTTGCCAATTTTGTATTAACTTTATAGGACGTCAAGGAAATAAGTGCAAAAAAAATGAGGGGCATTTCCCATATTCTTAATTTCTTTCAAAAAATTTGTTTAAGATATGCATAACGCGTTTCGTCATTTTTTGTTTTTGAAATTTTATGTAAAGAAAGGAGTAGTAGTACCTAACTATAAAGGCAAATGCACAATTGATTCTACGATTTTGATAAACATTAAATTTATGATTCGCAAATAGTATTTATGTTGCCGTTTCTTTACGATTAAATTGTCAGTGTTGCGAGAAACAACTACTTCGAGGACTATATGTCCCTACCGGCATTGAATTATACCCAGAACACCTAGTGCAACAGCTAAGATCGTTCGTCAGTTTAACCCACCAAATACAGACGGGTTTCGGACTTATTCGTCCTCATCAGTGTGCCATAGGTGAGAGAATCGACGAACGATCCAGCTGTTTTGCGTCGTATCATCACGACAAGGAAAGTCCAGTGCATTGTTGTTTTACAATTAAACACTACAGAATTAACTTTATCATACAGAGGTTACCTTTTCCTCTATCGAAACAATAGATATGTCATCATCTATAACTATTATTTCAAGGAATTCTAATGAAGCATGAAATTAAAAGAAGAAATTTTGTTGTTTATTGACTTGCGTCTCATTTTTGCGTTTTTAACACTAGTCAAATAAATCCAAAAGATTTTCCTGAATTAAAAATTAAATTAAAGAAATTTTCGACTTTACCACTGAATGCTTAAACGGACAGAAGATTACATACATTTATGTATTAATTTTAAAAATATGAACACCTGTTTTAGTTGAACATTTCTGTTAAACATAATTTACATGTTAATAACCTTTCATTATAGTTTTCTATATATTTTTATTTATTAACTGGAACGTTGAAAGACAGGATTTTATCAATATTAGTATAAAGAAAAACCACAATACATACATACAAATCATAATTCCGCATATCGTGTCTGACTTTCCTGTTTCGTAAACTAACCGCAAGAAGATTAAACATTTTTTAAAGCCTCAAGCGGACTTTGGACTGACTTTAGGGATAGAGACAAAGAAATAACAACATACTATTTGAGGTAAACATTTTTAAGTGTTTAATAAAAAAATTGTTTCGTACTTATATATATTTACAATATCAAAGTGTCCCTTAATATAAGGTTTTAATAGATGTCTTTAAAACATAAAAACAAAGTAATATCTCTAGATCTTGTCTGTACAGGCTGACCAATCCAAGATTACAAAACTTGCTCTGTAATGAGTAAAAAAATAGAGAGGATCTAACAATTTTCTTATTGTCTTAACGCACTGTCTCCTGCGTTGTAATATTAGATTAGCCAACACGGTACACATACTTAAACCTACTGGAACTACTTCTAAGTAAAAAAAAAACAATATTTGTACTATTTAACAATAAATATATTGCAATATCTTAACTATATTTGGCATTCCAACTTAGAATACTGACAGTCATTCACAACTAACAAATACTATGCTGCGGAAGAGAATCATAAATAGTAGTCAGTTCTTATGAAAACAAAAAGATAGCCTTTGGTAACATTTTACATGTTTTTGGCTTCAAACATCTCAATTCGATGTTAGCATTATTCTTCTAGACATATTTCGTTGATATTTGATTTGAGAACTATTGTAGAAGAAAATATATCAAATTCAACGATCATGAATTGTCGTTTGATATGAAAAAAGCTTCAGTCTAATCCTCGCTGCATTGCTGCATTCTCTCAAAGGAATATCAACAAATAACCTAAACCTTCGGCGACTGGCTAACCATATTTTTCAAATAAGTCACAGACATATTGTGAGTCTTACTCTGAGGCGGTTGAGTTTGCTGAGAATCCAAATTACTGTTATATTTACACCGTAATGTCTCCAAATACGCAACCCTGTACTGTTTGTTCATCGTCACATATACCACAGGGTTAACACAACTGGACAAATAAATCAACAGGTAGCCCACCACATGCAAAAGCGGCTGTTTCACTTCCTGATCGAAGATTTTCACTAGAGTTATGGGTAGGTAGCATACCACGAAGCAAAGGAATATAACCAGCACCATTTTGGTGATCCTCATCTCGCTCCGTTTGTACTTGTTTCCAGTGTTGTGCTGCTGTAACTTCTTGTGTGACTGTCTCACCACCCAGTAGATTTTAGCGTAGCATATCACTATGATGATGCAAGGCAGGGCAAAACCTATGACGAACAGCGCCGTCTTCGAGCTGTGTCCGTGCTCGTCCTTATTGATTGAGCAGGTGCCCAGCTTCTTGTCCATCCCATACACCCCCCACTTGCCTAACAAGATGGGGATTTGCAACCCGTAGCTGAAGATCCATATCAAACTTATGTATATCGCCACTTTCAACCTGGAGTATATTTTTTGGTACAAGTGGGGCCAGGCTATGAGTATGTACCGGTTGATCGAAATGGAGGCTACGCTGAGCAAGGAGACGCCGACGCTGCCGTAGCGCAACGTCGGGATCATGACGCAGAGGACGTCGCCGTGGATCCAAGCGCCGTGGAAGAACTGGCTGGCGGAGAACGGCAGGACTAGAAAGCAGAACAGGAGGTCGGAGATGCAGAGGCTGAAAAAAATAATTGGGTTAGTTTGCGGTAAGTAGAACAGTGCCATGGTCAAGTGGTGTTCAAATAAAAGAAGTGAAATTCGCCGACTTTCAATTGTTACACTGATAAAAAGAATCTACAGTCGCGTTGATTTTGCTTGGGAACAACATGTGGTCAATCCAGCATCAAATAGGTGAATTAAACATAAACTTTATTGAATAGGAATGCATAAACACATCTTGTTTTATCTGGGTCATACAAGATTGCTTATTCATTAAATGATTCTATCTTAAAGACATGCGTATATTTCATTTCATATTTCATTAGTGTAATAGAAAATATTTTAAGTCATATTTAATATTCTCAATTAACTTTTAATTGGAATATTCAAGAACCCTCATTATCCGTTATATGGAAATGCATGAAAATTTTTACAGCATTATAAGCGTTTACTTATTTACATTCTAGATCTAGACCTATTGAAGGGAAAAAGTCAAAAACTGCAATTCTTTCTATTTATTCTCGGGTGTTTCTGCAAATGCGTATTATGGCTTGCTCGAGTTACATACTTTCAATATTGTTACTTTTAATAACCAGTAAATGGATTAACATACCGAGCAGGGACATGTAGGTGAACCCAAAATATGGTGATTTAACCCAACTTACCTTTATACTAAAAACGTAAAAACAGTAAACGCTGTATTATTTCCATCAGAATTAAAATTAATCGTAGACCCTCTACAATTAGCTTTGTTTTAGTGTTTTTCATACGATCCTGAAGTTAGACCGGTTTAGAATGCGTATTTTTTGAATAATGTTCGGTAAAAGTTGTAAACGTATTTTTCATTATTCAAAAAAAATTGCCTTATTTATATAATAACTCTGAAACTATGAAAGATACGTAAAAAATGATAGACAAGAAAAATGTAGCTTTTTTTTCAAGAAATATAAATTTTTTTATTCCTATAGCATAAAAAATAAAGGAGATATCGTCGCTTGAAGTATCTATTTTAGTGGAAAAACGACCTGCCTCGAGCCCTTCGATCCTTTCCCTTAAAAAAACGAAGGACTTAAAAGGTTTTATATGCAAACGATCTTACAGCTCTTGAAATTATCTTTAAAATGCTTTTTTGTAGGGTACTATAGCTTCAAAATTAACCGAGTTATGGTAAAAAAAAACAATGACATTTTTTCGGAGCAAAATAGGCTTTCTCTTTTTTATAATTATATATCATATTATACAAATAAAATAAGTAAAAAAAATTAGTGTGATTATTTATATGCAGCGTAGCAATTTTTTTTATGATTGATTATATTTAAAAATCGATTATAATAAAAATATTTTACATTAATATTGGTAAAAGAGTAGTTTATACCCTAGTTGAAAATGGCAAAAGTAAAATATTCTTTCATAAACAATATAAGAGAATTTGTATTTTAAATTATTGCATAATTATAGCATTCAAGATTTAGAACGTAATTTTTTATAATTATTTTAGCCAGGAGTGATTTATAAGGGTTGAAAAATGTTATGAGATACAAATTCTTTCATAAGCAATGAGGGAATTTTATTTTAAATAATTGCACCGTTACAGCATTCTAAGCTTCTAAAAAGTAATTTTTTATAATTTTTATCAATACAGGGGTGGTTTTTAGGGGTTGAAAAGGAAAAATTCTTTTATTAGCTATAAGGTAACTTTTATTTTAAATAATTTCACGATTTAATAATTCCAAATCTTTAAAAAGTAATTTTTGATCACTATTTTTGCATAGGGGTAGTTTTTAAAGGTTAAATAAAGGGTCGAAATGATCAAATATATCATAAAACATGTTCGAGAACATGGAACATTATTTAATTCTTGTGCTTGAACAAGATTTTTATCAATAACAGGGTGTGAGTGTACAGGGTGATCGATTTAACCGAAGAAAAATATTCAAAATTAAGAGATCTTTATCGTGACATATTAAAAAATGTATGTTGCTGGCAAAGAATTTTTTGAAGCGCCGCGACGCCTAGCGTCGTAAAGATAATTTCTGCCCTAACTTCTAGTAAAAGTAAGCAAAAATGAAATAATTTCTAAAATAATTTATTTTTCTCAGCCGATTCCCAAAAAAACTTATTTCTCCAGTTAAATCGATCACTGTACCATAAGCATAAATCGACAGTGAACACTTGAACCTTATGGCAAATTTATTCAATTTCTGTGTACATGTCAATAAAAAAATTGAACGATTTTATCTGGTAATTTGAAAATTACTTTGGTGAAATTACCAACCTTGATATACGAAAAACAGCTCAGATTTATGCAAAACATTCTTTTCAAAATGCACATATCAAAGTATTATTTATTATTTTATTATTTATTTTGCAGAATACAAACATTTCTATAGGGTGGCTCAAAATAATGGCATAAAATTAGTTAATTCGTTTATAAATTAATTATCTTCAGGCTTTTCAAGAGAAACACCTTTCCACAATTATATCGACCACCCTGTACAAGATATGTAACCCGCAATACTTGAATGAATTTGTTGTAGTATTCTCATTTACTAATTTACACCACTACTTCACTTACTATATTACTCATTCTTTGTAACAGTAGTAACGCAGTACTCTCTCACTTCTAAACATTATCCTAAAACCGAATATAAAACAAGCAATTTAGGATGTAACACTAGACTTTTTCACACGTTTCTCAGAATATTGGCAAACGACAACAATTTTTTATTATGTAGTATTTTGTACCGACTCAGATTTTGTGATTATGCGCAAATTCTCTTTTTTGTGAAAATTGCAAACTTGCACAGGAAGACACAAACATTTCCCAAGGACTACACCGCAATTAGAAATGATGAAATATTTGCTACATGTATTATTAATTAACAAATGTTAACTACCGGAAGTTAAAAAAAAAAGTATGTCGTCATCGGAAAGTGGTTTGTTTAATATTTTAGATATTATTGCTTAGATATGAAATGAGATCAATGTTTACGACAAAATAAAATTGCATGCATAATTATTATAATAGAATTATCGAAACTAATAAACCCACAAAAATGAATTTAATTTTATCAGAACTATTCCAAGCAATCCGAAATCATAAAAAATACTAATACCATACACCGTACAGGTACAACATCATAGTTGAATAGCAGTCCTTGACAGACCCTTGCAAATATCAAGAATCCTGGGTCCTTGTGAGCAGAACGGTAGTAAATTTACAAAAATACGCTCTATATAAAAGATTTAATTAGGTTTGGCCATTTTTTAATCATCCGTGATTTAAATTGTACTGTTTCAGTTTCATGTAAATGAATGCTAATGTTATAAACACATTATCGTGGTTCATTCCATAGTGATGACTGTACTGAAGCCACCAAAGTAACAGAACTTTTTTTCCTCTCTACCGTGACCTCAGTCACCATTATTTCTATGATGAGAAAACTCATATCTACCTTAGTCATTCTCTCTTTTCAAATTAGTCATATAATTACGTAGCATTTGTAAGGTGATACTATGAAATTCCATTAAGAAAAATAAGGATAGTTATTAAATACCTATTATATGTTAGAGTACAGAAAATAGTATAGGTATAAATATTTATGCCCTTACCAACACTTTTTGGAAATTTGGAGTAGAATTTTTTATTAAAAATATTATGTTAAATTATAAATGTTAAAAACCTGTTGAATGTTACTACTGTGGTCTCTCCTAATTAAACTAGAATCCTCTTTAAGTAATTTAGACTTAGATTGCAATTTTACTTGGCGATATTGCTAATGTCGATTTGGTTTTGCAAGTATCACTAAAAATATTTGAAAGTTAAAGTAAATCGCATTCTTGCTGACAATGAACTAAATGCATTCGTTTACCTTATCAAAACACGCGATTGGCTAAATATTTGTTTTATTATGTATCTTGAAGTCGACATAAGAACTGTGGTATTTTCACATTATTTAGTTTAAACAATATTTCAAAAATCCTAAATATAAATTCAAATTACTTAAGTATATTACATGAAATTATTACTTTAAAAAATATATTACCCTTAAAATGCTACGTCTCTTTAATTTATCAGTAATTTTTAGTAATAGTAGTAATTTTAGAATAGAATACTATTAAAAATATTAAAATTGAAGTCCTGTAAAATGAAATTAATTTAAATAATTAATATATCAAAAATTCCTAGTGGGAATACCGCTTAAGTAAATAAATACAGTGTTACTACTATCACTTAATGTGATAAAAGTTTTATTAGACAGATTGACAAATTATTTACATATGAATGCTTTCAACTGCTCATTTTTCAATGTGTCGCGTCTTCATCTCAATTAAATATTTATAAACAACTACACAGTTCATCAGCACATAAGGAAATGTGTGTTAAAACGTAATTTTACTTTTATTTTTGTTAAACATTGAGAGGTGATAATGAATGGCGTTTTAACAGTCCGTATAGTAAATAAGTACTTGTATGTGTTTATAGAATTTGAAGCAAACTACAAACAAATATTTCGAGAAATATACAGGGTATTGCAAAAAAGGAGGTTAAAGGATTAATTCTTTTGGTGAACATAAATACGCTATTTTCATTTAGGCATTTCTTATTCAATATACAGGGGATTAAAATTAGAATTTGAACGAAGATTTTTTCAGTTGAAACTTTTCACAATGTAATTTGTACAATTATTACTTTCTAGCATAAACAGTTTGATTGAATTTTAATAATTGAATTTTTATTACAGAAAATCGTAATAATACATGACAACAACAAATATCACAAGTGAACTAAAGTTATGACAAGATTTATTGGATTTGGTTTCGACTACACTCATTTAATGTTTGATTTGTAGGTTTTCACACAAACCACTTTAATCGCAACGCAATCCTTATCAGTAAAAAAGTACATAAATATTGTGATTTGAGGAACCTTATAAATAAACATGGGATTTCCCTTACCTTGCTATGAAAGCGGCTGCTACAGTTCGAAGTTTAGAATGTCGCAGTAATGCCACAAGTGTTAATAAATTCCCCAGGACGCCCACCACCATTATCACGACGGTGAAGATACCGGCTGCGGTCAACATAGGGCGTGAATATCTGGAAAAAAGAAATTAATGTAGTTTTTGTAAAATTGGGGTATTTTGCCACACAAAAAGTGCAAAAATAAATAAATAACTCGTTGAGCGAAAAAAATCAGCAGAAGGTGATTTTCCGTAAAAGAAAGATATAACATATACTTTGTAGGTTATATCTCGCTCATATCCGGAACATGTCGGTAGATAGACGTCTAAATGCTAAACCGTTCGTCAGTTGTTTCACCAATTCACTGATGAGAAACCGTATCTTCAAAACAGTCTATATCTGGTGATGTTGCTGACGAATTTTAGCGGTTTAATATAAAACGATAATATATATTTTAGCGAATATAATATAGTTAGAAGTATAAGTCAATGTTGAATGGAACATATCGTCCGCAGAGTAGTTGTTTCCCACGATATAATAATATAAAAAGTTTATATCGCCTAGTGCGAAACTTGTGATTTTATTGCTCAATAGCAATAAAGAAATTAATCAATATTTGTTATATTTTTATTTTATGATCTCGTGCCCCAAATTTTGTTGTTTGGGTATTTTGCCATCTGTCATTTGTAGGTTTTTGGAAAAACATTTGTATATAAAAATTATTGCAAAACTAAAAAAAGGTTTGTGTTTTGTTTTCGTTTCTATTTTGTTCAGAAAATTATTTTGTCAGGCAACAATATTGTAATAAAAACCAACCTTTGACTAATCTTTCTAACATCAATTCGATTTTATTTTATTCTGCAAATAACAAAATATCCACAGTATTACACTAACTTAGTTATTAACTATTTCAAACGAAATAATCCTCTCAACTTACTTTTAACAAGCCTCCCCCATTAGTTCTTCCTTTTAACAGAAATCCAACACTGTGATACAAAATAAAACGCATTCGATACAATTCAAACAAAATATGCAGTACTTAATTGTAGTAACCAATCTATTCCACATGTATTTTATAAAACGGATAAAGAGAGACAGGTGTATACGATCTAATTAACAGCTAGTCATTAGGACGGAGTCAAAACTCATGTGCATTGATATTTGCACCTACCGTCTATTAAATTAATTAACGGCAAAATATCTGCAAAACGCATAAAATTATTTACCATTAAAAGTGCATATTGGTAACAATTTATTATACACGGTGACCTAAAGCCGCCACTAAAGTGGCGGTCTGGTCCCCTAAATGGAGTAGTTTTCAAGATACAATGTGTCACAAAAACATAAATATGTCTAAAGATATCTGTCGTAATTAATGAAACTTGAGTAAAAAAAAGTGTAGTTGCCAAGATATTGTCCTATTTTCTACTGTCATTTTCTAATTCTGTCAGTTGCTTGCAACAATTTAGTCTCTATTAACCTTTCAGGTCTTGTCTTATGTTGTCATTATGTCGTGAATTATATCAAGGTACATAAAAAGTAAATAGTTCATAAAGTCTAGGAAACTCAATGGTTTGTTTATCCAAAGCGGTAAAGGGTGCTTATGGAACAAGTTTGTACATTGTTATTAATAGATTTATGGGGATATAATTGGTACATAAAAGCAATGGATAAGGAGTGTGACAGATGGGTGTTGTGTGTGACGAATGATAAACCAGTGGCGTAGGTTAAGTGGGATGGAAACACCTGTTTTGGTACCATTAGAAATAAGTTGTTGCTTCAATTGCAGTAATTAATGACAATTTAAATAAATATTTTCATTACCATGTTCTTGTTACACCATTAGTTTTAGACAATAGACAAAAAGAGAAATTTTAATGGTCGTCTTGTAAAACTAAATTGAATTTAAATACACCATGTTTGACGTCAAAATATATAAATATACGTGACATTACATGCATATATAAACTAGATATTAAAAGTCAAATTCAGTCTTACTATCATGGTATTATTTAATTATGTACTTTGATAATTTATGTATTGGAATTTTTTTCATGTAGTAATGTGTCGTAAAAAGTAAATAAGTTTTTAAATGTACTTGTAGGTATCTTCATGGTGATCTAAACTCACACCTTTTATACCCATTGGTAGATAGTTACGACTTATTTGAAATTCGATCATTTCTTGAACTTGTATTCGAAATAAAAATCTCTTTTCTTTATCTAATGGGCTTCTTAGTGATTGAATCTAATTTGTTGAAATAAATACAGGTATGTTTTCTGATCTATATACTTTTTTATAAGTTGATTGGCCTGAAAACGTTATACACCAAAAATTCGTTTAAAAATGTTTTGTCTATTGTCAAAACATTTAATTTTATATTGCTATAAATGTCGTGAACCACATCGAAACCGTCATTTGACAAATATGTTGCAGTTATAGTCATCTACACATAATAGATGACTCTAAGTTTTTCTTAGTTGATAACGTTTCCAGAAATTCTACGTACATTTAATGTAATAGATATCACAAAGTCTAGTTTGATTTCCGTTTTACTGGTTTGTAAAACGTCAAACACTGACTTGATAAATTTATTCTCTCTCTACCCTAGTTTCCGGTAGTTGTGGTTAATTATTATCCGAAATCGCACAAAATGGCTATGACTGTGGAGTGCATATAAGTAAATATTAATATACTTATGTAGATGCTTTTCAACTGAAGTAAAATTAAAATAATGGTATAGTTTTATTTATTTGAATATACTATGAACATGCAAGGAAACATTAAGTCAGATAATCAGACGTAGATATAAAAAAGTTATGGAGTGGTCAAGGTAGTGTGGATCCCAAAAGAATAACACCCTGTACGTTATTTTCCTACATATTATAGTATTAAATTACACATTTATTAATTTTGTAATGTATTTCGTAAATTAGGAAAAGTGGGACACTTTTAAAATTAGTTCTAGACATTTTAGTTCCTGAAGTTTCATTAATACTTTTTTAAAAATAAAAAACACCATCACTAATTCCCTTTTAGTATAGTTTCTAAAAATCAAATGAATCATGACTGGATTACCAAAAAATTGGTAATTTTCATGGCCAACTAGAAGGCTAATCAGATGAAAGTAGTCTATTTATAAACATTACTATGTCATTTAGGAAAAACTAAATTAAAATAAGACTATTGGTTTAAAAAATTAGATAATATTATAACTTCCCAGTTATTAATTGACTCTCAACCCACAGATATATGAACCTGAATATAATTTTATTGACGTTTAATTTTGAAACAGCCACTATACTTGTAAGATAATATTAATAGTCACAAGCAAAATAATAAAAAAAAGAATGGTGAACAGGAACTGCATCTCCCATCATTCTGGCAGACACATGTTACGATGTGGGAAAAATGTGTGGCATCAGTTGGAACTATTTTTTTTAGGAATGCATTTTCTATCCATATCTTTCTTGAAATGTGAGTAGCTTTGGATGTTAATATTTTTTGTATATAGTAAATTACTAGCTTGTTAAAAAAAACAGAGCATGTAGTTGTAAAAAACCTATGTGAGTTCTCCAAAATAGGGATTTTAACTAGCATATTTTTGTGTTTATTAAAATATTGTTTTCGGACTTCAAAAATCCGCAGAATTTCCAGAAGCTCCAGACTTGGTAGAAACACGCCTTCCCTCCCTGAACAAATAAATATTACACTGATATCTCGTCTGGCTGTTACTATTTTGGAAAAAAATACAACCGATACTGATAATGTCAATGGCCTTACTCAATGTTTACGCTGACATCCTAAAATAATATATCGTACAGCGTTGATGAGATACAGAACGACAAGTAGGAAGCGAGATTTAACTGGCCGATTAAAAACGTCCCTGAAACATCCGAAATTAACCATCAAAATAAATTGTGTGTTACACAGTATAGAAATAGTTTGTAATTTATTCGTCAGCTAACAACAGATTATGTCCAGAGGGAAAATGCCAAACACTAACCTCTGAAAAGGAATATAGAAATCTTAAAGTACGGCAACTGACTGCAAGGGGTCAACTAGAACAATAATTTTCTTCCAGTAAATAAAAGAAAGGAATATTAAAATCATTAAAAAGCAGTACAGAAATAGCTAGGATCTATGTATCGTTGCTAGATTTTCGTGTTGGTCTTTGACAAAGGTCGTGCTAGTCCAAAAAGATATTTTTGTGGAAGATTTAACTATTTAATGATAATATGTCAAATATGTGCTTTTAAATTAATAATATTTAGATATGTTGTGACTGTTTTAAATTATTAGCTTTTTACTAGATGTTGTTGGGATAATTGAATGCTGGTCGGGGTATGTTGTCCGCAGAGTAGCTGTGTCCCTCAATATTATCAGTCTTGTCTACGAGATTAGATATCTACCTCGATTTTTAATGTTAAAGAATATTGTTTGATTTCATTTGATAAGATTTTTAGGAAGATTTTTTAAATTAATTTGAGGTATAATTATACAAAAATGTATTGATTGTTGCAAAGTCAAGGATTCAGATTACTGATTTAGTAACTAAACTAAGATAAAACCGCGAAAACCATATGTTACGATACAGTTACACAAGCAATGTCTTAACCTTCTTCTATCAACTGTGAGATAACCCTATTCGAGTAATTTTTATTTTGTCATGTGCGAGTACATGTCCAAATGTTACCCTACGTGACAATTCGCGGACGTCTTTCGTATACCGTTCGGTTTGATGAATCAGCCCCGCAATTTGGCCCACACTTCCGCAATCTAGGAGTGATGCCCATATGTGCGTAATCTACAAAGCACAGATTCAAAACAACTATTTAAACCTCGGTGATATTTAATCTTGTAGGATGCCGCTCATTATCTCGTCCCTAATGTCTTTCTGCACACGCAGCGTCGTTTTTCTATTATGATTTGCTATCAACTATTATTCAGTTTAACTGTAGCATATGACGAAGGTAAATGTTCAAGTAAAAGTAGTGATAATATGGGATCACCTTAGGCACGCAATTTAGTAACCTTTATTTGTCAAATTTAACACCCGACAACTTTTTTATATAATTATATAATAATGAGTACAATGACAGGTCCAAAGACCATTTCACAAAGTTTCCTCCAAAACTTTTTTCAAGAGCAAGCGAAGCACCAATAAAAGTTTCTCAAAGGAAGTGCTTTGAAGGTGATTATGGTGCTATCCACTTTTATAGGATGAATTTACAAGCTTTATTTATAACTGAAAAAAAAAAACCTTATTTATACCTGAGTAAAAGTGATTACCAAATATTTCCGATATAATAAACCTTTTGTGTTACTGAGGTACAGACTAAGACAATATCAATGGTCCTTTTCATAAAAAAATGCGTATGACCTTAACATAGGCCCATCATTTTTTAGTATTGGGGAGATAAGGGGCTTATCTAGTACCACACAAATTACTCTCTGTGAGAGATATTTTACATGTCTAACCTAGCGATAATTTTATATCTAAATGGGCAAATATTTACAAGTATGTTTTTAAGTTAAATACAAAAGATGGTCGTTCTGTGAAATGATGTTCTCTTTGATTAGTGCGATATTTTTATACGTTTTTTTTTTACTACAGAAGATAAGGAAATATATACATTTCACATAAGTCAATGTACCTAGAAAATTAGTACATGTATCACTTTTACTGAAGATAGGAAAGTTAAACTTCAAATATTTACATACAGCACTTGTAATGAGTTTTATAATTGCTTAAATTCAATGAACTGTTCAATTGTAACACTTTGTCGTTTGAACTTTAGAGAGCTGATATTTCCCAAACCCTAATTTCGACATTTTCCTAAATGAAAACATACGAGTAGACACCGTTATTACAAGAAAGTTTTATACTGTTTTCAACACCATTTTTTATAAAAGTTAAACAGTAAACTTTACGTATATACATATTTTTTAAGTAGTTCAACTGTATATGCGTGTAACTGCAAATATTTGATTGTTTTGATAACTATAACAAACTAAACAACGGTGAGCTCCTCACGTAGTTACGTTGGAATAATTTAATGCTCTAGTTTAGTTATCTAACGCGTATACGAGGTCTGTTCAGAAAATAACAGAGCTTTATTTTTTTAAACTTTATTATTAATTATCTGTGTCGAATTTGCTTTGATTTCATCAACAGTCTGAAAACAGCGTCCTTTCAGCACTTATTTTAATTTCGGAAATAAGAAAAAATCACAAGGAGTCACGTCTGGCTAGTGAAGAGGATGAGGGAGGACAGTATCTGATTTTTGATGCACGAATCATGAGTTTTCTTGCCACAACTCTGGTGCACCTTGATAGTACACGTGGTTCACTGTTCCACCTTGAGGCAAGAATCCAAAATGTACAATTTCATTAAAGTGAAGTGAGCTCAAACCAGTGAGCATCACTTTGACATTGGATCGAGACTGGCGTGCTTTCTTGGGGCGTGAAGATTCTTTGCCGATCCATTGTAATATTTTGAATGAATGTTTCATCGTCATTGGATTGTGCAACCAGTTGCCGACAAACGAAGAAGAAATTTTGCTGCAACTCGATGCATGGTCAATTTTTTAGTCGAAATTTCATGGTACGACCCAACTGAGATGTTAACCTCTTCTATAATTTCTCTGGATCTTTAACTTTCTGAACCTGGGAGTCATCAATTGAAGTCGAAAGTCTTCCTGGTCGATGATCATCTTCAATTGACTGACGACCACTTTTAAATCGTGTAAACCATTCGTAACATTGTCTACGACCCAAAGCATCATGTCCGTAAACTTGTTTCAAAAGTTGAAACGTTTCAGTGGAAGTTTTCCTCAGTTTCACGCAAAATTGTTCCAAAAAATCACATTTCAAAAATAGTCACTAACACTTAAACACGAAAACTAAATGAGATATGAATAGTCCAAGTTACAGATGAGGTTATGCGCAACGTAATGCTGCCAACCACATATCACTAAATATTTCCAATAGGGCGTAATGCAAAGAGTTCGATTATTTTCTGAACAGAACTCGTACAGAGGATTAAACGTGAAATGTTCCATTTGGTCAGCCACTAATCTAACTACATGTAAGACAAGATAACTTGCTACTTCTTTACACAATAAAATAAATAAGAAACGATATTTTCGTAGCATAAACATCGCACGGATTATCCTGTTTTATTTAGTCCTACTAGATTTTTAAAAAGATGTATTTTCAAGAGTCATCTGCTTATTGCTTTGATTTACTTAAACACACCTAAAATAAGTCAATATTTCATGTGAACTAAAAACTTGGGAACAAAAAAAAATCAAATAATTAATGAAAACTGAAACGATAGGTGAGACGAACAACCCAAATGTATTGTACTAACTTGATCTCTTGAATATATGCAAGTACTTATGTTTTGAATAATTAATTTATATTAATTCTTTATTACTGGTCCAAAATTTTACTGTACACATTTTTAATGAAATAGGTTACTAGGTACATAAACAGTCAAATTTGTTTTAAAAATAGAAGCGTGACTAACTTGTCAAATCAACAATTTAACAAAACGACAATCCAATTTGTTTTAATAAATAGTTTAATAAAAAATTAATTTATGAATTAACGAATTCGGAACAGCGACAATTGTTTTTTTTAGTGTTTAAGATTCTACTGTTATTAGATATTATAAAATCAAATTAAGAAAAATAAATATAGAAATAATGAGTCAAGGGCAGATTTTTTTTATTCTGACCACAAATCTGCTCACAACGGAACAAGTAGGCACTCGATAATTACAATAGTGAAATAGTAAGTCACATAAATTTAAATTTATAATCAGTAAATAGCATTAATTATAATCACCTGATACATATTAATCAAGCATTACAGAATAATTTAAATTTCAAATATCCAACTGAACACAGAACAATGCGCACTATTAACCAGCGATTATAAATAATAATTAACGAAAAAAATCCCAGTAGCGAGGCGTATCGCGTTACGGCACAAAGCGTCCACTAAATAAAGTGCAGTGCGACAACAATAACGATCACGAATCGACCGTCTTATAAACAAATTAAGCCAAGAACTAGACGGGCCTAAGTCTTGTACAATACACCCGACGAACAATAGCCACACGTGCACCACACATGTCGACGAAATTCTAACCCAAACAAACACTGCACTTGCTGGATCAAAAGCGATGCACCAAACAAAAATTAAAAACAAAACAAATACGTACCGGACCAATTCGGAAAACTGGGACACTTGAACCATTTCGGCTGTATTTGCTTTTTACACTGCACTAGCGATAGTATTCCCAATAGCGAGGGAGCGCCCCAACGCACAGGATGGTTAAAAATTAATTTTAATTGAAAGCAATAAAAGACCAAGCGCTAAACTGTGTGTAACTTAAACAAGAGCTTGAATGAGCGGAGTTTGGTCAAAACCCGCATTGCCGCGCGTTAGTCATTTGTTATTAATCACACATTTTCATTGGAAGTCACTTTTACTGGATTTACTTTAGATTGCGACAGTAAAGATACCGGATTTTTTATGACTAACCCATATTTTGCCATTACCTTACCTTAAACGCTTGTCACTCTGTTAATTTACAAGTGGCGTTGTGACACCGTGTTCACACTGGCGAATGCAGGCGATGAGGCTACAGCAGCTTATGAAATACTGGACGTTATCTAAAGAGTTTTTATTTTGTGGTAAAAACCACTGATTTTTCTCAGTATTTGCTTATCTAGGCTAATCAATTCATTAAAATACGCCACTCGCTGATACCTAACTTCCTAAGATGAACAACTTTGCGTTTTGAATAATAAAATGTAATTACTCATGTACTGGGTGTTCGAAATGACGTGTAACTGGTTTATTGTTCAAGTTGGACAAAAGTTGTTGATACTAATTCCATTTTTATTTACTGTATTCTCCATAAAATTACAATAGGAAGTTATGATTCCAATAGCATTAATATCAAAATTATATGAAAATACTGACCCTCGCAGTTGTTATAATAATATACAGGGTGTCCTACTAAGGTCGGCGGGATACCATAGTAGAAAAAGTATAGGTCCTAGAGCTTCGGGAAAAAAATTTTGAGTAATAAATCGACCAAGAGAAATCGCTGGAAATAGTGTTCAAGTTCATAGCTCGGCCGCTAGGGGGCGCAATCTACATACGAAAACATAGAGTTAAATTTTTCTCAAAATAATGATAATGAATTGAGGAACACGACGCTAACGAAAAGACATTTAATTACCAAAACAAAATCTGTTAATAAAAGAACCTACCTAAACCCACGTAAATGAGTGAGTCAATAACAATCTTGAAAATAATAACAAAAACAATAGTTTAAATAACTAAATGGATTTCACAGGGCCTAACGACACGTATACCTAGTATACTATAATTCAATAAACAAAGAAATCTAAATAAAAAATTTAGATAAATTTGGAACGAATACACTGAAGATGAATTTTTCGAGACAAAACGTCTGAATCTGGATCGAACTGAGGCAGTACAGTATTGGGTGTCACGAAGGCTTGCAAAAAATGTAATAAAATTTCTAAGGTCGTAATTAAAAAAATGAAGTTGATGATGGTCCTGGAGAGACGAAACGTTACATACAAAAATTGATTATGCCATTCGATAGAGGGCAAAAAGTGGCCATGAGAAAGTGTTATTTTTTTTTCAATATCACCTCAAACAAGGCTGAAATTAAACAAAAACGGATTTCCAAAATTTCGGTTTTTTAAATATTCCAAAAACTAATCATGTAAGCCTTGATTTTTTAGAGACATAATGTTGGCCCCCCTGATTACGCAACTTTGCTCTTTGTATCTTTTACCGTTTTCGAGATCCCTGTAGTGAGAAGCGAATTTGTAACAGCCTGTATTTAATATACCTGAATAGGAAACATTTCTGAGCCAAATGTAACCCTATCGGCAGAGCTACGAACTTGAAAAATATTTCCAGCGATTTCTCTTGGTCGATTTATTAATCAAAATATTTTTCCCGAAGCTCTAGGGCCTATACTTTCTCTAATATCGTACCTCGCCGACCTTAGTAGGACTCCCTGTATATGAAAAGCTGTATTAAAAAAATATGTGCCAAAATTTCTTTGTTAACACAAAAGTTGAAGAAAACGCAATAAAGATATTAAGTGCATGGTACAAGTGGCCACAAAAAATTGGGAATCTTTCTAACACCATCTTGAAATTTGGACCTTCAATGATATAACTCGTATCATGGCGAGTACTAAAAACAGATTATTTCCCAAAAGCCAAAAAAAAAATTTGTGTGAAAATTCATGTACCATCCCTTTATATCCACAAACTTTTCTCTGGAATTTATATTCACATTTATACATAAACATAATATTCTATCTCCCCCCCCCTTATCTTTTTCGCACTTGGAAAATAATGGAATGAGATAAAATTGTAGAAAATTTCTTTGTGCTTCTTTAACATCACTGTGATATAAGGTTTGATAGATCTATCTCTAATAACAAGCGAGACATGACCAAAGGAGTCTAGAAAGTTTATTGTTAGCGTACCTATTCTTTATGCCATATTTTTCTTATTATTGGAGAAAGATACCAAACCTTATATTATTGTAATCGTGAAAAAGCGTTCTATCCAAAATATGTGGGGTGTTCTGTTAAACAAAATACAGGTTTAATAGCAATATGCGAAATGAAACATTCAATTGTTTTTGGGGCACAATTCTGATTTTTTTTATAAATACGAAGGCAACAAAGGTAACAGAGGTATAATGAGTGACCCTGTACAGTCATGAATGAAGCATCTTGTATGTTACGGTAAATTGGAATAAAATTTTTGAAGCTGGTAGTTTAGAGATTAACCAATTTATCTAGTATTTTTCTAACGCATTTATTTATCAAAGAAAACCAAAGAAAAAGTTTTTGAAATTTTTAATGCTTTTCCTTGACTACTTTAAGTGTTTCTTTTTCTGGAGAATTTTTCTTGAAACAATTTTTTCCTCTATCAAATATAAAAGAAATATGAAAATAGCGACTATAATAGCGAAATACCTACATAATACATAATTAATGGAAAAATGTATAATTTACAAACAATATCGCCCAGTAATTTTTCCTATATTGGTACTGATGTGCAAATGACTCCTTCAACTGATAAGAAGTGAGTCAAATATTATTTAATTTTTTAGGATTTTAAAACAAGTATGTTTTATGATATAATGACAATTAGATGGACTTACCTAACAGGGATAAAATCCAGAAAGAATACCATGGTTAAATAAAAATATGTCACACACCACAAAACAACGACTCGCTCTAGCATAACATAATTAGAAACTGATTATCACAATGGATTTGAATACATTTTTAGAGAACACTACGTGGTTGACAAAAACTTACGCATGTTGAAATAATCATTATATCTTTCTTTAGTCGTATGCATGGGATTCAAATAAGCCAGAGCGCCAACTAAAATTAAAAAAGTGATTAAACATGTGTATTTTTAAGCATCAAATTTTCCTCCCTTCTTTTTGTTGTCTTTGGGAGAGATCACTTGTATTTTTTTAGGTACACAAGTCGAGTACCTTTCTGTTTTTTCCAAACCTGATTATGGGAACAAAATCACTTTTATAATGAGTAGATAGTTAGGAAATGCAATGTTAAATTTGTGATGAGCAGTGAACTTAACTCGACTTGCAAAATTCATTTGAAAAACACCGAATACGTGGGCTTCTCGTAGCTCGCCCCTAAATCTGTAGTGTTTACAGGAGTAATGTAATAGATATTCACCACTTTTTTTTTATCAAACTTAATTTGTTCATGTGTGGTGTTAAATTTTGTTACTTACGTATTGCTTCTTGCGTATTTTTTAAAAGACTAAAAATTTAAACTTATTGTAAATACAGACTATTAGTAATATGTATTGAAAAATCAATGGTGCGAGAAATACCAAACTTTAACGGAAAAATATTTGAAAAGTTTATTTCACATTTTCCCTGTTTCAGTAGCACTTAAAACAAAACTGCCCCATTATATTTAATTTTTTTTCGATAATTTCTACCAATTTTTCCGTTCGCCCTGGTATGGACGTCAAGACCCGCCACTGCAACTCAGGTACCTATGCTTTTTCTCAATTTGTAAATAATATATTAAAAAGAAAACTAGAACTAGACTAAGAAGTTTTTCCAGAACTAACTAAATATGATTTAATTTAAAGAGATTACGAAACGAACCAGTTTAATTACATCTTTTCGAATGCCCAGTGGATCATTTGGTCATGTCGTTTTCATCTCTTTTGCTCAATACATTACTCCAACAATTCGCCTTTTTGTTGCCAGCTCTTCGCATATCACAAAATGGTCAGTATCTAAACATTGTTTCAATGTTCTATATAGCTTGGTTGATTAACCTTCTTAATTATTAGTAATAAAATTTTCATGGCCTTAATTCCGTTGTTATGAAAAGATGCTCGATCCTAATTGCTTATGCGTCATAAAAGAGATAGAATTGTCCAATCGTCAACTATGTATCTAAAATATGAAAATCGCATTGAAGGCTTAAATAGTTAAACCCTGACGTATTTTTAATATGTGCTTAATATCGCTTAATTAATTAGAATTGATTCAATGTATTTCTACAGTGAGAGGAGAACTACCAAATTTGAAGTAATTATTCAATATGAAATTTTTTTTATGGAGAATAACATGTACCTTTGTATGGATATTTTCAGGTACATTGGAAATTATTTATCAAATTGGATTGCGAATTACTTTTTAAATGAATCAAGCTCAGTAAATTAAAATATGCACATGATAAACATTTACTAATTTTAGGAGGTATACCTTATCCCTAAAACTTTGATATTTTTAAGAAGTGTCAATTTACACAAACATCTGAAGAATGTTCAAAACAGTAACAGATTTAGCACAAACAAATAGTGTTCACCTGTACCAAATTTTAATAAGTGGCATTGTTCTTTGGACTTAAATTTGATTTTGATTTTTAATTTGATGTGCGTTTAAGTGTGAAATCATATTTCACACTTAAACGCACCTTAAAAACAAAAAATGATAGGATCATGGTTGATGGGAAAAAATCGTCTCATTTTTTGATGTCCAGCCCTTTATGGTACTATTTAAAAAATACCCTGTATAGTATTTTTTTATATTTTTTCCATGTACTGTTTTAAGCAATTCAGTATAAAACTAAAAAAAATCAGTTACATCAACCAGTGGTGAAATGAACTTTTATCACTTCGTAGAGCTCCCAGTTTATCTCTTTCTCCCATACCTTAACAAACGTTTCCATGACCGCAGCCGAAAATCGATCAAGCAATCAAAAACTTCAGAGACTGGCGCTTGACGTGACATTGAGTGAAAGTGGAAACAATGTCACAAACCGACGAAGATTTGGAAGACTTACCATTAGATGCAGAAGGTAGGGAGAAAAAGAAACGTGATAAAAAAGAAAACGACGAAGCAAAAGTGGAAGAGACAGGTAAGGAAAGTGAAGGTGAAAAATCTAACGATGCGCCCAACGAAGACGGTGACGAAGAAAGGAACGGGGTATTGGAGGAGGAGGAAGAGAAATTAATAAGAATAGAGAAGCTGTCTCTCGATGAAGAAGAAATTGGGGAGGAGGAGGAAGTCGAGAAGCATGAGCAATCTGTTCAGGAAGAAGAAATAGAGGAAGAGGAGCCTAACTATTATAATCCAGATGATTTTCTCTCGGGGCCTCATCTAAGCGAAAGTGGCACTTTACCGATGGATATTTTACAATTTGAGTATCCTTTTTATATACGCAATATAAACTTTAACTTTAAACTAAGATGTGTAGTATTTTAAAGATAAAAATTTAAGCGACGGAATATGAAAATAATGGCCATTTCTTTATTTTATAAAGCACGGTAGACACGTTGGTCAAGGTTCTATAGAGCAGAAAAAAGTGATGCCAAACTTGTCAACAAGAGAATTGAAAAATTTCGTAAAATTCAAATACAACACTCTGTATATTTTTATGCCAGGAGATGCAGAATTAATTTCTCTATATCGCTGCTATAGCTTTTCCTGCATCTAAAGTACCTAAACAGTTTTTGTAAAATATAATTTTTATGAAATATTGCAATTTTTTGTTAAAAAATCGTAGTTGGTGCATATTTAATGATGACCTATCCCATTTTAATCCTCAGCAGTTAGAGTTACGCAAAGTGAATTATTTTAAGAAAAAATCGGTAAATATGGTTTTTCTGTTAAGAAATAAAGTTGTGATAGGCAAACGCAGCCAAATATATAGGTCCTTGGTCCTTAATATACTAATAGCTTTCTATACGGCTACAACTGCAGAAAACCTTTCAATTTAGTAGTCTTGGACGAAGACACATTAGTTTACGGATCGGGAAACTTCATAGTATTCTTTCACGTGAAAACCAGAACTAAACAGTTCAGACGTAGTTACCTTGGAGGAGGTATTGGACATATTAGAGTAAATAGTTCTAACTTTAAACGAGGCTATAATATTACGGTCTTATTTACTTACAGAAAAATCCAAATCCAGATTATCCTCACTTTGCCGTGGCAGAATCTGGTAAACGTCCTGTGATAATAATTTATGGGTGGCCCAAAATGGATATAATTTGCGTCTTGAAAGGTGGGGCAGCCAAAATTTATACCAATACGGATTTCAGGTAATGGTTCTACCTCGACAAAAAATTGATATTCTTTAGTGTTATAATATGTTCTTTATATTCCTATGTACCTACTGATATATGCTTGGAAAAACATTAAGCATATGACATTGATTTGAGTTTGATTTACTAATTGTTCAGTTCCATCAATCCCTATAGTATAAAGATTTTTGAGACAAAAATTGCATGGTAATATTTTGTCAACGACTCGTCATTCGTAAATTCCAAGTATTATTTAAATCGAGTCACTTCCTAAAAAATGTACTACGGTTACAAAACAATAGAATGTATTGACCTTGATAATAATTTCGAAACGTAAATCTGACTTAACGTGATTTATTTTTTTAAGCTGAGGAAGCGAGAAGTGGTTCAGTGAGTATAAATTGCTGAGGATAAACTATATTTTGTTTCAAAAGCATATCTGCAGGATTTCCTTGAAGATGATGACCTTTTAAATTTGTTCATGTCTTTCACTCAAATTATATAGGAATAACTAAATGTGTAGAATACATTTACATTTACTTGTAAAGTATGGATATAATTATGAAGAACTAATAAAATCAAATTTTTTAGAACAATCTTATTCCAGACGATGAATTGTTCAATGAAAATTATAGACTCTGAACACTGTAGCATTTATGTGGAGATTGTCACTATTATCACAGTATCTTCCAGATATTTTCTCTTTATAACTTGTCCCAAAAGTAGCACATGATTTGAATTAAGCACTATTTTTATTCCGAAGAATTGACAGTATGATGTAGTAGTCACGTTGGCTATACGACAGATGAGCGAGTGAAGATTGTGAAAATTAATTGCAAGTACGGAGAGTGTGTAGGTGAGACTGTTCTCAAATTATGTGAAAGTTTCGGTAGAAAGGACGCCCCGAATGAAACAATTATTTTGAAAAGATTAGTTAATTCGGTGAGTTTTCTATGAAATTCAGCAGTTGGTGTGCTAAAGCGTGATACAGAATTTTCTTAAAAGAAGTCGGGCAAATGAATCGCAGGGGACATCTGTCCAATATCCTTTTTCATATTTTATGGCAATGTCTACCCTTTAAAAACGTCTACAAACTTTGCCAACTTTTTAAGTAATAAAATCTTTTTTCCTCATAAATAATCCTACGTTTTTTTTGGGACCCCTTTTATAACAATGTTACAACATTTTTTTATCTGATTATTTTATGATGGAGTCTTTAAATGTGACTCGAAGGACGCGAATAAAACTCTGAAGTAAAATAAACAGTTTATTAGTTTACGTTTACTCATATGCCTTCCATCAAACAAACACTAATCAATGATAAAACATACAAAGATAGAAATATTCATAGAAAGTATTTTAATTCGGTATTTTTTTGTTATTATATAAAACAGAGCACAGTCATTCTTAATTTAATCATAACAAGACAGAAGTACATTTCTAGCTGTAGTTAAGGATGTAAAAATCAAGAATTTGTACAGAGGGACAGCATAATATATGCAATGCAATTAGATTATGGTTATCAGGTAGATATTATTTATGTTGGACCACGATTCTACTGTCAAAACTACCAAATAAAGATTTAACTAATTAATTTGTTTATCGCATAGAAAGTTCTGTTATATCTAACATTTATAACTGACTTTGTCTTGTCACTAAATTGCAAAGCTCTTCTTTATGCAGACGATTTAAAGTTGTATACTTATATCTATATCAGATATTAATTATTGCCATAATGAACTTCAATCTAATACGGACAAATTACCTTGAAATTCTGTTTACAACGTTTACAAAACAAACTTGGTTCATGCTGCATCTAGTAATATGACAGTTTTTTTATCACTATATATCCTTTTGTTTAGTCCCGATGGTGAATTGCTGGTATCGCAAAGCGGTGAACCAGATTTCCTGATCACCGTGTGGAACTGGCGCGAGCACAAAATCCTGTTAAGGAGTAAATCGTACGTGCATGAAGTATTCCGGGTAAAATTTTCACCATACGTCACCGGCCAGATAACCAGCTGCGGTATTTTTTAATTTTTTATTTTAAATACTCCGCGAGATTAATTCAAATTTCTTCAGGTCTCTCCCACATAAAGTTTTGGAAAATGGCTAGGACCTTCACAGGTTTAAAATTGAAAGGTGAGTTGGGTAGATTCGGAAAGACAGAGTATTCAGATATTTTGGGAGTGCTACCAATGCCAGATGAAAAGGTAATTCACAGCTTTAATTTTGCTCCTTTAATTTTTGCTATCAAAAAACCTTTTCCACTAAAAACTGAAATATTTACCTCCTCAAAATTATTTCTAAAACTATTAATCTATAAAAAAAATTAAGAAACGATAAATATTTCCTTGCAGGTAATATCTGGATGTTCTTGGGGTAATATGCTAGTCTGGGATGCAGGCCTGATAATCCTGGAGGTATTCAGGACGTCGAGGAGAACGTGTCACGACGCCCCCATCGTCCAGTTGTACTACGACGAGAAGGAAGGTGAGTTATGGTCGGTCTCTATGGATGGTCATGTGCGTATTTGGTGGTATGAGAAAATAGACCAAGCCGATCCTCCAGACGACGATAGAATTGTTCAGATCGACCCGTCGTATGACTTTTATACCCCGGGACTGATGCTGATGTGCATCGAGAAGAGGCGACCCCAGGACCCCCTTGACAGTTTCCAATATGCACAAGTAAGTGGTCAAGCCGTGTTTTTACGTGGCTGGCGCCAGCAGCATTGTTCCTGATATGGGCGCACTTATACTAATAATGCACACGAAGGATTTTACTCGCTTTATTTAAAATATAATGCTTTTGCAGTCTAAATTATGAAAAAACATGATATTAAAAAAAAACTATCTTTGTTCAAGGATGGAAATGGCGGCATATGGTTGATCGACCTGAACACGGAGAGTGAGCCAAAACCGTCGGTCCAACTCTACAAATGCCACGCAGGGGAGATTGTAGACATCGCAGCTTGTCCCTTCGACAACTACATAGCTTCCTTGGGCAAAGATGGCAGAATTTTTATTTATAACTACGTGAAGAGAGTGCGTGCCGTCGAGTTCGATTTTCCCGCTAAGGGAACTTGCATGCTTTGGTTATCAACAAAGGTAAACGTATAAGAATGTAGATGGTGAACTAAAATACTTAACCAAACTTTAATCGCCGATTTTCGTCACAAATCTTCGAAAAAAGTTCCTATAAATATATATTTCGGAGACGTTTAACTTTCAAGATACAAAGTGTTAAAAGTCGATTAAAAATCTTTGTTTTTAAGCTAATTAAGAGAAGAGTGTAATTTCGGAGGTGGAAATTTTGTTACTAGACTACAAAACTGTATTCTTGCCACGTGTTGCTAGAATTCGTCATTTTCGTGGCAAATGATACATTAAATTTAACAAAAAACAATTTAACTCTTGAATAATTATATTAAAACAAAAAACAAACTGAATATGTACTCAATATATGATGATGCGCCTCATTTATGCACCGAAGTGTCGAACTCTAATAATAACATGTTAAAACATTTCCTTACATTAGTGTGCATTAGGGTGCGCTGAAAATCCGCTTTTTTTAATTTTTATTATTAATACTGAAAATGTTGTTCATTATGCATAAAAAAAATTTATGCGAAATGAAAAAATTTTAGGTCGATATCTTGGGCTCACCAAATTTCGTCAAAGTTTAAAGTTTTTTTTGTTTTGTTTTTATTGGAAATTTAATTCTCTACAAAAAAGGTCCTTAGAAGAATTCTGTCGAATTAATAATTTCTGAGATAATGGCATAATGACAATTTTAGTAGAAAAATTGATATTTTTCACATTTATGTTTTTAACAAAAAAAAAATGTAAGCTACCGACTTTTTTGTAATTTCTATATTTTTTTGGATTAAGCAACTAAAAATATAACTTTTTTCTCTCGAATGTTTTTCATATCTTGATAAATTTTTGTAGAAAAAAAAGTAAAATCCACTTAATTGCATATCCCTGGACCACACAAGAAACATGGGGAAAAAATAGAAAATAATCATAAAAATATTCGTTAGGGTACCTACTGTTCGGGACGCCACTGGACTTAATAAATCTAATCATGTTAGGGTTAAATTAAAGTTTAACACCCTGTATCTTCAAAATGAAGCATCTGCGCACCAATGTTTATATGAACTTTTTGTCTTAAAATCACTCAAATAATCGTCTGTTGAATTTATTGCACATACTTACTAATTAACACCCTGTATATAAAAAAATAACTATGTATATTTAAATAAAATTGCCATTATCTCAAAAACTTAATTTGACATGATTTCTCCTAAGGACCTTTTTTGTAGAGAATTAAATTTCTTATAAAATAGATCTTTAAACAATCACTATTTATCTATAAAAAACATAAATATTGTGAAAAATAAAATTTTTCTACTAAAATTGCCATTATCTTAAAAACTATTAATTTGACATGATTTCTCCTAAGGATCTTTTTTGTAAAGAATTGAATTTCCTATATAATAGATATTTAAACAATCTCTTTTTATCTATAAAAAAACATAAATATTGTGAAAAATTTCAATTTTTCTACTAAAATTGCCATTATCTCAGAAATTATTAATTTGACAGATTTCTTCTAAGGACCTTTTTTATAGAGAATTAAATTTCCTCTAAAGGTAAGTACAAAAAAATTTTTTCTGACACTAAACTTTTATGAAATTTGGCGAGCCTAAGATATCGACCTAACATTTTTTCCTTTCGTATGTTTTTTGTATGAATAATGAACAATATTTTCGGTATTAATAATAAAAATTCAAAATTAATTCCTATAATTAATTTCCGGAAATTAATTATAGGACTTTTATGTTAATTTTGGACGTAGACTTTATATTTATAGTCTCTCTGAGCATTTAAGATATTATAATTATACGAAAAGCAGGAGTTAACTAAGAAATAAAATTTATATCTGTTTAATTTTTCTATTTGAGTCAAAAAGTAGGTAAATCATATGACTTTTTTGGGAGAAGTAAAAAATTTGGCATATTCAACAATTTTTTTTTCAGCTTAATATCGATTGTTTATCTTTTGCACATTTTAAAAATCTTGTCTTGACCAATCACTATAAAGATGACACAGTCCCGTCTCATAATCACTAGAAGTATCTCATCTCACCTATGTTACAACTTTTGGTACAGACATTTTTATATTGAAAATATTTTAGATTGTACGCTCAGGAGACATTATAATATGCGGATTCGACGATGGTCAACTACGAGTCAGTTTAGTGCATATAGCTGATGTAAATCACTGCTCATTGCATGTTATACAGGTATGAAAATAGCACTCATTTAATTATCTACATATCTGCAGAAACCATATTACACCTACAATTTTTTTTTAAATATACAAATCACTTTTTTATCTCTTACTGTACTATTTTAGGTAATTAAACCACACAATAGGCCAGTAACCAAAATATCGGTAAATCCATCAGGCTCTATCCTTGTAAGCGGGTCAGAGAATAAAACCATTTTCGTCTTCAAATTGAACATTGGCGAAGAGACATTTACTTTAATCCCAATAGGTTTTTTCCCAACTCCTGATGTTGTCACTTGCATAACGTGGCATTTAACCGATGTAAGTATGTCTTAGTTAAACGTATCAGATGGGGATGAGGGTAAAATATAACTTATACAGGCTGTGATAATGAACTGGGACAATGATGAGGTAAAACGCACAATGTACCTACATTTGGAAAATAGTGTATGAAACTTTAAGTCCATATTTTTTTACGAGATTTCTGCAAATGTAGGTTTAAAAATGTACTTTTTTGTCTTACGCAAGTATGAAATCTCTGGACTTAAAGGAATCCAATCTATAAATCGCTTATACCTTGCTATCAACTGATGAAAGATGGGATAAGTGACATGTAATTTATCCCGTTCTTTCTTCTTGTGCTTGTGTTTGTTTAAGAACTCCTTAGGACTAATTGTAAGACAATGTTAGGACTTCTAGGCTAAGTCGAGAGTAAGTTAAGTCTAAAATTTCTTCATAAACCAATTTTAGGATTTAACAGTACTGGTAGGTTGCATGCAGGGTTATATGATGGAAGCAGAACTGCCTTGTGACAGAGTTAATTATACATCCAAGTCTTACTTGTTAAATCTTGAGCCAAGATATAATCGCTTTTCAACATACAAGTCCCAAATTCGAAGAAATAAGAAAATAAAACAAATTGAAGCAAAAAAAGCGAAAAAGCTAAAAAAGAAACTGTCAGAACTAAAAAAAGTTAAAGAGGAAAACCCAGGTCTAGAAATAGATGAAGATGCATTTTTGGGTAGGTGTCCACTATTTCCATTTCCAATAACTGAATTTGAAAAGTCAATTATCACAATTAATTTAAAATTTCTTATTTCATAATAGCCGATTCAGAGTCTGAAGAGGAGCTAGAACCTTTATTTATTCCCGAAACACCTAACCAAATTTTGTGGCTGATGTACACCAACAATAATACTATTTGGTTATCAATGGCTGGGTACAACATGTCTGCAAGGAGATCTTTGACAGCAATAACAAATTATTTGTTGTAGGTATGATGCTGGTTACATATATGAATATTTAATCAATCAGAAAAGTGGTACCCCACAAAGATACAAGATGGTCAATGATGCAGATGATGTTGAAATCAGTAGTTATGTATATTGGTAATTTATTATAATTCCTTACTAATCTTTAAACTATTAATTTAAAATTTCAGCCACAATATGAAATATTTAATATTTGCGATGCAAGACGGTTCAATAAGGATAAACAGAGTAAAAAATGATTTCCGTGATCTTTCCGACTATTGGATTCTCCCTATGCATGACAACCAAAATGGCTACATACCTAAAATGTGCTTCGGTCATAATGAAAGATTCTTCTTTAGCTGTGGATATGACGGCAACTTATTTGCGTACAAGTTTCGACCCGAAACAGGATACGAGTATCCACATTACATAGAACCAGACGTTTGTGGTTTAATTGAAGTGTGTGTTAGAGATATAGACACTTACACAAAACTAAGCCTGGAAGAAATGAAGATTAAAGCTGAAAATGACAGAGTCCAAAAACTGGCAAACGAACATAAGGCCCAAATAAGAGAAATACTTAAAAATTTGAAAGAGCGATATGCCAAAATGTTGCTAAGGAACTCGAAGCTATTGCCCAGCCAAATCATACCCAAGGAGGAATTAGAATTAGACAAAAGAGTCACGGAAGAAGTAGACAATAAGTTACAAAGTAGACTGCAGCTGGTAAAGAGGAAACTGGCTTACGATGTAGAAAAATCAGAAATTCAAATGAAGAAGCTGTTAGAATACTTCATAGACCCTGTGGATAAAGTTCCCAATACCGTGAGAGCAATAAATAATCCAGACCTTTATGTCATGGGCCTAAGACAAAGAGTGATGACGAAGGAATTTTGGGACATAATGGGCATAATTGATGAAAAATTGATCGAGGAACAGTTGAAAGGCAGGTCAATATATATTTCCTTAGTATTTAGAAACTAAATAAAAAGTGTTTAGCTTAGTTTTTGACTTACGCAGTTGTGTTTTAAAAATTTGACATACCTTTTTACAATTTACACTGTTTTACACATTTATTGGTACACAGATTAATCTTTTAATAATTAGGTGCTAAGGGAGTATTTATACACTAACCGAATTTTTTTATTAGATCAACTTATTAAATTAATTTGTTTCAAAACTATAAAAAAGTTTGTACCATAACAACAAAAACAGCCACAATAATTTATATAAAAATAATTTTGTTTGCTAACCTAGGAAAGGACGTTGTTCAAAGAGTCAGGTATGAGGTGAGAGAGCATGTGTTTTGATTTTGCATGGAATTTTTTGCATAAATTTTAAATAATTCGTAAATTAAATATCGAGATGTGGAACAGGTAGGTCCATAAATTAATAGAATGGCGTTATGAAAAGAGTGCTGCTATACATAATTTATTTTTGCTATTTTTCGGTACATTAAAAGCTTCTTTGCACTCTTCTTTTCAATTAATCTTTACATTACATTCATTTGCACAACAAATTGATCACAGATATACATTTTCCATATTATCACCAAGAGACCATTTTTTACTGCAACTAACACAATTTTTTGTATTTAAGTATATATTTGCTTACTTTATAGTTTTTCTGTAGTTACATTAGCAATCAACGTAATAACACTCATTTTGCATCAAATAAATCTCTCTGTGTAGACCTCCAGAGAGAGTCCAGCCTTCACCAAAATCTCCACCTCCAAAGCCAGCGAAATCATCGGGTTTAGAATATTTCTTGTTAAGTTTATCACCGTCAGTTCTAGAACGCAATTTGGACACAAAACTCAATAGGATGTTAGAGAAATACCGACAACGAAAAGCAAAATGGGAAAAACGTACAGAATTGGTAAGATATCATCCAATGTCAATCATACATCTGACGAACGATAACTGACCACACTATTGGAGAATTTTTGTTCTGATAGAAATTCGTCGTCAAAGTGGACAAGTGAAAACGTTTGTCAGATGTATGGTTTTTAGATAAGATGTATTCACTACAAAAATATGTGAGACAGCAGTCCATGTTACTTACATGTAGAACAAGATGCAAAAAATTCACGAACTAATACGTTAAAACTAATCAAATTTTGGCGAAAGGGGAAAACATGATTTTATTAATCATTGCACATGAACAAAATGCTCCTGTTAAACTTCGTTGCAAAATCTGCAACTGTGGATACACACAAAGATATTTAACTTTAGAAAAAATAAATATTTAAATGAAAATATATCGATTGCATAACTAAATACCTATCATTCATTTCGATTTTTGCAGTTCCATAAAAAATACATCGTTATTAAATTCCACTTATTTATTTTACATTCTAAAGCAAATACAGCCTTATACCTTACATAAACATATCGTCATACCCCGGGGGTGGAAATTCATCATTGTCGGGTCTGCGAGGGCCTCTAGAAGCAAATCTATCAGTGTCAGGTGGAGGTCTAAATGGGTCAAATCTTGCTCCAGGCGGTATAGATCCTGGTGGGACACCGGGATTAACTCCTGGAAATGACGGAAGGGGAGGTGGTTGGTAAATCATGCCACCACCAGTAGGAGGCAAAATACGATTGGGAACTCTCAATGGATCAATGCCGCCAAAAGGATCCAAGTCCGATCTTCCATAATTTGATGGGACGCCCAATATATCTGGTCGTCCTAAAGGATCAGGTAAAGCGGGCCCTCTTAAAGGGTTTGCTGAAGGTACCATTAAAGGATTATCTAAACGTCTTCCTGTGGTTTCGGGCTCTGTTTGACTTGACATTTCTCTAGATTTTTTGGAAACAACCACTTTATCAATTAATTGCCTTTTTATTAAGTCCACAACATTCTTATGATCTGGAATCATTTCATCTAATGTACCAGATTTTTGTGCAACTGAACCAGCATTAAGTTGTAATAAAGAAACTGTTCGTTCGTCGGCTCTTATAAGATTAAGCATTACACCATCATCCAAAGGTGTAGCTTTAAAATTATACAAACGTCCTTGGAAGACATACCTTATTGCATAGTCTTCATTCCAGCCTTTAGGTAGAGCTTCACTTTTAGCTTCAGATCCATCGATATTCTTTGATTCTCCCAAACCGATACATTTAAAACCATTTGACACCAATACCAAATGAGTTAAACATACCAGAATATCTTGATTACTCTTTATATCCTTCTCAACGCTGGCATACAGCAAATCCCAGCCAAAAAGGCCGGTAGCCATATTTCGTTTTAATTAAATATTCACTAAAATTTTGTAATTATTCTGGAATTCTCTAGTGGATCGTTTAAATAAAATACACAATGTCATCATCTACTGTCAGTTTTAGAAGAGGTTATGGTAGGTGTTATTTTATTTTGTATTTTCATCCATAAATTTATACATCCAAGGATGAAGCATGGCAATAGAGTGAGATGGACAGCGTTCTTTTATTCATTTCTTTTATGTGATGGATTTGTGAAGCCAATCAGCGATTAGAACTTTTAGAATAAAGAATTGTGAATTGTGCTTAGAATTTGTTACTAACTTCACAGAACATAATTTTGTTTTTGAAGACATTCCAATAAATCTTCGTGGAATCAATGCAGATGGCGCTTTAAAAAAATTTGTGAAGTCTAGGAATAATAAATTTTAAAAATTGGAAAAATTAAAATCTTATAAAAACAATTTTTTTTTTCTATTACGACATATATGTACGTAATTTAAACGAATTAAATTATTTTGTCCAACACTGAAATAAAAGTTTAAATAATTTTTTCTACTAACCACCTAATTTTATTATTTTTTAGTGTACACTATGTAAATTTATTTTTTTTTATTATTGATATTGTTTTGATATTGATTAGGTATTTCCTACCTACGCACGTAATCGTACAAATACTTTCCTTTAATAGATAAGGAGGATCTGAACAGACTATACAAATCAATAGAATCTGACTAAAATGTTTATTATTGTAGTGGGCAGATTTCACGGCAAAGAAACCTATCCCGGGGAAAAATCATCCTGATGATGAAAAACTTCTTAATGAAGCAAAAAATACTATTGGAGATTATAAACTCAAAGAAAGTGATGATTACAAAGTACCCAGGCACATGAGAGAAACAACTGTAACAAAGTATAAAGAACTTTTGGATGCTAGTTTAAAGGTTGAGTTAGCGAATATAGTTTATCGTGCAAGATACGCATCTAAAAATAAGGAATAAAATATATTTTGATTTTGGCGAACACCAAAACTCTTTTATTCTTTCTGCTTTTAGTTATACGAATTCATGCACGAATTTATTCAATCAGTTTGTGAATTAAGAGATGAAAAATATGTAATTAGAGATCGTTTACTAGATAAACAAAATGAGATACTTAAAATGCAGGAAGAAATGCCAAAACAAATGCATAAGAAAGGACCTAGTATTCCGGAGATTGATGAATCCGAATTTCCTGAAAAAAAATTAACACCTGCAGTCATTTTACCCACTGAACTAACGGAAGGTACAGAAATGGAAGCAAATAGAGAAATAATTCAGGTAAGAAATCATTTGAAGTGTTTATAAATAATTATTTTTAATTATTTAATACAAGTAAACAAAAACTCAACTGACACGGAAACAGGGAAATATCATTATACTTCGGTATATTACAGATTCAAAATATTCATAGCTTTCAAGGGATGTATTTTATTTTTACACCTGTTTATGTAAATATATAGTAGGATCATATTCGATGCAAAGTAATAAATCATTGCCTGTTAAGGGATCCAGTGCAGTACGGTTTTAAGGGGTTTAGAAATTAAATAATTTCTTTATGCATAATGTAATCAGTTCACGTCTGGCACCCTTGTTCCTACAAAAATTCTTTTATTCTCATAAACTATTTATTTTAAATGTAATTTAAAATGGTTCATCTTACACGTCCTAAAAATGATGACACAATTATCCTTTGATAAAAGACCGACAATTTTTTGCTCTACTTTGCATCGAATACGATCCTACTACAGATACTTTATTTTCCAGGACCCAAGTGAAGATCAAAACGAGAGGGAATTTTTACCTCATCGAATAAATTTCCCATTATTTGAAGGAGGGATATTTCAAAGTACATATAATCATGAAATGATTGAAAACAGTTTAGAATTAGATTTGAACACCTTATTAACATCTGATACTAATGATACAACTCTGGAAATGGATTTACGTATAAGAAGACTCAACAGGTAATTACTTTTATTATCGTACATTACTGGTTTGAATTTCAACAAAGATATGTTGCTTGACAGTACTCTCGTACTAAAGTATATCCAAAATAATAAATATATATATTGAAAAGGTAATTAAATACTCCATTAATTTGTAAGTAATATTATAGGAAAATGTTTCATCAAGACTGCATTTTAAATTTGATGGAACAAGAAATATTAGACTTTAATAACAAGATCAAAGAAACAAAAAAAAGTAGGCTTCCCCTACTAGTAGGCGAAAATTTCCGTGAACTCCACCTACTAACTTTAAATCACGAATTGAACATTCTGAAGCATAGTGAAGACAATGAAGAACGTCTTGTGAATAAAGTCAACAATAATTTGCAATCATTCCTTCAAATGGAAGATATAATAGACAGCTTGAAGAATGACAAAGAAGAACTTGAATTCAGTATTGTAAACTACCACGCTGAGGAAAATAAGATTCAGGAGCACTTCAGGCATGCTACAGATAGCAATAAATTTTACGATTTTCTGAGGAAAGTTTTTAAAAAGAAGTTTAAACCCCCGAAGCAGCCGAAAACAGATGGTAATTATCAAAATATCCAGTTATAGATGCGAAAAATTATTTCCTTTTGTTGATTAACAATTTAATACAGATGAAAGTTCTTCTTCATCCTCCTCATCATCTTCAAGTTCAGAAGATATGGACGATGCAGCCAGCTTGGATTCTAGAGATTTCGGTATCATTAAACAAGATCTAAATGTATGCCCCAAAGGATGCGAACAAACTATATTCAATCTTACTCTAGAATTGCGTGGACAAAGGTTAGTAATGGTTCACAATAGTTCACAATTAATTAAACGAGTTGTTACAAGCAAGTGTTTGAGAACTACCCATTTTTGAGCTCAAAATTAATTTATTTCGAGTTGCAAACATGGGAAAGGAACCGATGCAAATATTTTATTACATTCAGAGATAACCGATTGCTTAAACGATGATTTTTTTTTCATTCAACTCAAAAACGGTCTTTTATAGCTATATGTAGTAAAAATTTATTTTTGTAAAACGTCCACACCCACCAAGCACGCTGCAGAACATACTCTATCAAAGTAGTGAACCAAATTTGAAATACTTTGGGAGAAAAAAAAATTTCGAGCAAAAATTTCATTACATTCACTCCAGAAACTATGTCCCTGTATGTAAAACAACCTATATTACGCATACACATTTGTGAACAATAAAAAAAACTACGACAAAACGAAGCATTTTCAGACACATGTTTATAGTAACTTATTTTGTTAGTATCCGCCATTAAAATTTAGCCAAACATTTTAGTTACACTCTGTATATGAATATTTACGTGCAGAACTAATTTACGCATGCGCTGATGTTTAAAAACGGTTTAAAAATTATTCACACTAATTTTTATGCTATAAATACATAAATTACTTTCCGAAAGGCATCAAGTAGAACAAATTGTGGCAGACGAAAATAAGCGATTAGAGACTGTGAAAAAAACTATAGAATTAAACACAAAGAAATTTAATGTCTTGAGGAATCAGTTGGAGATTAGCCGCACAGAATTAGAAATATTTCAAGTAAGTAAAAATTAAGAAAATAACAATTATTATCTACTTAAATTTTTGGCTGTCGATAAACTCCATTTTTAATTTTTAAGAGAGAAAAGCAAAGGCAATTGAATCAAGTAATATGCACAGTAGTTTTGAACTTGAACCAAATGTATGGATTTGATCCTGAAAAAACAGAGATATCAGACTTACTGGTTTTTTCCAAAAGTAAGCTAACATCTTTATACAAAAGAGTAACAATTTTACAACAGGAAACTTTGGAACAAACAGGAAAACTGGAGTAAGTACACTGATTTTACCCTTTACATTCCAAACACCTGTAACACCCTGTAAATCTTTAAGTATTAGCTTTGCGACAGAACTACAAAAAATACCTACCAAGTAAAAAAAATCAGTTATAACGGTAGGTATGTGGCAAGTTTAAAATGTATTTTAAAAGATGCTGCATCTCTCATTATATAAAATAAAATATTTCCTTATTACATAGGCGTGGAATATAAAATAAAAAATAATATCTTATATTTCTAGTGCTTATCACAATCATTATTCGAGAATGAAAAAGGACATCCAGTACATGAAAAAGAAAATTATGAATTTAAAAAGCGACATTGTCTACACCATGCAAATAAAATTTGGAAAGGTAATCGATATTAATGAAATCGAGGAGGCTATAATAAAAAAATCATTCCAAAAGTCACAAGTTAATGAATTAGAGGAGGTGATGTTGAAGAGAATGGTTTTTGATATGCGAATGAAGGCAACAGATATTAAGGAAATATATGCCAAAGAAATTAGTATATGGATAGTGAGTGGTTGTTATAGTTTCTCGTTACAAGAGAATTAGATATGCAGGGTGTTTCCTAAGTCCTTGTCATAAATTAGGGAGGTATAGTCTTTCCGAAGTTATTTGAACATGTAAAAAAACGCCTGGCAATAAAATTTAATGACTTTCATAGGTGTCCCTAAAAAAGTTTTCTGCTAAAGGTAAAAAATTATAATTTGTATATAAATTTCGTTTTGTTCTGTTTCAAAATGCCATGAAATAATATTAATAAACAAAATATCCCTCTTATTTTTGAATGATTAATAGAAGGTGCCTACAATAAATTAAAATTACCTGAACCACACCAAATTCAGTATTGCTGCACTGCACTGCTGGGCAATTTGTCAACCACTTGTCAACAGCTGTGATTTATTGCCCAGTGGCCCAATGCAGCTATGTTTGGATTTCGTTTGCCCGAGCTCGCATTCTTCAACTGGGCATATACTTTTCTACCACCTCCATGTTTAGCTTGACCAGACCTGTATATGGGTATGGCTAAATAAATATGGGAACAGCTTTTTCAAATATTTGAATGACGAGTTGCTGCGTCAGTGACCGAACCTGGTACATACTGTCAACCTCTTGGTTCTTCAGTTGATAGCGGAAAGACTAATTCCTTGGATAATTCTTGACACAGAACCATTGGTTTTCGAGGGTCGGCTCAATATTAAATTTTTACAACTACACACTTTCTGTCGTTTTAAAGTCAAAATTACAGGTTCGTTGTTTAAATTTCAAAAATTACTTTGCTTATAGGTGTAAAAAGTTATTACAGTAGAAACTTTGATTGATTTTAAAATTTTTAACTGCATTTGAAATTGTATTTCGAACGAAAAAATGTCTATATATTTTTTATGCACGGCATAGTTTTAGAATTTATACAATAAACTTCTTTTAAATTAAAAAAAAAAACTTGAAATTATCTAATTTTTCAAAACACTTTGTGGTTATTATTTCATGATATTGTAAGAGACAACTACTCTGTGGACTAATGCCCTCACCAGCATTGACTTATATCCACACCTAGTCAACAACTAAGATCCATTCCATTCGTCAATCGAATCGCCATAGACTATTGTTTCAAACTCGTTAGTTCTTATAAGTATGCCATAGTTGAGATGACCGACAAGTGATGCAGCTATTTTAGTGTAACTTAAGCCCGGACATCTTCACAGTTACATAATTGAATAAGTGTGATACATTTTTACACTTCAACACTGGATATAACCAACAGCTTTAGACCCTTGGATTGTTTTGTCTAAAATTTCCCAAGGAGCAGCCTTCGCAAGTTATTACACGGACTTAGAAAACGCGTTGAAAATAAATTAACTATTTATTTTTATCAGGACAAAATATCTGCAGCTCAAAACGAAGTTACCGTAATGATTAAAGAAAATACAAACAAACTCGAATTGTTTAGGGTGTTGACTAAAGAGAAGCAAGAGCTCGTAGAAATTATAGATAATCAGCCCAAGAAAGAAGAATTCCTTAATAGGAATCAAAAAACATATCAACAATTTCTATTGGACATTGAAAAATTAGAGGGTCTACTAAAACAACAGAACAAGCAATTACAAGAACTTAAGAGCGAAATAAAAATGTTGAAAACCAAAGGACTGCCACCCAAAGTTGCAGTAAGGGAAGAAGTGAAAGAGGATACAGAATTGGTGGAATATGATAAATATATATCAATCGATATAGCCCCGATGGAAATTTTTACCACAGAAATAAACATGCCAACATTGTAAGTCTACTGAGATTTATCTATGTATCGGTAGAATAATAAAATAATGTGCTATTTCAGTTACCCAACAGAAAGTGAAGATATAGTCACCGATCTTATGCAGAAACTTACTGTAAATGTAGATACAAAAGCTTCTAAATTTTCTTCCACGGAAAATATGGTAAAAGATATCCTGTATGGCATTTTAAATTGTACCAGTGTTACAGAGATAATTCAAGAGATATTAAACAGAATTCCTTTCGAACCAACCGAGGAACAACAAGATGCGATTAAATCATCCGCGGAAAAGCTATTTGAAATCCAAGAGGTGTGAATTCTCATATTACAGAATCTTTCACTAAGAATGAGATACAGCTTAATGGAAAATTCTCCAGGCCGTTTGATATCTTCATCAAATGTTCTTTTTCCATCTAAGTGTATCAAAAATCCAAAATTTGTTCAAATGTTTAAAATATCACATTAAGCTGTTCTTCATTATTAATCAAACATCTTGTACAAATTCATTTGTAGGTTAGCGATGAAAGTTTCATAAAATGCCCTAGAGAGTACATAGAAGAGATAGTAGACGAAGTGATGTTGACGCAGAAAAAGCCACACGAAGTAATCGCTCGAATGATAGAAAAATTACTTGATGCTGTACCCTATGACGCTTTAATGGAGGAAAAGTCACTGGAGATAATCTGTCAGAAAATAGAAGACGGTATCGAGAAAGAGGAGTTAGAGCCCGAGGAACTGAAGAAGTCTGTGGAGAGTATTCCAAGTTATTACAAAGAACAAATGGAGGAAATATTAAATGTCATTCTAGAGAGGGTGTTTAGTAGTGGAATTGATTATTTATATGTAATGAAGTTTTAGAATTTCGAATATTAATGGAAATAAATGTAATATATGGTTTAAAAAAATATATTAGTCTTCTGCAATTGCCACTTCTACTTGCACAGTTAAATTCTTAAACATTATCTTTTTCCAATAAGGACAAGTACTGCTTAAGAAAGATTTCTTCTTGCACAAGGTCGATATCCAAATAATCATCATCCACTATCGATATGTCTTCGGCAAGGCGCTTGAATGCCTCGTTCTTTTCGTCAAGTTCTAATTTTTTCTTCTTGATATTTTCAATGCTCTCTGAAGTTACTAGAATCGAATTTAATTTTTAGTTAACTGGAAGCCTCGTCAATAAATCAAATAAAATTGAATTAGTCTTGCACTTACTCAAATGCGATAAATCTCCACTAACTATACCATTGTTTGCCAGTAATTCTTCGGCAGCTTGCATTATATCACCCGAATGTTTTTCTAATGCTAATTTGGCCATTCTCGCATCAAAACCAGCAGATTCAAGCTAAAAAAATTATAAATTCTATACTTATTGTCTAAACGCCATCGCGAATATCTCACTCTATTAACAAATTATAAGGTAGAACAATTGTAAATGCGTCGAAATCATAGTGTAATTGTGTTTAGAATTATTGGAGAAGCAATATATAATCAAAAAATATCAATTCAATTATATTTCACAGGAAAAAGTTACCTCAGGTATTAGGTCCTCTATTAGAGACAACAATTCCTTGCTTTTTGTGCCACTTGGTCCTGGCAAAGGATTCTCTTGTATATACTGAATGCTATCAGATATAATATTATTGGTTTTTTGCAAAGCGATTCTTGCAGCCTCTTTATTAAACCCCATATTAACTAGAATCTTGACAAAATTGGGATCCACATACTGTTCACCATCAGCACACTTGCCAAGTTTTTTCCTTTCCCTGAAAAAAAAAAATAAATGTAACAATTATGTACATAAGTGAATATTTAATTTTGCTTACTTTTTCAAAATTTCTTCAGCTTTGGCCTTTTTTCTCCTTTCAGCCCTTTTTTCTTTAGTCTCATTAATGTAGTTTGCGGCATAATTCACATCTCCCTTAGTAGCCCTTAAACCAAGAGTAGCTTCTGCAGGAGAGTAACCTAAAATGTTCGTGTTAATAAGTATCCCACATTGACCAAAAAAAAATAATTACCCAATTCTACTAAAGCTGTCAGTTTATATTCATCAATTTTTAAATTTTTTATTTCATTTTCCGCTTTTCTCAACAAAGCCAATGCATCGGATCTCTTATTTTGATGGTATAAAACGATAGCTTGTAATAAGTGAAGTCTCATAAATAATGCTTCTTCGTTGCCTTTAAATAAAAAATATAGTAAACATTTTCATTTGTTATATTTTGTCTAATTTTACATTATATTACCCCACCAAATCAGTTTTAATTATCCTTCTAAACTAGGTAAATTTATGGTCTTACCTGGAGTTCCCTTAACGGCAATTAAACGTTCCAAATTAGGTCCATAAGTTGAATGAAACTTTTCTTCGCATTTTTTTAACCTTTCGTATGCCTCTGGAAGGTGAGCAAAGCTTTCCAAACACAAGTAACACCATGCTATGTCCAAATTTAAAAGAGCATAGTTGTCGACTGTATTTAATAATTGTGAATTGCAATGCCTAAAATTATATTTATGACAACTTTAGCATCGTTACAAGAAATATTGTAAAACAACACATTTTTTATTACCGTGGTTCATTGAAATTAAAATAGTTAAAATAATTTTTTATTAGTTAGGTCATCTGAATTTTGGGGAATACTAATTTTACATGTATTTTCATAGGTTATGTTAGTCACAAAACAGAATTCCTGCAAAGTTAAGAAATATTCACCTAAATTCCTCATCGGCTTCCAAGAAAAACACCAATGCTCTGGAATAATCAAGGCGTTTTAATGCAGATTTTCCCTTTTCATGTAAAGTCATAGCCACAATCAAAGCTTTTTTTTCATTGGGTGGTATTTTTATTGGATTCCCAAACTGATCTTCAAGCTATTAGATACACATAATATAAGCTAGGTAGATATTTAATTTTATTAAAATACCTAAGAATTATCTACTTTTTGCAGTTGTACGGTCTTTAAAATGTTTTTTTTTTTTTAATTTATAGTTAGTGATTTATATGAATTAAATATGGCATAATCTACTTGAAGAAAATTGATTTATTTATCACAGACCATGAATGAGTACCAAATATTAGTTTTAAACCGAAAATTATTACATGATGACAATTTTGCCAATAATTTTAAGATTTAAGTATCAACTAATAATGCTCTATAAGTCAGTCTCACAAATATTCATGAAATTTTATTAACATGACAACATGAATTTAACAATTTATAAGCTTAATTAAAAAAAAATAATAAAACCTCAGGAACTTTGAAACCATGTAATTTATGAATTGTTAGTAACCAACACCGGTACTGTAGATGGTTACTGTTTACCTGCATAAATTCATTATCCAATGCAAGAAGGCGAGAATCTGTTTTAATATTCTCCAGTTCTTTAATTTGATTCTCCGTTTCTAACACTTGTGTAGGTGTTTCCGATATTGCTATAGCGAGTATTTGTTGGCCGTTTTTGACTCCCTGACTACCTAACGAGACTGCATCATTTAGAACTTTCCCAGAACTAATTAACTTTAATCTAAAATAAATCATAAATTGAAAATTGAAAAAATGCTCTAATATATAATTAGTACCGATCAGCACAAAAATTGACTTCTTGATTAATAATACTTTTTAAATCACTGGTTTGCATAGATAATAACAGTTCCTTCGTGATAATCTTTGGAGGGCTATCGGGTAACAATATTTTAATTTTGATTGTTGCAAGACCAGACTCTTGAAAACGATTTTTTTGTTTCAAATTTTCCAGTGCATTTCTTTGAAGATCTAATAAAGTTTCCAAACAGAGATCCAAAGGTATTTTCAAAGTACTACTATAATCTTCCGCCAGATGCTACAAATTTAATAAAAAATTATAGTAAAGAAAATCCAAACCATACTTTTTTATCTTTACCTGAATATCGTCTTTTGAAGAATTATTTGAAGAGTTAACATAAGGTGGAAGCCACAATTTAACTCCATCTCTTCGTAGTTTATCCCTTATTTGAATAAGACAATCTTCTTTTTGAAGATGGGTACCCATTTTTGAAAATCATGCAGTAAACTAATACAGTATAATAAATAAATACCAAACCATGGAACATATCACATCTGTGACGACCGACAATTATGGATTTTTGATAATCACGTCACAGACGTCACAATCAAGATGCCTCAAATCCAATGAAAATATAGAACATTAAAAAAAGGAATTCATGATCATGAGCTACCTTCCTTTTGAGACATATGCAGCTCACCTGAATCATAGATCCTGTAAATTACCGAGGTCGAGGTCTATACTCTGAATATAGCAATACTTAGGTTAGGTACTGTAAATTGCTGAAGTTAAAAAAAATTTGAAAAGTTTATGGAAACATTACTTCGTTTCAAATTTATTGATATCAAGAATCTGACGAATTAATAATAGACGTATCAAACATTTGAGTATATTTTTATTAAACACAACAAGGTAAAATGCAAACTTGTAGTTATCAATATAATTTAAGGAGTGAAATTACATGTCATTTACATCAAGTATTTCTTGAACCCTACAAGTATCAAAATTCCTTACAAAGACAGGCACAAAGTTTAATACTTTTCGTATATAAACATAACGGTTAAATACAGTGTGAACATAAACTCAAATAAACAATGTGGGGGTTAGGTACACAAACAAGTATAGAAAAACGAGAAAATAACTAGTGAAAGGTAGGTATATGTAGAAATTTCGAAATAGTAGTTATTTATAGTATTATTTGTCTTTTCAGTTTTAAATCTAATATATAATTTAATACAGAAAAATGAAAGCTTCTTTATCATTTAATATAAATTATACTTAACTATTGGACAAATAAGTGAAATGGCATTTTTTATTATTTTCTTACACCTAGAGGTTGAAAAACCAGTTAAAAACAAAATTTTTACTTCACCAGTTTTATCGTATGGAACTTTTTTAAATTTAAACTTTCTTATATTTTTCTCACGTCATATTTTTATATTAACTTTTTTATATTTTCTGTATTAAATTATCCTTAAAGATATGAAAAATAGCATAATTATTAGCTGTAATAAAGCTATACTATTTGTCAGTATATTTCTAAATATATTAAAACTTAAAATATTACAGTAAGCATAGGTAGTAGAGTAGAACTTACTTAATTTAAGATAGTTGATCTATAATTTGAATTGATTCGTAGTGTTTCAAGAATATACCCTATGGAAATTGTCCCTTGAAATACAAAACAACTACGAAAAAAATATATCCTTGAGAAAAAATTCAGTAAAAAAAAATTCTCTGTATATAATACCAAAAGTAATGATTAAGTTGCACTTACCAGTTATAAGAAATAATTTGTTCTTAAGTTAATTATAGGCAATCAAATGTAAGTAAATAAAAGATTTTGAATATGCTTTTCCATTCTATCTACATGCTGCTCTTAGATATGAACAAATAATAATATTCGATATATTTACTCATATGTTATATATACATATGTTTTCTAGGCCGTACTCGAGTTAAAATAAATGAATATTCAAAATTAGATGCCTTCTCATGGCAGTGGAAGTTGCATAAGTTTTAATACATTAAGAAATAATGCTTACCTAGTGGAACTAAGGTCAATTTTCTGCCAATGTTTCCTATATATTTGTCCATTTTATTATTACATTTTAGATGAAATTCTTACACCATTACAAATACCTGCTGCTGAAATTATTGTAAACTTTGAATAACTTCAAGTCTAATACATACAAATTGCCTTTAATAATGATAAAAATTGTTTGCCAACATCTACCTTTTTAAGAGTTAAGGGCCTTTGTTAGTTTTCCAAGTATTAAAAATATTTTGCGTAAGTTTGCAATCTATTTCTTGATTTACTAATTAAGAAAAAATTGTGAATATGTTGGCTATAACATATAGAATATCTGTTAGACATCTATACTTTTACAGTAAATACCTATACACATTTTGCATTACTTTAAGATAGAGAGCGTCGATAAATATTAACTTTTTTTTAATATTTATAAGAGTAGTTATTATAAATCTGTGACAAATCAATAATATAATCGATGTCTTTCTTTCGTTGAAAAGGTATATAGCTAAATCACAATAAGAAAACTAATAATAACGATTTAACATGTTTCTTTTAGCTTATTCCTTTACTATACCAGTAGTGCCAATAGCAACAATTATCAAATATATTTTTTTAGAAACAAGAATATAATATCGTTATCAAAATACACTAAACGCTCTGTATCTAAAAGATGCAATAACTAATCTCGTATCAGATGTCTAATGATCCATATTTTCCCTTTATTTGAAGACCATTAGATATGCAACTTATATAACCAATGGATTTAATATAATATTGAGAATAAAATACATCATAAACATCTAGATTTGTTTAAGTTCTGCTTCAGTATCGTTGTTCTTTTTCTAAATTGAATAATAAATAACAGTATTTTAGATAGGTATAACTAATAGATAAAAGTTTTATGGACATGATATGTGCCTTCTATGTATACCATTCTGTTCCCCTAACCAACATTCTACTTACTACTGTTACTTCTTCTTTTCGAAAAAATCAAAAGGCACTAACACTAAAGAAATATTTTGAAAATTAGCCAGTGTAGAATGCATAAGATTGTTTTCTTTACTTTGGAGTTACTAAAGAGGAAAATAGCTTAGTCAGAAATGCAGTATCTAAAGACAGTAGCTTTTATAACTAAATTTGACTACTGGTGGAATTGGTGGAATATGTGATTTGACTATTGAGAATCATCTAAGAAAGTTAAAGTCTTTTATGATCGAAATTCTTCAAGTATTCAAGAACAGGTGAATATCGGATACCTTTATCATAGATAAAAGCATTAAATAAAATGTTAACAAAAGAAAAGAAGTAAGTCAAAACTGATCGAAGTACTTGCAAGTAAATGAAATGTGCAAAAAACATTACAATATGGTTTTACTATAGTCATTTAGAAGTAAAATTTGAGTGTATGAAAGAACGTTTTAAATGATTGTTTATTTCTTTGCCTTCACTGCCTTGTTATAAAAATGTATTCCAAAGAAAACATATTTTAAGAATTATTAAAATTAAAAAAGAATTAATCTGAAAGAAAAAACGTAAATTGGTTATAACATGTAACAAAATCATTTTGTCTAAAATTTTCCACATATTGTTCCTCTTTTTTACTAAAACCATGTTAGCGAAGCTAACTATTTTAAATATAAATACTTAGTAAGCAAAACCAGTTAGTATCAAACACTAATACTGTACAATATTCTTAATATAAAGAAAGGACCCTGTTATGCATTTCATATCTTATAGTAGATGCGAATTTGAAATTATTTGAAAAAATCAGTATTTGTAATGGTCGGTTTTACAGAGATATAATTTCATTGGTATAAAAAATATAACAACTAATTTGATCGGCTATACACCCACGAAAATTTTCTCTAATATTTGAGCTTAACAGTTATAATAGAAAAACATAAGTTTCTTAGCTTTATAAACATTTTAAAACAGTATAAAGGACCTATTTAATCCTTACTAATGCAGGCGAAAATTTTCAGCAATGAAATACTAATTACATCGTCGGGAAACAGGTTTATACTCTAATTTCACGGACAACATCAAATGATTGAGAATTAGAAAAAAAAAATGGATTAATAGAAACATTTTAAGATAGCTGTTTTGGATTGAAGATGTTGTTTTATTCCGTGGTTTCAAGACTTTCAAGTATCGCACAATTAAGCTTAAGGTAGAGCATAGTTAAGTTAAAAAATGATTATCATTCATTAAAAATTTTCCTCATTCAACAAATTATCTAACATAATTTCAATTAAGGATTTAAATATGATAGTCACAATTTTCATAATTTTAGAAATTATAATTATACAGTAGTTTTGGGCATATCAGATACATAGAGAGAATGATGAAAGTGACGTCATGTGTTTGTATAAACTTTTTTTAATGTCAATTTTTAAAAGCACCCGTGGTTTTGGCAAATAGTGCCAATGAAATAAACTTAAAAAATCCAAAATTGAATCAAAGTCGGTATTATAAATTTAATTTGCAGAAATTTTCAGCTTGAACTTTTAAAACAAAAAAAAAACTAATGTTTGCGATGCCCCCGTTAAACCCATTTCCCGACTGAAAGAAAGGCCCGCTCTATATCTGTTTTCCTATAAAGAAGAATATGTATATACATTGTGCTTTGACTTTAAGATAAATGCCAGGTCAGATAGTCCAGACTTGAACTTTTTCGGCAATGATACACCAGCTGGAATGATCGTAGTACGAGGATATAATGTGCAAATTTTCTACATATTTTTCTATCAGTTGGTCCAGTTCCCCCTCTCTAAATACGTGATAATATCTGTGATAAGTGATTTCACCTCCAATATTGTCGGTGGGCAACGACTCCTGGGACGTGTCGCTTAGGATGGCTTTGTCGCGTTTCTTCGAGTACGCACTCTCGAGACTTGCGGTGCTGTCCTCTCTAGAGAGGCGATTGTCCGATCTGGACTTGATGGTCTTCCACTCCGGACACGAGGCGAGAGACGCTGTGCTGCCCCTGTCGCTGTACCGGCTTATGGAGTTGGTGTCTTTCTGAGACTCGGATAAGCCGTCTGTAGATTCCGTGGACTGACCGAAATTGATCGAAGTGGCCACGCTCGATACCATCGAATTTGTGCTGCTTCCTGTAACAAATGAGGAGAACCCTAAACAGATAGTTAATAACGGGCTTCAGAGTTATACATCGCAGTCTCTTTTAATTAAAAAAAAATTAAAAGGTACCGCTATTATTTTAATAGATGGTGAAAGATGTGTTTCAAATTACTCTGCCAACTTAATTCCTTATTGGTTACAAATACTAAAGTTAGTCTGTATATTATTTGTATCACGCAATATCATCAGTTTTTTTCTTATTATTGTTTAACTTATGTTCAACTTTTCTTTTCCTGAAACTTTGCTTATACATACATAAGAAATATAACTGTATTTTAGAGGCTTTAGTCTGATGCCAACAATAAGTAATCTTATAAGAAGCTTAACTTTTTATATTGCAATCGTGGCGTTAATATAATACACATATGGTGTGCTTATCAGCCCGCTCTTTCGTCTCGGTCAGGATAACCTAATATAACCAAGAAATAACGTTTTTATTCCATTAATTCAATTTATTTACTCCTAGAATACATACATTTTAATTGTTTCATCATCACGGACTTTGCAGAAAGAAAATTTAATGCCACAGATGTAATGCTTACCTTTTTCTGAATCACAGGAGTCAGTAGAGGTACCCATCTTGATTGACGTCTTGCTGGCAGGCAAATTCAACGCAGGAGTGACTTCCGCTTCGTTCGGATTTTCAGTACATTTTGTATCACACGTCGTGAAACTATCTACATTACGCAAGGGTTCATCTATGAGATTCTGACCTAAACTATCATTTTTATTCGACGAGCATTCAGCACCATTCGCTTTTCTTAGATTACTTTTTAGTAAATTGGTTTTGTTGTTAGTCCTAAAGCACTTGCACTCACTTTGTTTACATTTCACACATGGTCTGCCAAACAAGCTGTCACTCACACTCAATTTAGCTAGGTATTCATTTTGTTTCTGTATTTCTGCGCTAAGTTGTGAGAGGTCTTTCAGTTCTTCACTTAACCGGCTTATGTACGGATCGTCGAAGTTGTCCACGGAACTCGACAGTCTGCTTTTCACTTGATACTGGTCGATTTCCTGCAATAGTTTCTCACTGAGTTTATCGGCGAAATCTGTTAAATGCTTATGGCAGTCTTCGTCCCAGGTGCATTCGGCTTCTTCCCCTAACAAAGGTGTGGTGTCTGAGGTGTAGGTGCGCTGCAGAATGGACAATACTTCTCCAGTTTGTAGCCGTCTCTTCGCTCTTGGACTAGATTTAATTACTTTATCTACTGCTTCGTCTAGACTATTGGCTACGTCAGCTGCTGCTGCTAGTAAACTCATGCCCCTAGTGTCGTGCAGGCTATTCGTTGGTGGAAATTTGAATCTAGAAGTTGTTGGTGATTTTCTTTCATTACTAACACTAATAACACTGTCTATTGAGTCTGGTGAGGATACACAGCTGGAGTCGCTATCTTTATCGTCAGTTTCGGGATTGAACAGTTCCAGGGTCAGCAGCTTTGGCAGTGGCTTGGCGACTGCTTCTACTTTCCCGTTTGAAACGGACGATTGCCTTACTATGGGGAATGACGATTTACTAGTTCTAGTTCTAGTTCCGAACCCGGGCTTTTGCTTGAGTAGTTCTTTAATTTTTTTCAGTCTCTCGTTTCTTGTTTCTGCTACTTCTACTGGTGATTTTTCTGGGCTAGCTGGAGTAGTACTTAAACTAGGAGTATTTAAACTAGTTTTCTTGAACTTCGGTATTTGTTGTACTGAATACTTTTGTGCTAGTGTCTTGCTAGGTTCCCTTGTTGTACTCTCTGTGATAATGTGGTCCCTGCCTGATTTGTCAGCGAAATTTTCTGTGGATGGTTTCGGAGAACTCAGTTGCTTGGTCAGTGGATAAACAGTTAACGGCATCTGCTTAATTCTGGGACTGGTGGGACAAGAGGATTGTTTGATTCTGGGAGAATTCGGAACTGAGGAATTTTTTATACGTGGAGATGTGGGTCCTGGGGACAGATTTGTAGGAGACATAGGATCCGATTTAGGGACGAAAATCACTGATGCGAAAGAATCCTCGGAATCCACGCTCGTGTCACTCTGAAGACTGCTGTCTTTCGACGAGTCCGAACCGTCTTCTTTAGAAGGTCGCCTCTCTCCATTTTCGTTAACTACGTCTTTCTTCTCATCTACAATAGGCGCTGGAGTTTTTAAGTTATCTACAGTCTCGTCCTCTGGAATTGTGGGGGATATGATGTCGGAGCTTTTCCAGTTCTGGAACATCCTTACGAATCCTGAAAAAGAGAATATATTTCGTTGAATAAAATAACAAAAGGATTATTATCATTAGTATACAGAAATCATTTTTTGTGGGAGATAGGTATGTCTTAATACATCCAATCATTAATAATTTACCATAGTAAAAGTTGCCCAGAGACAACAGAAATAGTTATTTTGATCTAGGTTGCGAAGTATGGCTTTTGTATTCAAATATGGTTTTTGTGCATGTCGACGAGTAAACATTCGAAAATGGAAAAGCAATTTTGAAACTGTGTATTACGCAATATTTTTTTGAGAACTGTATTAAATTAATGTTAAAATGTTAAGATTGAAGTGTTAAGTATGAATATAGTGGAAAGTGAAATGGATTTTTCAGACGAAAAATTTGCCTCTTAATGATTTCAAAAAGTGCTCAAAATTAAAATTAAAAAACATCTGAAAATCACAGAAAACCAATATTTATTTGTCCAATTTTTTTTATTTCATATGGTTAATAAAAAAATGTAGATTTATGCTTACAAAATAGTATCTAAGTTTACGCTCTGTAAATTAATGAGTTTCATAATTCTTTGTATAATTTTTGCTCAACCTTCGATTCTATGTACACAAGGAAGTGACCTTAATATTTTACAAAATGAAATTAGCAGCTGTCCAATCAATTAGTTATCAATTTACGTTCAACCTGAAATAAATTAAGATCGAACTCAGTTCAGTAATTGAATTTCTCCCCCTAAAGGTCGTGTAAGTGCTTTCACTTTGAGAAGGTTATGAGGCTATACAAGTATGTAAAAGGAATGAGAACCAAAAGACTAAAATGTTTCTTAACCTATCAGTTGCCGATGTAATCGATAATCAAAAGCGCCCTTACCATTTTTTAAAGTAGCTCCGGTTACTTTCTCAATATTCGTCGTCGAGCTCTTCAGCTTATTAGTGAACCCGGTTTTTATCAGCTGCAACCGCTTGGAGGTCGAAACATAAAACACGGAGTCTTTGAATGTGTCAAAAGCATGTGAGCGGTGATAGATTAGGTCCTCGTTCAGCGACGCCTGCTTCTGAATGTTCTGTCGCAGCCTCTCCTTCTCCTGCAACCTGTCTGTGGACATCAACTCCTCGTTTAGAGACCTCTGTTTCAGAACCCCACCTCTGTTAAACTTACTCAGTGACGTCTTTATCTCGGGCAAGAGATTTAATTTAGTCATATCTGTAGGTTGATCTAGAGCTTCTTCTGCGTCTTCCTCACATATGGACTTTTTCTGCTTCACCAGTTTGGGTTTGGCCAAGGTGGTCTTGACGACGACAGTACTTGGCTCCTCCGTCTCCACTACTGTCTCCTCGCATAATGACTGTGCATTGGATTGTGATTTTACGACATTGTTATTCTCTACTGTCTTAATATTAGTCATACTTTTCGATTTTAGGTAGGATATATCGTTGACTAGTTGAGATGAGGGGAAAGTCTGTCTGCGTTGCGGCATATCATCGTCGTCTATTCTTCGCAGCTCTATGGGCATGTCCTGAACGTTTTCCATGCAGTCGCAGCAGTTGCAAGCTTCGGAATCGTATCGTTTTTGCTGAGTCTCCTTAGCGCAAGCAGTCCAGCTCTCGAGAAACCATGGCCTGTGCACTCCTACTCTTCGGGCGCCTGCTAGCTTTTGTATAGCCCTTCGGACGAAGCTGTAGCACGTTTCGTTTGGACTGGAAAGACTGGAACTGCTGGGTGATGAATTTCGGCCTGGATCAATCGATCTACCCTTACGGCTTCTGCCTTTCTTCCGCACCACTCCCTTCGTCCTACAAAGGAGTAATGGTATAAAATGAATATCAAAATGAACAAATTTTAATCAGTTAATAATAATTTTAGATTAATTAATTAAATAATGAAATAATTAATTAATTAAGCAAGGAAATTTCTGTACTTACCTCACCGACCTGTTGGAATCACTATCGGACGTCTGAGTATAGGCATGGTAGGCCGGTTGTCCGTCGTCTTCCGAAGTGGTGGTCGTCGAGGTCAACTCCAACGACGGGGTACTAATATGCCTGGGCCGTCGCCAGGGAACTAGCACATCCTGCGACTCAAACTTTCTATGACTCTGTTCCATCGCCCATACGGATATGATGAGGCGACCACCTATCCTTAGGACCCTTGCCAACTCTCTTAACGCCCGGATCCTTCTTTCTGTCGTCGCGAGGTGGTGGACCACGGCTATGGAAACCACGGCATCTAGGCTTTCATCTCTAAACGGAAGAGCTAGGTTGTCCAAGACTATGACCTAAATTAGAAATTTTTGGTTTGGATATTTGATTCTAATTATCTTACAACTGAGGTCCGTGGATGAACCGTACTTGATATAAAAGGGGTGGAATCAGAATTAAATATTTCTAAAATTACAGGAAATTAGTGTTGAATAAATTGCCATAAACTAAATTTTGACAGTCGTTTAACACTAATTAATGTCTAGCACGTAAAGAAAAATTGTACTAGATTTTTTAAATTAAATTATTTTTAAGCTGCTCATAATTACCAGAACAGCGTATTGATATTATAAATTAAGTGGAAGCGACATTGTGTAGTATATGCGACAAAATCATGAGGGGGAAGTGTGTTATTGTGATAAAGTTGTTCTTCTGCAAAAAAGTATATTTTTCAAGCAGTTGCATGAAAACAAATTACGACCCTGAAATGTACGATGCATATACGTATTCAATAAATTGATCGATGTGAAGCTTCAGATCAGAGGCAGAGATGTAGGTACCTACACATTATTGTACAATGACGCAGATAGACCAGTAGTAAAAATAACAGCGTTAAAAACTTCGACTGTTTTAGATATGCGCATATGACCTCAGTAAATGTTGAATGGTTATTTTCATTTTTGAAATCGGTATTTACGATCGACGGAGACGATTAATCGCGGAACGCTTAGAACAACTGTTAATTTACACAGCCACACAAAATAAAAAAAGTTGTCTATACTTTTCATATGACTTATGTTATCCGTAGTATATTTTTTCCTCCTGCCCACGAATCCGGTGTCGGAATTGAGCTGTCACACTACAGGAATTTTCTAATCTCAAAAAACAGGTCAAAAATAGCAGAAATTCATGACAAAGTGCTAGGAAATATACAAAAAATTTTGTTTTCTATATTCAAATGTTCATTTATTTGATTAAGACCCCGCTGAACGTGAATTCGCGGTCAGAATTGATGTGTCACTTGATGGTTCTTTTTCTAACCTCAAAAAAAAACGGGTCAATTAAAGTCAAATATCACGAATTTGGTATACGAGAGTTTTCGGGGTCGCTGATCACGAATCCGAGGTCAATTTTGCAAAATTCAAGATGGCGGATCTAAGATGGCTGACCAAATATTCAAAAAATAACACCTTCGCGCCAAATTTGATATAAGGGGTTTTTCGGTATCGCTGATCACGAATTCGAAATTGATTTTGTAATATTTTTGTTTACTTTATAACCTGAGTATCCAATCATGTTTTAACCTTCTTTTTTTCGGCTATATCTTGTTCGGTTTTCTGCTTAATCTCAGGTAATAAAGTATATAGGTAATTGATTAAATTTTTAAAAACGAATTTTGTAAATCTCGTGATCAGTGACCCCGAAAACCCCCGTATACCAAATTTGGCGCGAATGTGTTATTTTTCAAAATTTGGTCGGCCATCTTGGATCCGCCATCTTGAATTTTGCAAAATTGACCTCGGATCCATGATCTGCGACCCCGAAAACCCCCGAATACTAAATTTGGCGTGAATCTGTTATTTTTTTAAAATTCGTGATATCTGACCCGTTTTTTTTTTGAGGTTGAATATAGAAAACAATTTTTTTTTATTTGTACTTTGTACTTTTTCGTGAATTTTTGCTATTTTTGACCTGTTTTTCGAGGTTAGGAAATTTCTGGCTCAATTCTGTCACCAGATTCGCGATCAGGATCGAGGCAAAAATACCACGGATAACATTATGTCGTATGAAAAGTACAGGCAACTTCTTTTTTTGTGTGGCTTTCCTCTGATATGATGAAATCAAAAGTATCTATGTCTTAATAAAACTATTATAATTAAATAACTATGTACTATAATTAAATTATATTTTGTCTTAAATTTATATGTCTTGACTAATTCTTTAAGTTGTTTAAGTTAATGTTTGGAATAACCGCCAAATTAAAAAAAATCTTCAAATGCAAATTTTCCGTAGTTGATAGACAGAATAGTCTAATTGTTATGTACCTATTTAGTTAAAAAAAAGTATTTATGCCAACTTCCACAGTTATTTAAATTAATACCTCTCATAAATGTTAGTGTGCTATACTGGATGATATAGGATACAATATAGAGTGCTGTAATATTTTTCTTTTGAAGTTCTTATACGGAATGACAATTCCTATCCCCTAAATTTTTTATAAAAATATGCCATACAGGTTACAGAATCACATTAAACTACCAAATATAATCATTTCTTTTTACATAAACGGATTTGAAAATTCGATAAAATGGCGAATGCGCCAGTAATTCTGAAATATTCACAAATCGTGTCATTTTCAGCTGAAAAATAACTTTATATCCAACTTTTTATTTATAACACGTGACTGATTAAAATAATTAACCTTCCCATTATACTTTTTAACATAGAACAAAGAAATCTTTCATACTTACCTCGTTTTCCTTTTCTCTTGCTACTTCACTCAATCGCATTGACTTGTCTCCTCCTATATTGAAAACTAATGTGTTTACGTTTAAATATTTTCCATTCCCGCAGCCTGAAATAATTGTAAGTAATACATATTTAAACATTTTTCACTTTTACTATTTAATATCAATGAATTAGTTTAAAATTAAGATTTAAACATGCAGGTATGATTAAAGTATCGCATGTTAGTTTAAATTATTATAAATCGATAAAATGATGAAATAATCACCTTAAAATAGTTTTCGAAGAATAAATTGATTGATTCTGTTTGTACAAGTTCTTAAATGCAATTTATCAAATATATGCATTTTCTCTAAGATTTGAAAAATTAATACAATCTTTTGCAAAAGTCAATATCCTAAAAACTAGTTGGTATCTAAAATTTTCTTGGCATTTTTTCACACCTTAAAATTAAAAGTAAATTAACGTGAGGTGACATCTATAACCAGTATCTGTACCTATTCATCAGAGAGTATTCTGTCTTGGATATTTCCTCTAAAACTTACCAACATCGCAGACGATGGACCCGGGCTCGAGGTCCTCCAGAAAATGTTGTACCTTCGGCCACGGCTTACTTCTGGGGTTGTCGTAGAACTGTTCGTATACGTCATGCACGTAGGCTTGCTCCAAAGCAACGCTTCTGGCTATTCGGTCATCCACAGTCATGTCCAAATCTCCACTTCTCTTCCAGGGTCAGCCTGAAGTATAAATCAGAGGTTCCAAAATCATGTTGATACAAAAAAGGAATCGATAAGAGATAAATAGCAACATTTACATCTTGTAAACGAGATGCCCAGATAAGAAAGAGTTCGCTATAGGAGTGAAGGTTTTATATAAATTACCTACTTGACCTTATTTCAAAGTAGATTGCCTGCACTTGATTGTATTTATAATGACGATGGACAATAAAATCTAATTATTTATGTAAGGTGTCCCAAAAGTAAAGCAGAATTTGAATTGTGCGCCATTTTCATTCCAAAAAGTTGACAACATTGTTCAGGGTCACATGTTGTAGTAGACAAATTGCGGTTAGACAAAATGGAGGATTGTGAAAATTCATTACAAGTACGGAGAGTGTGTAGCTGAGACTGTGTTCAAATTACGTGGAATTTTCGGCAGAAGGAACGTCCCGAATGAAATAACTGTGAAAAGATTAGTTGCCAAATTTGAACAAACAGGTTCGGTTACAGACAATAAAAAACTTAGTAGGTATGTGAACGAGCAAAATTGTCGAATTTGGGGCAGAAACAATCCTTGGGTTATTCAAGAACGACCACTGTATACCCAACGAGTGACAGTGTGGTGAGGTCCGTTCTTTTTTGAAAATGAAGGCTGGAACCGCAATGACTGCCAATGGAGGACGATATCGAGAGATCCTATTTAACTTTTTGTGCTGCTCAAATGAATACCCTCAATTAAAGGCAGGAATTCGGAGAGTTATTAACGAAATTCAGCCGCAGGTATTCTACCAACCGGATCATCATCATCGTCATTAACTCTGTTTCAATTTTTTTGGCTTGTTAACCAGTATTCCATTCTTGTGGTGCCAACGTCCAAATAATAATTGCTCAAGTTTTCTACATCTATCAAAATGGAGGTGAATTGTTTGAGTGACGCCCAAACTAGTTCGATAGGGTTCGGGACAAGTTGGATGGTGGTAGTCTTAGAAAAGTATGACCTTCTGTAATAGGATAACAGTTAAATTAGTTTAATTTACGTTAAGATTAGTTCATTTAACTTGGCAACCCAGTATTTCACTCGAAGGAAGTACTTTTAGCTCATCACAACTTCAAAGCTAACTTATATTACCTACAAAGTTTCTAAAATATTATTTTCCCATTATATATATTAGTATCATATCCTGCCACTGAATGTTTTTGACAGCTAATGGCATATCAATAACGTTATGGTCACTTATGTCTATGTGTAGGTATATTGTAAATGATTTCATTATCTTTTCATTAACTCATGCGACCATGAACAGGTATTTATAAAGCGACATTTCCTAAGCAAGTTTCAGTGATAGAAGTAAAGGCTGAAAAGCATATTATCTTATTATATTCTCTCTATGACACATAAATAAATATGAATTATATATAGAATTCTATTGAATATAGATATTTTATTCAGGAAATCGGGTTTCATTTATAGGAAACAACTTACAGATAAGGTATCCACATCAATTAAGGTCGTTTTAATTTTTAAGTAATTATAATAATTACTGGTAGGTACATGTTCAGAAAATGGCTCAGTTTTGGTATGGATAATACCAGAGGTAAGATAATATTACTTCGATAATGGTAATTCGGATTCAAAATTAACTTCTGAAATAGGTTTTAAGAAAAAAAATAGTAGAAATTAATTAAATTGGCGTTGGAATCTTCTATTCTATACTAAGGCAATTGCAAGGTTTATAATTCATTACCTACATTTTTTGTACGTTAATTATTATTTTTACTATGGTCGCAATTAAAAGTGTTAAATTTATAATGTCTGTATTTTTTGTTTGTCCGATTGGTATTTGTTTTCACTTTCATGGCAATCTTTGACCTGCTTATTATAATAATACTCAATACTTGTCGTTCAAATTTGATATATGGGTATTTTAATGGGTGTTGAATAGCCTGGTAATATTGTATTTTTAATAATAAAATGCCTAATACCACTTCCTGAAAAAAGGCCAGGCTTTTGTCACATCAATAAAATGATTAGTAGAATATAACTTCCCTTCAGGGTACTATTTGCAAAAAATTGACTTGCGGAAAGTCCACAGCCTTATTCTCACATTTCCGGAGTTGTTAACNTCTCTCAGTGTGGTCACTTATGTCTATGTGTATATTGTAAATGATTTCGTTATCTTTTCATTAACTCATGCGATCATGAACAGGTGTTTATAAAGCGACATTTCCTAAGCAAGTTTCAGTGATAGAAGTAAAGGCTGAAAAGCATATTATCTTATTATATTTTCTCTATGACACATAAATAAATATAAATTATATATAGAATTATATTGAATATAGATATTCTATTCAGGAAATCGAGTTTCATTTGAAGGAAACGACTTACAGATAAGGTATCCAGATCGTATTAATTTTTAAGTAATTAAATTAATTACTGGTAGGTACATGTACAGAAAATGGCTCAGTTTTGGTATGGATAATACCAGAGGTAAGATAATATTACTTCGATAATGGTAATTCGGATTCAAAATTAACTTCTGAAATAGGTTTTAAGAAAAAAAATAGTAGAAATTAATTAAATTGGCGTTGGAATCTTCTATTCTATACTAAGGCAATTGCAAGGTTTATAATTCATTACCTACATTTTTTGTACGTTAATTATTATTTTTACTATGGTCGCAATTAAAAGTGTTAAATTTATAATGTCTGTATTTTTTGTTTGTCCGATTGGTATTTGTTTTCACTTTCATGGCAATCTTTGACCTGCTTATTATAATAATACTCAATACTTGTCGTTCAAATTTGATATATGGGTATTTTAATGGGTGTTGAATAGCCTGGTAATATTGTATTTTTAATAATAAAATGCCTAATACCACTTCCTGAAAAAAGGCCAGGCTTTTGTCACATCAATAAAATGATTAGTAGAATATAACTTCCCTTCAGGGTACTATTTGCAAAAAATTGACTTGCGGAAAGTCCACAGCCTTATTCTCACATTTCCGGAGTTGTTAACCTGAAAAACGGGACACACTGTATACTGAGCGTTTAAAACAAATCTCCTCAGAATTCTTTTACATAATATAACATACTTTGTCCTAACCTAATATCAGTTATTTTTCGGTAGAAATTTTAAGTTTATTAAAAATTTCAAAATACAAATTTCCATTAGCTTATTGTACTTAGTTAAATAACTATTAAATTTGTTTTTATTATTTTTTAATCATTGACAATAATAATATTTCTTACATTATGTATAAATAATACAAATGTTACTTATACAAAATGTTAAATATATCCAATAACAATAATGGTAAATAGGATTATTAGATTTTTTTTCTTTAGTTCGACTGCTTCCTAATGACTAAAATCTAACTCTTAATTTTATATACACAATTTTGAAGGGGTTACCATTTAGAATTATTTTAGAATTTAATACAGTTATATACAACGTTATTCCTTTAATACATCCAATATATTCTAATACAAATATGTATATTTGGATTTGTTTACCCTTCCTGGAATAGAATATATTTAGCGCTAAAAAACAGATCCATAAAAAACACACGTTACTGACGTTCCTGTTTCGTATTGTAATCTATAATTCAAAAAAGTACTATCAATACGGATAACTGAAATATCGATTCCTTAATAAATTATTCATACATTCTTGCAATGCGAACGGTTTTGTGATGAAAACTGAAACCAACAAAAATATAGAAAGGATTTGATTCACGACCAAGTCATAACTTTCCGTAACAGACGGTGAACTCAACCTTTGTCAAAGGATCATTGAAACCTGGCGGATTTATATTGAACCGCATATGTACTTTATTTTATGCAAATTACGGTATTGGTCCCACGTAAGGCACTGTTTGTTTGAGGTGAGGTTTGTCATAACTTATGTAAAACAGCTTCAATGTGATGTTCCTTACGTCTATAACTATATGTATACTGTTTTTTTAATAATGAAAGTTTCATTAAATAACCATATTTATCAGACCTCGGTAAAACTTTTGCACTGAAGGTGTAAGCCCTGCTATTAAAGCTTCCCAAATTAAAACTTTATATTCGTGATTAGCGATTTTAAAAACCACCGAATAACAAGTTTCTGTCATAATCTTCAAATTTTGAACATCCGCCGTATTGGATCCGCCATCTTTTATTCAGGAATGTTCGGATTCGGATTTCAGATTCATATTCAGCGACCCCAAAAACCCGCGGTAACAAAATTCAGGCAAAAATATTGAATACAAAAATTTGTCACTTAAAATGATAAGTTTCCAACCGTTTGAAGGAAGTTTTATTATATTTTTTATGATATCTATCAACTTACTTTGATATATTTGGTAATATAAAATACAGGGCTATGGTTTTTCGCATGCCAAGACCACTGGCGCCTTCTACTGCAGCTAGCTTACTTTTATATAAAGATATTTGAACGCAACTTTTGTCACTTGGCTAACGAGTAAACTTATTACCTCAGAAAAAAAGTAGTTTAAGCGCATTTCTTGGCACAAACGCCTCTTGCAATAAATAATAAATTGAATACGATTGTATTTTTTGAGATGCGACAATTAATTCATAAAAATGTGCAGAATTCCGAAATATTAAAGTTACATTCACGTTAATATCAAATTCTCTGCAAATTGTATTGAAAAAAACGTGACTTTCAAATTTAAAAAGGTACATTTTTTTGTTTTTTCTCCCTCCAAGTGTCAGTAGTTGTACGCTGACAGTTTTATTTTTCAAACCTTATTAGAAAACCTATTTTATGTATTAAACCCATAAATATATAAGTTATTAAGGACAGCGCTTTGGTATATTTCACAATTAACTTTTTTCTTATGAAATTCTACATTTATTGCATTTTTATTTTGAGTTCGACCACGGACACGACCTTCATAGTCTTAGGTTTTGCTAAAAATTCCACAGCTATTCTCGCGAGAAATTACATGATTTTAGGTGATTACACAAAAAATAGTAGATAACTTAAAAACTAGAAGAGATAAGTATAGGGACTCCTGATACCGTTCGAAAGATAATAAAATTGTATATCCGATTATAGAAAAACATACAGGGTGTTCCATTTAAAAAAACAGAGTTATGAAGGTTTGAACTAAACTCGGCATTAAATTTCTAGCACCCTCTATGCAATTAAGCCATTTTGAAAGTATGGATGGGAAGCTTAGGGGTCTAGCTATACCCCCTATAAATATTGTTGCTTTATCTTTCTTACTATAAAATACACATAGTTTGAAGCTTGTCACTGTTCCTCTCCATTTTTTTTTAAGTAAATATCTCGAAAATGGTTAATTTTAGGAATAGGAAACCTTTATGAAAGTTCGCCTAAAATAACACGTAGAATCCAAAATTGCAATAATATATAGGGTGTTTCATTTAAAATAAGCAAGTTGATGGCGACTTCCGGTTGAAAAGGGCATGCCCGAAAACCCGGGATCCCAAATTTTCAAAATTCAAATCGAAGTAGTCTGAAATAATTCTAATGGGCCGTCACCTTGAAACATCCTGTATAAAGAAAGGTACCTTCTTTATTATTACCACTAAGGGCATTTAAAAGAAAAACGAACCAGTTAGGTTTAGTCTTTCCGAAGTGTGTATAAAAAATTTATAAAAACGCGTAGCAATAAAATTTAATGAGTTTCATAAACGCCCCTAAAAAAGTTTTCTGCTAAAGGTAAAAAGTTTGTATATAATGTGTAGAAAATATCTATTATATGTTCATTTGGCCAACAACATATTTTAATTATTTATGTCCTCAAACAATTTTATTATATTGGTGGTAAATTTCGTTTTGTTCCGTTCCAAAATGCCATGTTGTAATAATATTAGTAAACAAAATATCCCTTTTATTTCTCTTTATTGAATTTCTGATATCACCTTTTCCGATCCTTTCTCTAAAAAATAAATCAATGAATATTTCCAGACAGAAATTTGCAGCTTTCCAACAGCTCCGGTCGCTTAAACCATGCCAAGTAGTGATGTATTGCCGTATGCAAACTTGCATTTATCATTACCTTAAAGGAGACCGCCCTTCGTGGAAAGGCGTCGATCAAATTTTACACCCACTGAGATTGCTGAAAATGCAATTAAATGGCTTTTAGCCTCCAGGCGGTGTAGGCGAAATTAAAATTTCGCCAAAAGCGGAGGCGGAGGAAACATTTCGTGTCATATCCATTGTTATTTATATTCGATTAGCTTGGGAGTTTTAAAGGGTTTATTCGAATAAATGGTGTCCTGTGAGGCACTTACAATATGAGAAAGTAACAACCGGAGTGAAATTATAGATTTGCTAAGTGTCAGTAGGAATAAAAACATCTTGTAACTGAAAAATAAATAACGCAAATCCTTAACAAGATTATTATTTTATAACTCTGTAACTTTTCTATTTTTAGATGTGCAAAATGGGCTTGTCGGTGAAATTTGCGGACATCCTGTAGATCTCGTGTATTTTTTATGCTGGCCAGGGCATTTTTTAGTAAAACGCTAAAATATCCTCTAAATTAGGGTGAAATAGTGAGGATAAGATAAAGTTTTATATTGAAATGCAAGAATTTGAAAATACTTTGAAAAAAACATTTTAGAACAACATAGCAGCAAAGGCGCTCAGAACGCTCTGTATATTTAAATCAAAAAACAAGTATTTATAACACAAAAAACCTACTTTTCCAAAATTTGAGTAAAATTGCAATTAAAAATAAATATATATCGTAAAAAAGTGAAATAAAAAACTAGGTAGTTACTTTCTTGGACCTATAACTTCTGAAGGAAGCAAGATGGTACTAAGGTAAGTTGATTTAAATTACCTTATTCAAGGAAGCTAGCCTGAAAGTATGGCCCATTCTTTACACACCCGTATATAATTTCGATTTAGTTTTGCAACAAATTTTTTAAATGTGATTTAAACACAACTGTTTCAATTTAGAATTGGCTTAATTAAAAATTGTTATGGTAAAATGCATCGAGCACTACAATATCCCCTTTTTTCGCTTCTAATAATAGTCCACAATATTTAAGATCGAATGTCCGCCCCCGAAAAATTCAAATTCATAACGAAGTCATTAGCCGGATCCCTGTCAGCCATTGCGTTTGCCAAGCAATCTATTTTCCTGACCTACATTTCCATCTTTTTTCGTGATTCGCCAGATATTACATGGATGGGCATAGGCTTAAGCCGATGTGGAACTAAACGGAGGACAAGCAGAAAACAACTTAATATCTGACGAATGGCTGAGTCTAGACTCGAACATATTTGGAATAATGATACGGACATTCGAGAAATGTGGATCAGGGTCGAGTGGTCGAGACAGAACAAAATAAATACTGAGGGGATGCACGAAAAAGGGCTTAAGGGATACTCAGCTGAAAAGGCATACTTTGAATGTTATTTTTGATTTCATATATTTCTAGACCATAACCTATCGAAGTCTACTAGAAAATATATTATACCTATTCTAACAACATTCAATAGCGACACTTGTGTTCCAAATTTAATTTCAAGTCGTTCGTTATTCTGTGTTTTGTGATTTGGATTATAAAATTTTTAACTACAAGACAGAATAGTCCCAAAAATATTCCAAAACAAATGATACAATATATGAGGACGAAATTTCATGATATTTTAAAGTAAAACATTAATCAAGTCAGTTTGGATTGAGTCGCAGATTCATTGAAGATAACTCGGGAAGTGAAAGACTTTCAACGCGATCAATCCTTATGTTTGAAGGAAAGTGACAACAAAGATTCTCCAAGATGTTTGAAATTGTCAACTGCTACATTAAATACAGTATTTTGAAAATTCTCCATGATAAGTGAACTAAACATGAATGAAGTTTTAATAAAAATTGCTTAGGCAGCAAATTTCTCAAAATCGTTTGTAATTACTTGATGCAGACGCTAACTTTTTTCAAAAACAATGACTGCGATGACACTTAAATAGGTCTGGAAATCAGCAACCATAACTTTGAAAAAGACCTTCACACAATATTCTAGTAGGAATCTCGTAGCCACCATCTTTTGGGAACAGGCAGAAATTATTCCTGTTAAAGATATACCGAAGAGCACTACAATAAAAACATCTCCCTACGATAATATTTTAACAGAACGGTAATTGATCAAAATCATCCAGGTTTATGTCTCAAAAAACGGATAACAAAATTAGTAATTATATATAATTACGTTAAGACTAGCTTCTTCCAATGGATCCCTGATCTACATAAATATTTTAACACCTTGCTGAATCTTTACTGGTTAAGTCGTCTAACAAACAATGATAATACTGATGAAGCAATGAAATTCAATATTTAGGAATGATGAACATTAAACGACCCCACGCAACTTTTGGAATCAGTAACTGTTTCAGCAAAACGTCAGTCGGAGCGAAACAAGGAACATAAAAATAAAACTGCACCCAAAACCCTCATCACATGAGAAAGGTCTAGAGATCTTTTCTACGCAGTATCAGAATGTGATTCATAAAACATATATTACAACCCAGAATTCTCTGTGGGGTTATTTTATTGGGAGGATATAATGAATCAGACAAGGAGAAAAAAAATCAAGAAACCAAAATAAACTTCTTTGAAAGATAAATATATCTAAAAAAAGTTATTTCTGGAAAAATGTCTTACGTATCTTCGAAAGAAGGTTAATTTTTCTATTCAAAGTAATGTAGTCTAATGACATAATTAACAATTCTAATACGAGACATTAGGTAGTAATAATTAAATAGCTATTCGTGGATAGCCACGGGTTTGAAACAAAAACAAATTAATAAATAAAACTTTAATCTATAAAAGCGACATGCTTATTAAATAAATAGTGATATCCCTAATTGATATTTACATAAGATTGTGCTAAACGTGCTAAAGCACCACATTATCTAATATATCTTGAATGAAATTATCAACGAGATGCCTTATCGCACCGCTGTAAAAATCATGGCGAATTAACATGCCACGCCAACTAGCTTATTAAAATAATGTAGCTGGAAGGGATTTGAAGAGGAAAACGAAGCCCTGCCGTATTATCCAGCACAGATCAAACAGCGGTATCTTAGACTCGGTATACCCTATTGATCGTTTCTCTGTCTCTTTCACCTATTTTCCATCAATGTGTCTTGTACCCCGTTCATTCAAGAATTTGTCTCGCAACGCGGGTCGCAAACTGTCAAATTTTACCTGCATTTCAAACCGACGATGGGTGTCGGGGCGAACGTCCGTCAAAATGACAGCGATGCGAATTTGGGGTTGCTTAATAACAATCTATTATTTTAGAAATATAACTGGCACTTACTTGTCGTTGTAAAAAAAAAAACAGTTGGGATTTCCTTAGCTAACTGATGAAAAATACACTATCACAGACATTTTTGATGACCGCGGCGTGGTTTTTGTGGAAAACTGACAACAACCCGGTTTGTAACACATCCTTGTTGTATTTTCCACACCAGACTAAATGTGGAGGCGGTTTGACGTCAAGGACCTGCGCCCTGCGGCCCTGCGACGTCTACGTCGGGACTATATACATGTTTAAATAGGTAATTAAATGATGCTACTTTAAATTATTGTGTTTTCCAATAGTTGATACTGGAAAACGACGGATAGGCTCTAAGTGAGCCCTCTAATATTTATTTATCGATTCCGTGCTATAAATATGGGTCGCCGGCCGCAATGATTTTGGTCGATAAGGGATGGAAATCGGCCGATTTGAGAGTTTTTTTCAGGAGCTCATAGGACGCGAATATCGTCTACGTGGGTGGTAATATCTATCAGCATCTATTAATTCATGAGTTTCCACCCCGACTTCATTTAAAAATAGCTTATTGCATCGCTCTCCAAAATTTGGAGGCGACCTTCGAGCAAGGATTCGGGTTATACTCTCTTTATGTAACATTTATATCATTTTAATGAAATCATTTGTTCTTTTCCTAACTCTGGAGCATGGTAGAAAAAGGGCCAATGTCCAAAAATTACATTTAACAGCCATTGAGTCTCCTGGACTACCCATGTTACATATTTGCATCACAAAAAGGGCCAATGTCAACAAGTATTATAAGCCTTAATTATTTAAATTTTAAAATGGCCCAAGTCCGTCTTAGTTTAATAGAAAAAGGGCTAATGTATGGACTTTGGTCCTTGAAATACTTTTAAAACGTTTGACAAACGACCAATGTCCACTGCAATGGACATTGGCCCTTTTTCTACCAAGCTCCAGAACTATCTTATAGTGTTTTAAAGCTCCATTTTAATGATATTTCTCTAAATAAATTGTAGGAAAATTTCTTGATAATTCAGAACCATACTTAGGAAAACAATTGAATTTTGCTTTTCGAAGATACAAGCCAAACTTATATATTTTTTTACTGCCATTCTTCATATTTTTATACACAGTGCGGCATTAGTGCATCGAAGTACGATATCTCCGACATTATAGAAGATATTAAAACAAATTATTTACAAAATTGTAGCCAACTTAAAACTGCACATTTTAAAATTATTTTCGTGTATACAGAGTGTTACGTATTACCAGGATGAACCAAACGTACTATTTTTTAAATGGGACACCACATATTATTTCAATAAAGGGTTTAATTATGTTATACAGGGTATTTCAAAAGTTATGGTCAATTGTATATGAGAATCATTCCCATTTCAGCGCCCTGTATATCCTAAACAGAACAACTTAACAATAATTTTTGCATGCATCACTTTTTGATATTGGTACAGTTTTACGAGAAGTGTTATTTCTTTATTATTGCAACAGTTGAATATAGGGCGAGCCAAAACTCGAGCACATAATTTTCTCAGTTTTTTTAAATGAATCACCCTGTATTTTATTTTAAAAACTGAAAATACAGTTTATGTTCTTTCATTTTTATAAGGCATTCCCTATAGCTAAAATCATTAATTTCTGAGATATTTATTATTTAATAACAAAAAGAGAGTTTTTAAAAAATTCCTATTATAACAATAAACAATACAAAATTTCACAGAAGTTTGTTAAATGACAGGCTAGTGATTATTACTGAATAATATATATGTCATTTGCCCACGATCAACTCTAAACATGTACAAATATAGGTACAGTTAAAAAAAAACAGAAGCTTAATAAAATTATTCGAAATGCAAAATTTCACTTCACAAGAAAATTTCATACAACTTTGGCCCACAATTTTTTTTTTTGTGAACGAAACCAACAAAAATAAAGAGGATGTAGAATGTTAGTTTTCACATTTCAAAAATCTATGCTTTCTAAATATTACTCTTGAATATTAAGTAACAAGTCATAGTAACAAAATAAATATCGATAACAGTGAAAGTCCATAGAAACCAATGAAAATATAAAATTTAGATAGAAAAATATAGAAAACACAGGTTTTTGATTCAAAATTGTACGTTTTTTATTGGTCCATAAAATATATCCACAGTATAGGGTTATCTATGGAATAACATATCGGGAAAATGACATTCACGGCACATACGCATTCTTGTCGAAATTTTTCACGTCCGTTTTGCATAAATGCGATTGAATTTCGTTGATACAGCTCTCAATTTCCCCCTTCAAGACGTGGACTTGTTGGCATAAACCTTAGACTTCAAAAAAATCCAAAGAAAAAATCCAACGGCGTTGAAAAGCATGGTCTGGGCTGCCAATTCTGACCACCAAAACGAGAAATTACACTACCAGGAAATTACTCATGCTATAATTGGATTATTTCTCGAACTGCATGGCATGTGATATCGTCTTGTTGAAACGTCGTCTACATCCATATCTTCCAATTTAGACACAAAAACTGGATTATCATGTCGCGATAGCGAGCACCATTAACTGTTATTGTGTAACCATCCGCATTTACCATATTGTGGATGCATTTGTTCAACAATCACGCGTGGATTTTTTAAACCACAAAAATGCGACCATTTTGTCGATTAACGAACCATCAAGATAAAAATTAACCTCATCGCTGAAGATGATTTTTTTCCGAAAAATCAGCGTCCACTTGTTCCATAATGACCGTAATCCATTCAACGACCTCTCTTCGCTCTCGTGGTCAGTAGGCTTCAGTTCTTGAGTCATTTAAATTTTGTAAGCATAAAGATGCAAATCTGTCGTGAGAATACGCTGTAGACAGCTTCTCGAAATATCCAATTCTTGATCTCGGTGCGAAATTAGTGTTTCTAATTGATCCAGTCTCCCTGAATTTTTGAGTTAAGTAATCTATTCACAGTTGATAAAGTTACATTCCGACCATATTTTGCCCGAAAATTGCAAACTGTAGCTGCCAAACCTTTATTATTAAATATTGCTCATCAATGAAAATACGTTGTTCTTTCTTGTAACGCCCCATGTTTAATAGCCCTGAACTGTCAGCTGACACACTGTCTTTTTTTATTGTCAATAATCTGTTGCACAAATGGCGCAAAATGCAAACACCCGATAATACTTCTACCTTTTTAAAAATAACTAAATATACATGTTACCCGTTTTTTAACCCACTTTATTGGGAAATATAAACCAAATTTAATTACATCAACTGTTGAAAGTGTCCACCATTAACATGAGTACATATGCCTCCACTTTTCTCAATCGGCATTGCGTAGACTAAAGCTTTTAAAGGAAGTAATCAAGGGGATTTATGTCCTGTGACCTAGGGAGCACGGTTTGACGAGCTGGCGAGCGCCTCGATCTATCCATCTATTTTGATAACTCTGTTGAGATACTCCTAAACTGAAATGAAGTACTGCTCGCTATGCATAAACCATAAACGATATCACATACAACATCAAGACGAACCAGTAGTTGATCTTCTTAAGACTCTATAGAGATACTACTTAGTCGTACATCCTCGGAACATGGGCGTAACTAGAGGAGGGCAGGGGTGTGCACGGCCCACCCCAAAAAGCCCGATTTCCACCCCAGAAAAAAAAAGATTGACATATCGGTAATCGGTGACTGCGTGATCTTTTTTTTTTCAAATCAAAACGTATTCAAATTTTACTGATTTCTTTTTTTTACTTTTTCTTTAATGTTTCCATAGAGCTTATAGCCCTGGCCCACTCCCAAAAAAATTGTAACTTCGCCCATGCCTCGGGAACAGCTTTTGGTAGTATTTTAATATTTTTTTGCGAATTTCCATTAAGCTGTAAAACTGACACACCACAGTTTCCACCTAGTCGAAATACGTGAGTGTTTTATTTAGATTTTGAGAATTGTTTATTGTAAATTTTCCTCTTACACCAACTCATAAAAATTTAAGGGTGAAAGATGTGTTTTCCTTATAAATTTTTAAAACTGTATTTTATAAACTAGTAGGTGGCTAAAAACAAGAAGATCTCTACTGATATGATACACAAACGTGTACATACGTGGTTGCAGTAATGTCGTCAATATTTTCTTGACTTGAGGCGCTTTATATTTCTAATTGCGTCGGAGTTTCGGATTTTTTTTCGAAAATTTTAGATCCCACGTTTCGAAAACCGACCCAGATTTATATTTTTTTTGTTTATTTTCACCTGAGAATGTCCCCTTAACCAGTTTTTGAAAAACCAAAAGACCCTCTTCGTAACATAATTTTAAAAATGTTGTCACCGCCGTTCTTGTGGGTGAAAATTCGAAATATTTAGAATGATTCTTTCGTGACTGAAAACGTACATAGGTATTGTATTTTTGAAACCATCGCCATAATTTTAAAAATGTTGTCACCGCCGTTCTTGGGGGTGAAAATTCGAAATATTTAGAATTATTCAAAGTGGCTGAAAACGGGCATCGTTAATCTTCATTATTTTTTTTTAATTTTAAATCGAATGTAATTTGAACGAAGAAAATATATAAAATAATGGCTCAACATTTCAGAAAAAAGTCGAATTGTAGCTGCTATAGGTCTCACCGAAATGTGTCCTGAAATGCATCAAAATTTGGTCATAGAATTTTAGGACAAATATAGGGACCGTAAGGGTTTTATGACGTGGGATCTGATGTGCTATGCTATGTGCTGGCGGAGAACCCCCTTAAGACAATTTTTCGTAGGCCCCTTTGTCTTTGGAGCCAAAATAATTTGGTTCCCTAAATTTATTGTTTTAAGAATCTGTGACCAAATTTTGTTGCATGAATTTCGGGACATCCTGTATATCAAAAATTTAAAAACTTTCTGTGTTTTATTGTAATAGAAAAGACATAGAAAATGAGGGAGGTCTTTCGAAAAAAAAATAAGAGTTTTGTAATGCGCTGGTGGTAGATACGTTACGAAACAAACGTATCTACGTGTACTCAAATTTGAGTATTCCGTTCATATACAACAGCATTGACCCCAAAAAAAAGTCTTCCAGAATGTCCTGCATCTCAAATGAGATAACAGTAAGATTAACTAAAGATATATTTTTCTACACCTACGCGGTCGGAAGTGGTACCATTGAGGATGGGTGATTTTATTGATTGGTAGTAAGGTGGGAAAAGTGATGTCACTACGGTCACCCAATGGGGGGGACTCGCTCGCGCAGGGACTTTTCGAGCTGCCGGGAATGATTTTCCCCGAATGAGTTCTGACGTCAACACAGCTCAATGGGTTACCAGGGCAACCAGTATCGAGGTTCATGCCCCTTATTCTGATGACTGCAGAGCAGATTCTGGCCCTGCTAGATGCTGAGTGCATTGCTTAGGAGAACTATGTGGGATGTAGGCCAACTATTCTATTGAATCTTTGGGATTGTATTTGGCTGCCTGCCGTCCAGAATGAAATTCTGCCAAATAGTTTTAATATTCTGCAATAAATCCCAGGATCTAAAAATCCAGACGTCTAGATACTTGCTTATTTTCATAAATTAATTTTTTGGGATTTCCCATTCGGTTGACAATTCCATAATTTTTTTATACTATCTACTTTACATTTTCCAACACAAATTTTATTTTTAAGGAATTGTTGTCTTATAAATTTTGATATTTCTTATAAATTTCGAATAAAACATGTTATCTAAGCATTTGAATGTGCTCTATAAAACAAGTTGTTCGGGAATTTCATTTGAATAATATGTTAATTGTATACATAAAAATAAGAAAAAAGTTTGTGTTTCCTAAAAATACTCCAATTATTTAAATATTGCATATAACCTTTTGTTTATTTTGTTTTTCTTATGTGTATGTGCATAATAGCTTCTATAAATATGTATAAGAACATAATTCTCCAACATCCTGTAATTCTGCACACTTGACTGATGATTTTCATATTTCAAGTCCTTAGCAGATACAAATATTTCACAAAAGATAAAATAAGTCTGTGTCTGTCTGTAAGGTCCATGCAAATTGTATTTCCCCAATCCTAGCCCTGTATACAAATTTTTTTTAAATATTTTTGTAAAATTGTTTTTTTTTTCTCTTCCTAAAAAGATACGTAAATTTTCGTTTTTATATAGTCAGAAGAAATGGATAAAAGAGAGATTTAACAAATAGTTTCCTTCAAAATTTTACCACCTGTGCAACTGTTTCTTATAGCTAATTTATACGCATCAGTTTATTGATCAGATTATAGAAGTTGACCTTCAATTTCATTTTTGTATGTGTAAAGTACTATACCTACTAATGGTGTTTAAATTTTTTTGACCTCAATGTACTGGACAATGATTTAATTCAAGGATGGGGTGTTTACATGAATTAAAAAAAAATGTATAGCGTTTTGACTATTTTATTAGTAAAAGTTAATGCGAATAGATAAGCAATTTCACAAATAACTCTTTACATACATTTTTATCTGATTTGGAAAATTTGTATTCGAATCTTATTATTATTACCAACTTGTGACGTAGGTACTACTAAACTATGGACATGTTATTACAGAAAACTTCTAAAGCATTAAGAAATGCCTCTCTTTCTATTCCTAAATAAAAGAAAAAGAATAAAAGAGATAAGGGATTTTAGTTAAACGTCTTATTAATAGATGGTGCAATTAAAACGTATGGTGTAATATTGGATGTGTTTATTTAATTTTATTAAATTAAATAGATCTACTGTAACAGTTGTACCTCAAAATTCGTTTCATTTTTATATTTTTTATCACTGAAATATACACAATAACTTTATTGGTTAGGCAACACGATATACGCTTATGGAAATTTTAGAAATTTTTACACCCACAAATATTTCCAATGAAGTTTATTTTAGATGTTTTCTATTTTTCAACGTGAATTACCTAAGATAGGTATGTACTGACTATTACTAGTATCTTATTTATTACTATTAAATACATTTAATTATTATAGAGTAATTATTTTTAATTATATTACTATTGAACTATTTATGTTCTTGTGTAAAATCAGAAGGATATTACAATTTTTATTTGACTTTTACCCATGGAATAAATTAAATATTTGTCTATGTCTACATTATTATTATTATATTTTTCTGCATTTTACCCTCATCTTAGGGCTATGAATAATTTATAAGAATTCAGTTGGCTGCACTGAAGATATAATTTTTTGACAAACTACCGAATTCTAATCGCTTAAGTCACGTTTACATTAATCGAACATGGGCGACAAAAAGAACAACGCTTATTTTTCTCTCACCACCAATCCAATATTGAATATTTATTAACATATCACTCATCTAAAAAATAACTCGGTATTAATATTAATTGTTCATTCTGAATATATATTTTTTTTAAATGTAGATCAAACGTTTTTAAACCCCATCATTCATCATTCGTAATTTGCGGTCACAAATTGCAGCGTATTACTTGCTTTATGTATATGTGGCTTCATATGTTTTGAGGATTCCACCGAGGTCTCTATTCTATTTTTAAGGTGATAAGTAATAAATATTGAGGTAATACTCTTATTTCACGTGTGACAATATCTCGATTATAATTAAAGTGTGTTATCTATCATCCAGTAATTATAAATGCAAGGTTAAATATTCTGTTCAGGTATATTGTTTTGATAAAGATTATTTATCTATGATTTCAAGAACCAAATGGAGATTCCAAATAAATCGAAAGGAGAACATTATAACCTACGCTGGAATAGTTACACAAATAATTTGATACAAGTGCTTTTGGAACACCAGCATCATGAAAATTTAGTCGATGTTACATTGTGTTGCGAAGGACAGTTCGTAAAAGCTCACAAATTAGTTTTATCTGCCTGTAGCGAGGTTTTTCAGGTAGTCATATTACTTTTTGTATTATTTATGAATCCTATTTGACATTAGTAATATTGTAGGAAATGTTCAAAGTTCACAACGTTCAACACCCAGTAATTATTCTTAATGGTATTAAATTTAACCACTTTAAACATATATTGGAGTTTATATATCAAGGAGAAGTTAAAGTTTTGGATATAGACTTGGAGGGAGTTCTAGCTCTTGGTGAAAATCTGCAAGTGAAAGGATTAAGCTCTATTAAATTAAAACAGCAGGTATCTTCCGAAGAATTGAAAACTACTGCCTTAAAACGCAGCTCAAATAGCAGAGACTGTAAACCAAAATCATTGCCGAGCTCGCCTGCCTTAAATGATCAAAATATCTTAAATGTTGCTAATAGTAATCAGTTAAAGCCAAAAGATTTCGCTTCCAACAGTCGGTCTCAAGGAAAGAATGAAAAAAATTCTGGATTTAGGTTTCAAAGTGACCGACAAATTCACACAGATTTAAAAAAAGCGCGGACAGAAAATATTAACTTAAGTGCCGAGTCCAATAAAAGTATTAGTAAACTTGAGAGTATACTTACTGATCCAAATGAAAATGTTCAAAGGAAAAGGTTTAAACATACAGAGGTTTGTCTTTTTTTAAAATAGTTTTAAGTTTAATAAGCATTATTTATCACTTAATTCTATTAATTTCAGGTACCTCCTGCTGTAAGTAATGGCAACGGAGGCGTAGACAGTAAAATCAGTGAAAATTTTCTAGAAACTGAAAAAAATTCCAGGCCAGCAAATGCGTTCATGATATTCGCAAATGAATGGAGGAAAAAATTAAAAGTAGAACATCCTGGCAAGTAATTTTATAAGCGTCAATAAATATTTATGAATGATTGTTTATTAATTCCTTAGATGAAAATAATAAAGCGATATCCGTTAAACTTGGAAATATGTGGAAAAATTTAACCAATGAAACAAGGCAGGCCTATTACTTGGCAGCAGGGAAAATGGAATTGGATCAAAAATCGGGAGATCTGGAGTAAGTTTTTTTATCAAATAAATTCTTGATTGTCGCTTAATTATTGTATAAAGGTTCATGTTGGCAAAAATTTTAATAGGAGTACAACTAGAGCTGACTCAACGAAGAAAAAGAAAGTGGCAAGAAGAAAAACTATCGATTCCATATCACATTTAGTTTCAGTAGATCTTCAAGAGGTAGGTGTCCACTAAATATAAAGTGTTCCAGTGCAGGTATTTAAAAATTTACGACCCAACTTTAAAATTTTTCATAGGATTAAGTTGAGTTTTGTGTGAATTTTATTCATATTACGTTAACATGGGATTGGTCGCTATCTTTGATGTCACACGATAAATCGTGTTGGATTTTAACGTGCAATAAGAAACTTTTTTTAATTTATATCGTATCTCGGTAGGTGTGAATGGTAGAAACGATATTATTAGAGTTTTAATCCTGTTTTGATCAGATCTACAACACGATAAATTTTTATATGCTCGCGCTGAAACATGTGTTCAATCAATGCACTGTGGAGTTAGGTATATCAAAAGAAACCTTTTTTTTTTGTTGATTTTCAGTTTGACGATGATGACGATTTACAAATAATAGAAGTCAATGAAGATCCGATAGACGTGTCTCGTTTTCCAATAAAGAGGAACCGTAGTCCTGCAAACAAAAATAATACTTAGCTCGTAGTATGGCAAGTGTACAAAACCTTACAAAATTTATACCTGTCATAAAACACACTGTATGTAGTGCAGGCAGTTATTTTTTGGAAGTGTATTATATTAATATAATTTATATTCTTAACTAAATAAAAATTTCTTTTCAATACAAAATTACTAAGATTCCAGTATAGTCTTTCCCATCTTAATTGAAGAACCAAGAGGTTGACAGTATGTGCCAGGTTCGGTCGCTGACGCAGTGCGCGACGTTGAAATATTTGAAAAACTTATTTCCATATTTATTTAGCCATACAGGTCTGGTCGAATTAAACGTGGAGGTGGTAGAACTGATTACCTCGGTTGGAGAAACACGAGCGTGGGCAAACGAAATACAAACACAGCTGCACTGGGCCACTGGGCAATAAATCTCGGCTGTTGACAAGTGGTTGACAAATTACCCAGAAGTGCAGTGCAGCAGTGCGGAATTTGGTGTGATTCAAGTAATTTTAATTTATTATAGGCACCTTCTGTTAATCATTGATATTACAATTAATTTACCATCAATATAATAAAATTGTTTGAGGACATGAATTATTAAAACATGTTGTTGGCCAAATAAACATCTAATAGAAACTTTCTACACATTATATGCAAATTATAATTTTTTACTTTAGCAGAGACGTCTATGAGTCATTAAATTTTATTGCCAGGCGTTTTTTACATGTTCAACTGACTTCGAAAAGACTATAACAAAGATTTTGAAACAGCCATTGGACAAAAATTGATAAGAAACTTCAATTACCATAAAGTAACAGAAAATACAATTTTAAGTCTCTTTTGAAGAATTGAAAATAATGTTACCAAAACATTTTCAGTGACCGGGTGGACAAATTGGATGAAATTTACTTCGAAAACTCTGCGAGATAAAAAAAATGATGTGTTTTCTGGTTTCGGTATTAGGGAAAAGGAACCAAACTATGGCTTCGTTAAATTTTTATGTGTCGGGGGTTGAGGTGTATTAATAGACTTGTATAAAGCAGTGCATTTTTATTTGCCTTTAAAAAATTTTTTACTCATATTCATTGATGACAGACAAAATCATTTTAAAAAAAATTTTATTTTCTAGACATTATTGAATCGTAACTAAAAGACGCACTCACATTTTACGGTACTAACTGAAAATTATTTACAGTTGTAATTTTACAAATAAGTATGCATATAGTAACAAAATGACTAGTTACACGATTAAATCTTGTAAAATTTGTATGAAAAATATGCAGTCAATATATTTCCTTATTTAAAAAAGCATAGCGTAATGAAATACAAAATTTTTACAATTTCCATTATACACTTACTTAATGAAGTTCATCTTGTATTAAAACTTAAGAGAGTAACCCAATAAGCCTGTATTTACAATTCCGTTGATACTGTTATTTGTTAAGTATATTTGCACTTAGATAATAGCATTCCATACACATATTGTATTTAAAAATGAAACACAGATATTTTTCTACAAATAAAAATAGGGACACATTTTTGATACTAACTGCACATACAAATTCTAAGTTTTACAATTTAAGTATCTTTGGAATAGATTAAAATATAAAAATAAATCTAATATAATAATTTAAACATTCTAAGAACCTACAAATTAGATAATACCGAAAAGCAAGAAAACAACAGAAGCTTGTCAGTTCTACAATTCCTAATTTACAAAAACTACTATTAAGCCAACATTTTTTAAAAAATAATAACGTAATATGTCAAAATTTGTAATTCCAGTGTACTACATTCAGTTTGTAAGTAAAATTCCTTTTTTCTGCTCTCGACAATATTTAGTTGGAAAAATAAGATAGGGCATTTTATCTCGCATACAAATAATTTTCTATTCAAGTTAAACATTGCACAAGTAAACAAGCAAAGTTTGTCATACACTCCTAACTATAGTAAATACATTATTTCATCATGTCTGATTCACTCTTTCCCTTGCATTTCAATAAACAGAATTTAGATGATTTTTATCGCTACAATAGGTGTAAATACCACATACGAATATATTTTTTTCATATACAGGGTGTTTCAGAAAGACCTTTCGTAAATACAGAGGGCGATAGTACGTCAAAAAATAAGAATTTTTTTGTCTTCTGAACTACATGCGAAATATTTTTATGAAAGGTATTCCGGGGTTTTTAAGGATACCAAATATGCTGGCATAATTATTTTTTTGATATTTCATAGAAGGCGCTAGTTATGCTACATTTCTATTACATTTTAAGTTCTAATTTTTTTAAGGTTAGATTTTTTTACCATTCAGGCTCCAATTTCTAATGTACAATTTTATTTTCTAAAAATAATATGTACTCTTGTTAGAATTTCCTAATGTGGATGGTTTTCGAGAAAAAAGACTTTTAATTAAACTCTTACATTATTACGGTGTATAAAATAAGCGACTTTTCTCAAAGTAGGCTTATGTCAAAACTTATTGATGGATGTCTCATAAACAACGCATACATTCTTAGTAATATTTTAAACTCTAATTTGCCGTATATCAAAATTTTAGTGATTGTTAGTGACTGTAGTTAGTAATGACTAATTAGTCGCTAAAATTTTGATATAAAGTTAATTAGAGTTTTGACATAAGCCTACTTTGGAAAAGTCACTTATTTTAATATTTTATATATCGTAATATTAAGAGTTCAATTAAAAGCCTTTTTTCTCGAAAACCGTCCACATTAGGAAGTTTTAACAAGAGAACATTATTTTTAGAAAATAAAATTGTACATTGGAAATTGAAGTCTGAATGGTGAAAAACCTAACCTTAAAAAAATTAGAACTTAAAATGTAATAGGAATGTAGCATAACTAGCGCCCTCTATGGAACATACAAAAAATAATTAAACCAGCCTATTTGGCATCCTTAAACCCGGAATACCAAATTTCATAAAAATATTTCGCACCATTTGGAAATTTTCGTAAAAATACTCTTTAAAAAATTTTATTTTTGTCGTTCTTTATCTCGAAAACAAGAGGAGATAGACATATGGTTCATATGAGAAAAAATTCTTATTTTTTGTCGTACGATCACCACCTGAATTTACGGGAGGTCTTTCTGAAACACCCTGTATAAAATAGAGCGATTGTACATATATTTTATTGTGTATCATTAATTATTTTGTATATTCCGATATGATTTGGAAATATGTTAATTGAACTGTTCAAAAAAGTGTAAATGAACTTTACTTACAACTGAGAGCACTCAAGGGAGCATAGACAGGACATTTTATATTTTTGTTTGATTTAAATTAAATTTTACATCATTTGAGTATATTTAACGTTGAGATATAGACCAAGCTAATCTATTTCTTTGAAATACTAGCACGATTAAATATTTTACTTCAAGTTACTAAAGCGAATAAATATTTTGCTGTAGAATTAATTCAAAGAATCTGGAAAAAAAAATTATTTACGTTAATAATTTGAGACAAAATATGTATTCACGTTAGCTCAATACCACGAGTTTATGTCAATATTGGAACATAAAACGTTATGTTCAGGTTATTAACGAGAATAAATGTTTTACTTCAATGTTATTGATAAATATTTTATTTCCGTTACAATTTTTCAAAGAAAAACGTTACATTTGCATATATTTCAAAATAAAATACATTCAAATATTAAGCCGAATTTAATTTAAAATATAAAATGTTCTTTCTACGGTTTTGTACATTCATCATAAATACAAACAAAAAAAAAAGAATTAAAAACCTTATACTGCCAATTTACCTACCCAATATTTTTCTTAACCCCTCTACAAAATTTAATAAAGTTAAACCAGGACCCTTTCGAGTGAGATATACTGTTTGTGTTTCTTAATTAACAGTTTAATAAATTGGACCTCTTTGTTTTCTTTGCGGAACTTTAATGTATGGAAACAACTGAACGATCTTAAACTCCTAAACACACCTTCCGATAGAAGCGTTATGTGCACATGTACATATAAAAACAGACATTAGATAAAATGTATCATTTTTATATTTTGAAAGTACATTTAACGTCTTATTACTACTATATACAACTTTAAATTTAAAATTTTACTCATTAAAATATATAATAAAAAATAAATAATAATAATAATAACATTTGTACCTAGTACTTCTCAAATACGTTAATGTTTTGCAGTTACAGGGGTTTGGTGCATTTTTTATGAAATGAGCACTAGACTAGAGATATTGATTGGATTACGTCTCTACCTGTAATTGCAAATCATAGAGTACAGTTTAATTGTGCTTATTCCCCTATTAGGACCTGCGTCATAATTTCACCATGTAGATAAAGGCATAATTTTGAGCAAGAATCGATTTCATAACACCTTGTCTATTGAAGAGGAACGGACAACAAATGTTTACAATTATATCACCAGAAAAAAACCTTGTTTTTGTACAATTTTTTTCCTGTTTAAAAATATTTCAGTTCTTTCCTTTAGGCATTTTGCTACCTGCGAAAAATTAATGAAAGGGAACCTTGTGTCGAGAAGATCGATAAAGGGTTGTCTTTATGAAAATAACCTTGGACTGACTATTTCAGCACAACAGTTTATTAAATCAGAAAAAATTCCTAGTAATTACCGCTATTTTTTAAAAGCAATAAGGATGATGTAGTGATATAATTTTTTCCTATAGCACACTCTACAAAAAAGTAAATGAGTCTATTTTCATTTATTTTAACAGTAATAAAGTATGGCTTCTAATTTTTTTCTAACACAAAATTGCTTATACATTTTGTTAAATTAAGGGACAACGCCACTCTAGAATTTTGAAAAAAATCGATTTTTGGATAAATGGTTTTGTTTTATCATGTGAAAAGCAGGAAAACACTGTAGGAGTGTTTATTGTAACTCTTGATAAGGCGTGCGATAATTAGCCATTACAGAAGCCAGATTGAGTCTCAGATAAAGCCAAAAATAAGGTGATGAAGAAAATGTCAATATAGAAGGCCAATTATTTGGTGCATGTATCGCTGATTAAACGTGTATAATGAACTTCTTATGCTAATTGGCGGGAAACATTACTCAAAAAGTTTTCGATGAATTCGAGTTGAAATTTTATACACAGCTTCACAATAACATAATTCAGAGAACATCGTAGGGGTTTTTCGATTGATTAACAATTTTCATTATTATTAACAATTTAATGCAAAATTTGTTGCCTTTTTTCGATACTTTTTTTAATGTTCACTAAATCAATTATTAATATTTTTTTAATTTCTCTATGACGTTTCCTAGCTTTTGATATACAGGTTGTCACGCTTAAATGTGACACAATGTTGTTTCTTTGTTTTTTTTGACCGATTTCAAAATTTTTTTATTAGAACGTAGGATAAAAAAGCTCTAACTGTAATGCCGTTGTTTTTATTAATACAATTCACGGCCAACTAGGACGCGTTTTGACGTCAAAACAGCTAATTGGTATTAGCGATTTTTTTTTCCAAAAAACAGAGTTATCAAATTCCATATATCGCACTAGTTGGCCGTGTATTGCATTAATAAAAAACAGCAGTATCACAATCAGATAGTTTTTTTTAACCTACATTTCATAAAAAAAAAGTACAGGATTGTATTACATTTCACGACATCATGGAATGCTCGCCTGAAGATGTATCAATTTTGATGAAACTTGGTGGTAAGACTTGGTTTTAAGAGATGCTAAATGAGAATACATAATCTGTTTTTTGAAAAACAATCGCTAATACTAATCAGCTGTTTAGATGTCAAGAAAACGCGTCCTAGTTGGCCGTGAATTGCATTAATAAAAACGGCATTATCACAGTTAGATAGTGCATTCCCAAATAAAAACTTTTGAAATCGGCCAAAAAATAAAGAAGGTACGTGCTTGTATCATATTTAAGCGCGACGCCCTGTATAATAACGGAAAATTAATGTTTTTTATCATTTAATAAGAAACCCTTTCGGCCTGAGAAAAAATTCACAGTACTACCTGAAAACATGTACAATTAAGCCTTTTTGTTCCTGACACTAGATCTTGTATCGATTTTTCCTTGAAAATTCCCAAAAATCTCCATTTTCCCACCTCTGGAGTAGCGTTAACCCTTAATAAAACTGTTATAATCCATTCACAATTGCTTGGCATCGTCAGACCCTGTACAATTTTCTCATATATTTTAAATCCACTATCGAAGTAAAAATCTTTAAAAAAATTTTTATAAGTGCATAGAAATGTTATGTATGGTTTTCCAGGACCCGAATTCTAAATAAAATCAATTGTATTTGACAGGTACACTTTAATGAAGAAATATTGAAAGAAATGACAAATAAAAAAAAGTTAAATAAGAATATATAAATAAATATATATATAGCGATTATATTTAAAGTATACAGCGAAAACTAATATCAGATACCTTTTCCATCAGTTATGTTGCCTGCAGTGGAAACAGGCATTAAAAAAATCAGAATGTATGTTAGGATATCCTCCACATTAAAATAAAAAGTAAATGTGAACAGTTTCTTCTAATAAAAAAAATAGTTATTGCAGCACGATATAACTACAGAAATATTTATTTTAAAAAATATTCCTTTTACTTTGTACTATTTAAAGCTTTTTTGATGTAATGCCTCATCTCTCAGTAACAGTAAAATGGAGTTGTAACTACTGAAGTTCAGAAACAAACTTAATCCAAAACATTTAAACATCTAATACATAACGATTTCAGTAACTTCTGTATTGTCATTTTGAACCTCAGTAGTAATTCTGCATAGAACCATTATAAAGGATTCTTGTTTAATGAATGTACATCAAATTGGATTAATTACCAGATCTTAGTATATTTTCTGTTTGGAATGTTGAAACCTTTTAGCTTTTACACTGAATTGTCTCAAATGTGTTAGCTACAACGTATTTATAATTTACAGTTGCTCGTTTCCACTAGTATTTCATCTAGCTCTTACTTTGAGCATGGCGTTGAGATCCTGCAGATTTTAACAAAGTTGTCATGATTAATTTTGGCATTTAAAGACACAAACATGGAAAAGATGCTTTTATTTTCAGAATCTAAAAGTTACCTAAACCTCCCCTAAAGAACTGACCCAATTTTTTGGTATAACCGTAGTTTTAAATAAACAGAGATCATTCTCGTACGAGACAAGAGCATTGCCGATATCAAAAATAAACAATGGCAAACACACAGGACAACATTATACTGTGATCGCAGGTCCAGCGTTCTTGTTAACAACGTAAAACTTATGTTTCTTACCAAAAATACCCCATACGACAGCCACGTTTTCGATAATTAAATTAAAGGGAATTACTAATACTGCACCGATCACACATAGTGAAAACCTGAGAAGTCCGAATCTGTATACGGTAAATGATTTTATCACACCAAAAACGAACATGTAAATATTCACCGCCCCGATGAAAGCACAGAGGAAATCTATCACAGGCGGGCAGGGTATTGGAAATTTGGAGGCTAGACACAAGTTCGAGATGGACAGTGGCAACGTCAGCCACGAGTAGCAGGAGCAACCCAGCAAGAGTTTGTTCTTTACAGGTATTGCCTTGGAGTGGACGACTAGTAAGATGCCTTGAATCCATCGTTTCCGCTGTTGCATAAAGTCCCATAAAGTAAACGGAGATTTCTCCCACATTTCGCCTTCTATAAAGTTGAAGCTGTATCCCTGACTGTAGGCCCTCATGGCGAAGAAGCAGTCCTCTGCTATCGAACCATCCAAGCCGTTGTCGAAGGACACCGCCTTCTCTGCTGCTGCCTGAAATAGAAACCAAAATTAATATCTATTAATAAAAAAATACCAAAAACTTAACCATACTTTTTAATGTCTGCTCTGTATGATATAAATTGACAGGACAGAAGAAATATGTATTTTCAACATGACGGTTGAAGCGTGAGAAACTGGTTAGATCATTTCCACAATAAATGCATAGGACGGTTTGGTTCTATAAGATGGCATGCACGCTCCCCAGATATAACCCCTCTTGATTTCTTTTTATGAGTATACTTGCAGCAAAAAGTTTATGCCCATAATTTACAAGATAATTTAAACCTTTTACTGGAGAAAATATCAGAAGCAATAGCCGACATAAACGAGGATACAATTCACTTACTTTATGAAAAATTTAGAAAAATGTTGAAAAAAGTGTAACAGTAGCAAGACAACACAGAATAGTTTTGTTATCATTTTATTCAATAAATTATATGAATATAAAACGATTTTACTTAATCATAATTTTTGCAAAAATATCAACTTCGAGATACCACGTTCAAATTTCATATTTGGACTACCATTAACATTAGAAACAACTTCTTTCAATAACATTTTTAAATTCCTCTAAAAAAACTAATACTTTACTCTTGGCACAAATTCACGTTTCCTTATTTTCTAACCACCCTCTATGTTATTTTGAAAGTCTGAGTATGGCTAACGACCTTTCACGATAAGTAAAACTTTTTATGAAGAATTACTGTTTCCCTTAAATTGCGAAATAATGAAAATTACAAGTATATTTAAGTCAATCCGGGGACACCGTATCTATATCATTAAAATAGTTCCTGTAGTGTGCTTCCAAAATGTAAGTACATCAGTGAAAAGTGCAATATATTTTACTATATCAGGCATTAAAATAGTAAAATCCTGTTTTGTTACTTTTCTTATTTCTAGAATTGTGTAATTGATGATATTGCGACAGACAACTACTCTGTTGACTACAACCCCGTTCAGTATCTAGTGGGTTATGTCTCATCCACGTAGAAACGTCTGTAGAAAAACGGAAACAAAGCTAGACATTTTTGCCCACATTTGCGTAATGTCTATTCCACACAGCAAAGCTCCTCGTTCTTCTTGACAATTGGTACAAAAGACCTAAATTGTAAAATGAATCCATCTAGCCTTCGTCACATAAAAACGAAAAGAGATGTACGAAAATGCCTAGCTGACCGTAGACAATAGCGATTGTTTGTTTCAGTTTGTGATAAACAGATAGAATCCATCATTGTAGTTCGGATAAGCATATTTACTTATGTCTCGGTATAAGCACTATATTTGCTTAGGACATCACAAGAAAGAACAATACGATGCTAGAAACAAATACCAATTATCTCGCTTATCATCAGAAGCGGCGTAATTTTATTTTACATCATTATTAGTAATTTTATCTGTATATGCTAATGCTGAGTAACTTCTCAAGAACATTCCACTACAAAGTTCAGAACTCGATATATGACTCACAATCAGTCCTGATGCAAAAAAGAGCATACACGGATAGTGATTAAGCGAGTGATTCAGAAACCACCGACGCGTAAACCGAGTAAAAATAAGTGATTTGATAAGATTACCCCCGATCGTTCTGGAAGATTCATAAATACCTTCTTTAAAAATAATTAAAAAGATTGTTGATGTTATCTAAGTATAAAAAAATATATATCCCTCAATTTGATTTTTACAGATAAAATGTATTTATTTGGCCCATCGTATTTTACGATGTGACATATTTGACAATACTTTTATGACTGTTTACACATTTTATTGATGCATCTCCGTGTTATTTATGTGAACACTATTAATATTATTTTTATTGTGCACCTATTTTTAAACGCTACACATACTACAAAAATTATAGGTACATTTAACACTTTATTTATGTACTATAAAATATCCATTAAATTCACATAAAATAGTAAAAACTCGTATGTCAAAACAACGAGCATTTTTTTATAAAAAAGCACTAATTATTTTAGAAATAATTACTTCCTAATATTTTTAAAATTTGTTAAATATTTTTCAATATTTTTGTATTTTTCAAACGATTTTTTGAAAATAACTGAATTTAGTAACATTTCCCAAACAACGCGAATCATTTAGTATGAAAATATAAAAAATTGCAATGCCCTCGTTTAAAAAATGGAAAAAAACAAAACCTTGGCCACGATTGACCTTGTACAACTACGTGACAATCGTATGCTACATTTTGATTCTCATAATCATTATAATGTACCCAATACTGTAATCTAATCTAATCAATTATCGACCATATAAGGCATACCGAGAGCACTTTGGAATGTTTGCCTTTCGTGGTCAATTTAAAGACAAATCTACAATACAACCTTGTAGTCGTTACAAAAAATTATGTTGTTAATTAAACAATTACAGCTCACCTTGACATGAAGATTACAAATTGGACATGGTATTGAAATCGTGAAAAAGAGATTTGAGACGATAAAAGACTTATCAAAGATGCATCGTCGAACTACGATCAGCCTTCTGATTTCGATTAAAAATTTTATAATGAAAATGACAAAACAACTATCCCAATGCTGTATCGAAATTAAGAATTAAATTCTATTATTTACTTTCTTTTTTAATCAAGATTCCAATTTACAAAAGTACTAAACTTTCTACATTAAATTATCAATATTAAAAACATAACTATTTTATAATTGTAATTTGCAGATATTTTCTTGGATAATACATTAAAAATAAGGATGCCTTAGGGGGTTAAAAAAATGAAGATGAAATAGCGAACGAATTTTTGTCTGTCTTCAAAATCATGTTAGACGTAGAAAACGAATGTTGTTTATATGCAAATGTCCATTCATTGGCAAAGTATAAAAGATCACCCTGTACATCCTGTATCTCGAAGAGAAAGCATTTTTGGAAAAATGTTTATACGACAAACTTTATTTGCTTTCGTAAGTATTAATCACATCCTATCTAGTTCAAACATTAAATCTGACTCACTGTAATATTCCACCTCAATTCCACTGTTTGAATAATATTGATTTTAACAATACTGATAGGTAGTAGTAACGATTGTGCATGTAGCAAGCACAAATCTTACGTTACTTGTAAAATATGTCGAACAGAAAGGACTATTCCATTTCGATCTAATTGCCAGCGATTATCCAGGAGAGATAATTGTACCACAAATCCAAAACCAAAGACTACCAAATCAATAAACACCCTGTAAAATGCACTTCGTCCAAGGATAAGGTTAGCTATGCCATTTTCCAAATGCATTCGAGTGATGGTGTTTATATTGAAGTGGCAGTTGCAATTTATTACTTCCATTTATTTCACTTTTAATGGCATTGTGCCGCTACCTTGTTTACTAGATAGAGCTCGATGGAAACGATCCACCTGCTTCCTTTGAAAATTCACGGATAATTGAATGGAATAATTTAGAGGAGTGTATTATTTACCACGATTCACAGTTAATCAGGTCAGAGGTATCAGGGACTATTCAATATTCATCTCGTTTTCAAGCTGACATTATAAATAACTCAAAATTGGTTCAAAACCCATATTATTATATGCTTATACGATTTTTATTTATTTCTAATATTAACCAGGTGGAAGAAGATATAAGCAATAGAAGGATAAGTAATATTCAAAACGTTTTTTTACCTATAAAAATTAGCAGTTATTCGTAGTAGCAGTAAATGGGTGTTAATTTTGATTTTCAAAAAAATATGTCCCGAATATGCATATGCCGTTCATTGACAGACGTAGCAGTCCATAAAAAGACCTTGGAGTGTTCATGCTTCCTTCGAGGATGTCCGTCAGACAATTTTGTTTGTTCACATGGCTGTTGATATGAAAATTCGGCTTAGCGCTGAATAAAATTATAATTATATTAAAACTATCAAACATTTCCATCATCTCGTTGGATTTTAATCCATCGTAAGGGTCCTACCAATATACCTTTCTAGTAGTGACATTACATACGCCAAATAATAGGCAACCCGATAGTACACATTGTCATGAAGAATTTTTCTAGATTTTACTAGATCAATTTTCGACCTTATGTACTTTGGACACAAGTGCCAAAAAAGTCTTGTTTGTCATGGCCTTAAATATGGCGATATTCGGGCAATATTAGAAATATTTAAGAAATTTCAAACCTCAAGTGACAAACTAAAATAATTATAGAATTTATATTTTTAAATTTATAGAACTATAACTATTTATATTGACTTTTAATGTTAGTGAGCATGCACATTTAAGATAATTTCATGTAAGCGAAGTAGCTTTTTCAATAGAATTAAGTTGTTGCCTTTTTTGGAAGGGCAGAGTGCCCTTTTTTGACATTGGATTTATGTCGAGCGCCCAAAAATACATAGAAAAACACCCCCTACACTTCTTTTTTCAATATAATGTATTTTTTCCGCCCTTTTTTGCCCTAAAAAGGGCCGTCCGCCAAATTCGTGTTCAACACCCAAAAGTACACAGACAATCAGTCATCTAGGTAAAAATATGGATAGAGCCGGTATTCCTCCATATTTACCAAAGGTAGTATTGAGATAACTGCATATTCAATAAAATAATAACAAAAAATTTGAACGTTGAAATTTTTTTTTATTCTTCAAAGGTTTTAGCACATCAACATCTATAAGAAATGATAGGTCTGACCTAAACACCCAAAAATTATTTTCTTTTATGTTTGTCAGAAATTTGGTACGCATTTGAGGGTGATCTAATAGTACAATCTAATTACATACCATCAATCAAAACCTCACAAAGCAGTGTCATACTACTATCACGGATCAAATTCAAGACAATGCTTTTTTAATCACATCGGAATTATGGCAATGAATTTATGTAACTCAAGAATCTCTCTAGACAAGTCAGTTATTTTTATGACTAAACGCATTGTGATGTGTTAACAAGTTAGTCTATTTAACGGCACAGTTAAAATAATTATTTCCCTAGATTTATTAAATATAAATGAAAAATTAACGCTAGAAAATAGTTTA